TATCTTGTCTGCACACACGCAATAGAACTGTTATCTGCACTCAATCTAATCATACTCTGTGTTCTTACCGAGAGCTTTGCACTTTGCCGTCTTTCTCCGATGTGATCTAATAACGATAATAGAGATCCTCGTAAGCCGCCGAATAGGCAAGACATACGTTGGAATAACTCGCGAGTTGTATACAAATACAGATATCATAAGTATAGTGCAAACACAAATGTACATAAAGCAGCCGCTGGGGCTACTGTGGTGTGAGTCCGTGTCTGTGTATCTACAGCAGCATGGAAACTGAACCAGAAACGCGGCCAATACATATAAAAATCTCAAAACAAGGAAAGAACTACATCCTGCAGAATCAATCAATGGCTACAGACGACAACGTCGAAATGAATACAAGTAAGCCAACTAACTCAGCACCAAAGCCCGCCATTACCAAAAAAAGGAAAATTCCCTCAGACATAGAAGTTACAGATACCGGGGTAGACCCTTGGACAGAAGACGTAAAGTGCAGTAATTGTCGAGGAAAACATCCCGCAAACTACAAAGGCTGTGTAGTAAGAAAACAGCTACAACTGAAACTTTTCCCCACCCTAAGAAAAAGAACTCAACGAACAGAATTAAATAATAATCACTTACCGCAGCATACAATCCGACACCAACTCGCACACCTAACCAAGATCAACACTTGATCACAAGCAGCAGAACCTATGCACAAGCAACTGCAGTACACAACAAACAGCAAAACCAAAACCAAACCTCTGCCACTCATTCAAACTACGACAACGAAAAAGAATCTACAAAATTAAAACAGCTACTAATCCAATCGATAAAGAACACAGAACTCATAAGTAACATTCTATCAGTACAAACTACAATTCTTCAACAACAAAACCAACAAATAACATCCATTATAGAACTACTAACAAAAATTATTAATAATATCAAATAACGGATCGTTCAATCAAAATAGCAGCATGGAATAGTAACGTGCTACAACGAAGAGTACAAGAACTCAAAGTATTTATCCACACAGACGACATCGATATTATGTTAATTTCGGAAACTCACTTCACAATTAAAAATCATGTCGAAATCCCACATTACACCATTTATGACACCAAGCATCCATCAGGGAAAGCACATGGGGGAACAGCCATCATTATCAAAAATAGTATTAAACACCACCTACACAGCAACACCAAATATAATTACCTACAAGCAACTACAGTAACAATAGAAACCACAAATGGAGAAATACAAATATCGGCCATCTACTCACCCCCAAAACCCAAACTCACTACGGAACAATACGAGAACTTTTTCCAAAATCTAGGAAACAAATTTATAGCTGCAGGAGACTATAATGCCAAACATAGACACCGGGGATCAAAAATAACAATACCCAGGGGTAAAACACTACTGCATGTCATAGAAAAACTGACTTTAACGCCAATATCTACTGGCGAACCCACCCACCGGCCGACATCAAGTAAAAAAACACCTGACCTCATAGATTTTGCAATAACCAAAGGACTAAATAGGACGCATCTCAAAATATCGTCAAGTTCGGAGCTGAGCTCTGACCATATTCCTACACTGCTAGAATATTTGCAACATCCATTCGAAAACGAAAATGTTTAGAACAATAATCAACGAAAAACTAAATTGTAACAACCACTAAAAAAACCAGAACACATTGAGAATGCAGTAGATTATCTAACACGAACAATCCAAGATGCAGCTTGGTCGTCCACCACCGCTATCGACAACAACAAAACTGGCCTAACATATCCGGATCATATACTACAAAAGATAAAACAAAAGAGGAAAGCAAAATCACAATGGCAACAAAGCAAAACAAGAGAAAACAAAAGACAACTGAATGCACTTACCAAAGAAGTCAAAAAAATCCTACAGGCGCACTGCAATAAAGAATTTAGCAAATATCTCTCAAATTTTACATCAAACGAAGATTCAAACCATTCACTATGGAAGGCGACTGGAAGAGTAAAAAGACCAATAGTGCTTACACCAACAATAAGAAAACCGGAGGGTTCTTGGGCAAGGACTTCCTTGGAACAAGCTTCTACATTCGCAGGACATCTGCATGAAACCTTTCAACCAAACATCATGACAATAGGAGTAACAACAACAACAACAACCACAAAAAACGACATTACTCACGATGTAGAACAAAACAGCACAATACGCAGCACCAGAAAAAGAGAAATAAAACGATTGATCTCAATAGTGAAAATTAACAAAACTCCGGGCTTCGACCTAATCAGCGGAAAAATGATCAAAAATCTCCCAGACAAGACCATCAGAATGATCACCATAATATTTATCGCCGTATTCCGAATTCAATACTTCCCGAGTACATGGAAACTGGCTGAAATAATAATACTGCTTAAACCAAACAAAAACATACACGAACCCTCCTCATATACACCCATTTCTCTCTTACCAATATTATCCAAAATGCTAGAAAAAATACTTCTAACCAGAAACAAGAAGATAATCAATACCAAGCAACTAATACCAGATCACCAATTTGGCTTCAGAGAAAAGCATGCTCCAAGCGAACAAGTCCACAGAATAATCAACAAAATCACGACTGCTCTGGAAAATCGGAAATATTGCACATGCCTATTCTTAGATATATAAAAAGCGTTCGATAAAGTTTGGCACGAAGGCTTACTGAAAACTATAAAACAACATTTCCCAGACGCAATCTACCAATTACTAAAATCTTATCTTAACAACAGAACATTCTACGTAAAAATAAACTCGTACTCGGACATACAAGTAATAAGTGCCGGAGAACCCCAAGGAAGTGTATTAGGTCCAATACTCTACACTTTGTACACAGCAGATATCCCAACAACCCCAAACAGCACAATATGTACATTTGCAGACGACACCGGAATAATAGCAACACATGAAGACCCACAGGAAGCAGTCAAAATCCTACAAAACCACATGAGTCAGCTGGAAAAATGGTTGGTAGACCGGAGAATAAAGGAAAACTACAACAAATGTAACCACATTACTTTCACCCTCCGTGAAGGAAATACTCCAAAAATCAAAGTGTTCGAATACTTGGGACTTCACCTAGATACTAAATTAACTTGGAAACGACACATAAACAAAAAATACAACAGATTAGAATTATAACAGAAGACATGTTCTGGTTAACCAGCCGACACTCGAAACTAAGCACAGAAAACAAGTTACAGATCTATAAAGTCATAATAAAACCCATATGGACGTACGGCATTCAACTATGGGGTACAGCAGCCAAAAGCCACATCGAAAAAATGGAAACCATACAATCACAAATAGTACAAACATTAGTCAACGCACCATCGTACATAGAAAATGAAGAACTATGTAATGACCTACAAATCACCAGAGTAAAGGAGGAAATACAGCAATTATCCGACAGATACAAATTAAAAACTACAAACCATCCAAACCCGCTAGCCAATATTCTAATCCGATAGCACCACTGGAAGACTGAAGAAAAAACAACCCCAGGACCTAGTCACGCAAGTTCAAACACAAACAATCTAAAACAGTGCTACTCCACTGGGAAATACTGGGAATGGCACCCACATGCTACCCTTAACAACTAAGCCAACCTGCCGAATGTCCGATAGAACAAATTGCAGGGAACCATCAGGGGTTATTAAAAAAAAAAAATAATGATAATAGTGAGTAAAAGATAGCATGAATATTTATGTATATTTACTTTGATTTAAATTAAAAATTATTTATTATTAATGCAAAACGTCCAATTGGTTCGTAAATTTGGACAAGATTTGTTTGAAAATGTACTGGAATATATGTTTATTTAAAATTAAAATAATTATTAACAATTTTTATTTTCATTGTATCTTCTGTTGGATTGTTACTACATAATTATAATGTGGCAACTAGTAAGGAAAAATTAATAGTGTTATGTATGAGAAACACTGTTTTACTCAAAATGATACAATAGACCGGATGTCATCGTACCCGTAGGCCTGTAACGTTTTGACCTGAGGGCTGGGTAATAAATTGTATGCAGTCCGGGTCTATTTTCTTAAGTGGACGACTGACTTTCGGTCGTGCTCTTACGGATTTTTCCTCACTTCGAGTACGATTTCCAAAACATTAAGACGTCCTTCCAAGCCAAGAAATAAAAGTAGTAGAAAAAGGATTTATAGTATTTACTATTTATTTTAACCCATTTCCAATATCTTCCTATTCAGATTGTTCACGTTATTAGTACCCACTGTTTTTCTTGTAAGTGGTTAATTTATACAAAAAAAACATTTCTTTACTACTTTTTATACGCAATAGAATTTTGGCTTGAGTAGATTTTCTGAATTTATGGTTTACGAGAAAAATGTTCAGAACTAACAGCGCGAGCACCATTTACAAACGTAACGTATTTAATATGTTTATTAGCAATGGAAGGGAAATGATATTCAGGAACAAAAATATAATTTTAAACGACACATTTATTACAAAAATATTTTCGAGTATTGAAATTGACATTCTGCTTTAGTAATAACTGACACGGAGCGCAGTAAATATTTGTAAGTACTCAAAAGTTTTTCAACAAATACACTCTAATCACAATGCAATTAAATACGTAGTAATAATAAATTATAAATGAACATGTACGAACATACTTGAGTTGTTTCAATGATAGTTTCCTTGTAATTGGTTTGTGTTTATTTGTAATTACTGTTAATTGTACAATTAAATGCTATTAATTAATTATAAATAAATTACATATTTCATATTAATTACAAATATATTCGTCCAATTCGATAGTTTCGTCAACATTTTCGAAAATCTTTAAGTACATTTTCCTATCTTTATGTAAACAACATTTGGGAGGCACGTATGATTGAACAAGGAAAAATAAAAACAGACTTCTTGAATGATTCAATGGTAAACTAATTATAAAGTGACACAAATTCATCAGAAATTTGTAAGTAAGATTTTTTACATTTTTGTTCTTTTATTCATGAGATCGAAGTCGTATTGCCAACGTCACCCTTGATCAACTTTTCAATTTCCGGTAACGAATTCTTCAGCCACGATGTTACGAAATTTCCATTTGCTTCCACGAGTGCTGCCGCGAATCTAGCTCCTTTCATACTATCGTAATTATTTCCTCTGAATGCTTGTAACTGTAACAGAATAACGATTATTTAATCATGAAAAAAATCTGAGTAGCAATCACACAGAGTCATTCAGAAAAGTATTTCGTAAATATATTAAGTTACACTTTCCTGCTTTAATTTTATTAGTTCCGACTTAACATGTATGTACCTACGCATGCCAAACGGAAAACTTCTTGAGTCAGACTATACATTTTATTGCATATAAAGACGCAACTCTCATTACCAGATTCGAAATTACCAATGAAAATGCTGTTTCTTTAATTGTATAAAACAAATCATTCATTTGATTAAAGTTTATATACAAAATCTATTGGAACTTTTTTAACCGAAAATATTTATTTAAAACTGATGATACTACGAAGTGCTATAAAAAATGCATTCTTTGGTGCGTATTAATAAAACGGTATCTTGAAATCACTTAACAAAGTGTTCAAATTAAAAAAAGAAATGGGATGCTTTTGCAATCAACTGTACATCTACTTATTGCTAGTTTGAGAAAGTTCTTACATCATCCAAGTCCTGTTCAGTGGTTAAGCCATTGCTCATCGATAACACGAAAGACTTCAGCATTGAATAAGACCCAAGGAATCTACATCGAAAAAATCATTTCGTTATTCATTCCTCTTCTAAATCATTACTTATTTAAATAATATAAACAGACTGCAGATTTTATCGTATAAATATATTTATTTATGCAAAACTATACGCATATAATGTTTAAACTAGAAACATAATACATACAAGTAGAAATACTGATAATAGTTTAATAGCGTTTCTATTTTCTTTTTACCTTAATACTTACCTTTATTAAAGATTATAAATTTCAATTTAATTCCGTTCGTCTAATTATCATCTACAGTGTAGGCAAGGAATATACTTACTTTTGAGAAATTTCCTGCCAATTGGCTCTCACGAATCGAGATGCAACCTGCGCCGCAGCTGGGTTTCGAGGGAACGCTCTTAATATTACTAAGGCTTCGTCCTCATGGAATGTTTCTTCGTAGAGTATTTCGTTGAGAATACTGGCATCATCGAAAAGAGAATGTACAACATTAAACATGATTATAGCTTACACAGTTTGTCCAAAAAGTTTCCGCATTGAACTTTAAACAACAATTTTTAGTATGATATTCACTCTTGTTATCAGCCATTATTGAAAGTAGCTTCCTTGTGAGGTAATATGTTGTTCATTATAATTATACAAACACTGTAAATAGCTCTCTGATTATCAGAGCCATTTCGTGAGTTTCTGTGAAAATTGGAAACAGCATATCTTTTTAGAAGAAAACTATTTGTAATGTTTAATAATGCAATCATGTATCGTCATTTTATAGAAAACTGCTGTTTTACTTGCTGTTCGGAAACTTTTGGAACAAACTGTGTATTTTGACGTTTTATCGGGGTGACATGTATTAACAAAAGTCTTTCAGTAATAAATTCGTGTACAGATACTTTAATTCTGTATACAAAATACAGCTAAAACGATTGTACGAGCAGAAAAAAGTTGACTATCCATGCGAAAGTAAATTCAAAGTGCAGAATCAAATTTTATCGTCCAAGAATTACTCCCCAAGAAATCAATTCTGAAAGGCTGTTGGACACAGATATAGGTAATTGAATAGGATTCAATAATGTGTATTTTCATTCCTCACTGTTTCTATGTACTTATTTTCTGTATCAACTGAACAACCAAAGTCGACCTTCTCGAAAACTGAGCCGCATACAAAAAGGTTTCACTTAACTCATTTAAATTGATAATTAATCATTATATAATATACACTCATACATCATAATAGTCTTTTTACTCAGCGTCCAATAACCTTTCGGAATGTATAGTCAAATTTTACATATTGTATGTAAAAACTCAAAGTGGCCGTCATATCTCGATGAAAGAGTAAAATAAGAAAAAACTAATTACTGTCTTGTATGACCTCCTCGATAACATACAAATTTTGTTTGAAACATTCTTTCGTACAATGAACAATTTATAAGCAATTCACAGTAGTAAAAGTAAGTGACTCACCCTGTATATTCATATTCACGGTAAATGCACGGTAATGCTAATTTTACAATGAAACTGTTTAACTCACGACTGTAAAATCCAGGGCGCTTGGAAGCAAGCGAATGATGTTAATAGACGTTTCCTCTCTTCCTCGTCTTCGATTAGAGTTACTCTTTCCGTGAAGTAATTCCACTCCTTCTTTGTACCGTAACGAGCAAGGGTACAATAAAATGTCCTGCGAATGTACGAGGGGACGCTGAAAGAATTCAATTCTCTGAGGCTGTTGAAAAATTTAAATAAGCACGACAAAAATAGTTACAGGGTATGCAGACAGACGTATTACAACTTGGAAATAGACAGACAACTTTCATTCGAAAGAAATATAAGTTCAAAGTAGAGAAACTGAAGAGTTAACTTCCAAAATAATAAATTTCACCTATATTCCTATAAATTGCACAGCACCTTTCTCTATTAATGGAAACGAAATTATGTGATATTGCTATATTATTAGTATCACTGATACAAAGTAGCTAATATTATTATATACCATTTTATACTATTATTAATAACACTATTAATATCGAATAATTATAATATGAATAAGTTAATCTTAGTACTATTCTGTTACCATATAAAATAATGAATTTCATTTCCTGTCTACTAGAAGCATTAAAATTTATTTCACTCGCCAATTAAAAATCTAATATGAAAATTCATTAAGTAAATATATCTGTGAATACAATATAATAAGCTGTGTATGTAACACTACTTAATATTATGTGTTGGAACGGTTTTTTTATTTCTATAGATGTACCAGTATCTCACAGTACCAAATACATTATCCTAAGAAACTATCTATTAACATGAATATGTATATTGAATTTATTAATTAATGATAACAGCAATCCTGTAAAAAAATTCATTTCTGGACTCACATTTCTTCCATTTCAGTATCAGTCTTTGAATTCTCGAATACGTTCTTCACCCAGTCTAGGCACTGTGTATTATCAAACGTGCACGCCATTTTTATAGCGATTTTCGTTAGATGGGAGCCTTCTTTGATTTTCGATCCCTCTTCGGTGTACAACGGAGATACAAAATTCATCATAAATTCCTGTAAAGCACAATTTTGTAAACAGCTAAAACAACGGAATTACAGTACAGTCAAGAAATTCAAATTCCTAAAGTTGTTGCACAATATCTAAGTAGTTAAATGGCATTCCAGCAACTGCAGAAGTACCATTAACGACATGATTATCAAGTTACGCAATAAAGTGTCTTTCAAAGTTCTTCCAACAAGGATATCACACGCAATGCATTTTTTTTATTTGTTTATGTATGTATTCCGTCAACACTGCAATCAATTTGAACATAGGTTCTTAAAATAGCACGAAGCATTATTAATCCTAGCAGCGGAATAGTTAAAACGTTAAACGTTGTTAAACGTCAGAATAAGTGATACGATCCACTGGAAAATGTAATTATAGTTTATCTCTTGTATTAAATAAATAGAAGGTATCGGTAATAACAAATTACTTAAATAATGAAATTACAACTATTCAGGTGAATTTCCATTTTCATGTACCAAAGAAAAATGAAGTCAAATATGAAATTAAAATCATTAATTAATGTCAGGGGTTTTCTTCCATTGTATTTAGAAATATCAACATACGTCATAAGTACTATAAAATTCATAGATCTTAAAACCGCGCAGGAAATTCTTCAATAAACGTTTCATAGTCTATTATTACAAGCGATGCAGAAAACGAAGTCATTAATTAAAGATAGCACATGTGTGCACATATAATCTATTAAGCATTGTAATTTGTTATGTAATTGCTTTAATCGATTATTAATAATTAAGAAAAAATATATTATTTCATTTTTTATGATGTATATTAACTACTCTAATTTGATAGTTCTTCTAATTTTTTTATGGAATTCGTTTTCCCTATTTGCTTAATTGATAATTATGGCACTTTTTATTTAACAAAAACAAACGCACCTGGAAATCTGTAAAAATTGGTGTTTCGTACAGAAGCCTATTTAATTTGAACGCGTGTCGCATCAACGCCGTCCACGGCAAGTAATGTCGCTCCTTGATCTGCATATATTTAATGAAGTCAAAGACAGTTTCGTATTTCATCAGGCCCACCGCGGCGAGGCTGAAAACGTCATCTATGAGCGACGCTCTCGTTTCTGCAGGGAATAACTCGTGATTTACTTGCAGCGACGATTTCAACATCATCCAATTCCTGTCGTCGTAATGTACCCGATAGTAACCTGAAAAAATATAAATAATACCTAAAAATTGATTTTCATAAGCTGAATCATGAAAAATAACGAATTATAAATTAAATAGCAAATTTGTTTTTCTATTACAAGTTCCTTAGAGTATTTAGAAACTTTTGTTTTCCACACAAATTGGCCAATATATTACAGCTCATTTACGGAAACTTTTATATTAAAGCTACGAAAAAAAATTATAAATTTCTATAGAAACAATTTTATAGATTATTATAGAATGTTATCCTTATTATACACATAGCTACTTAATGAGGAAATGCAGGCAATAAATATATTTTAAGTCAATAAAATGCTAACAGATTATTTGTAAATTTGCCTCTTTCTCTGCTTAAATAACTTAATTCTGGAATTTCGTGTAACACATATTCAGGTTGTGAAATAATTTTTTAATTAATTACATACCAGTCTTATTTACATTAAAGAGAATCCAAGATTCATTGGAGACAACATTATCTAAACTCAATTGTGGCTCAGATGGAAAGAAGACTTTCATTGGAGACGACCAGCTGCCATTTTCGGTGACATAACTCAGCGGAATGTACCAGAATTTGGAAACATCTTCTAATGATCTGTCTAATGTAAATTGTTCCTGAAATAGTAAAATATATATATTAAAATTCGATCTTTTTCATTGTTCCGAATTAAAGGTATCTACATATTTTGTAATTGTGCACAAAAATTTTAAATTAAAAATATAATTGTTTATAAATTAAAAATGTTTTTACAAAAACGATAATAGCATTTCTTATGTGTTTTAGAAAATGTAAGTAATCAATTACAAGATTAATTATAATTTAACTTATGAAACATGCATAAAACACATGGTCTACGATTTTAGGAGTTTATAGCATTCATCGAGTGGAGTAAGAAAAGTCCAATCAATGTCCTAAAATGAATCTTTTCGATGAAAAATACAGAAGTTTTTTTTACATTTGTTACAGATGTTCGATATGTATTCATTCCATTTCAATACAAAACTCACGTCAGCAGATCACAGATCGACATACATTTTCGAATATTCTTTCTGTATCTCATATTACCTATTGTCATACAACTTTCAAGTAATCTATAATACTTCTAAACCAATTTTTCTGTTTACAATCAATATGTTGCGAAGTAACTCACGATATCGAGAGCTCGTAAATACGAAAGCTGAATTTGTATCGAAAAAATTTATTTTATAACCTATGTTGATTAGACTCTTTTATTCCACTCGGTGTGAGTGAAAATACTAAAAAACATAGACCCTTTTTTTAAACACAGATATTATAGTTTCAGAATTTTCATAAAAGTTGAAAAATATGTATTTTCATTAAATTAAGAATTTTTGTTTACTTGAACGTTGAAATATTTGTAAGCTTGTAGTAACTTCGGGGAGCAACTAATAGTTACTACTAAAACGGAAAAAACATATTTTCACTTCATTTATAAGAAAATGAAAACGAAGTATAAATTGGTTTCAATTAATAACTGTCAGAATAGAACCTGATGTTTACTTTTTTATCGTATTAATTTAGGCTGTTCACCTGATAAATCGTGAGGGAATCTTCGTCATAATTTCTGATGACAGTGACAAGTGGATATCCGCCTTGACGGGCCCAAGAGTTCATTGACTCCTCCAGGGTAACTCCGGAGGGAAGTAGAAGATCGGAGGATTCCTCCGCCATAACAGTCATAAAATCGAGAACGTATGTAGTGTTGTTCTTCCTGCATGAATAATTCGAACAACTTCACTATTTTGTAAAGTACAATTCACAAATATACATGCTATCTCAGAATGAATAATATGTAAAACCGAAAAAGACGTGATTCTACGTTACAAATTCGAATCGAAAAAGAAGAATATATTACAAAGGGTAGGATTGTAATACAATTGTAATACAATGCATTTATAATGCTCCGTTTATGAGTAAATTCGTTCTGACAATTCTATTACCAAAATTCAATTTTTATTGAATTATTTAATAATACAGATGAAGGCAATATAAAGAGAAACGTAAGTAAATTTATCATATGGAAAGATATGATAAGTATAAACAGCGTAGCAAGTAATCAATCATGATTAACTCCGAAACGGCTCGATTACCGCTTCAGCTTGACTAAACTTTGAAAACATACCAACCTCAAACTACTATATTTAGCACATTTTATTAATATTTGCAAATTTAATGAAACTGAAATACAATTTGGGCAACTAAAATATATAAAATTCAAATTTATTAAATTTTTTGCAAATTATGTACCCACCACCTGGTCACCAATTTCCTGTAGCCATTCCTAAAGGCTGTATCACTTATTGCACCATGCAACATGCGTATCAGACATGCACCTACAAGAAGTAATGACAATGCAAAAGATTTCACACCTTTAATACCTTGAAACCAGACCTAAGTAGACATTTCGGAAACTTTCTTTCACACTTTTAAAAAATTCAATATTCCTTCGTGAATTGAAAATGGCGCTGCATCTGTCATCTGTGACCACCATGATAGTCAATATGTTGCAACTTAATTAAGTAGTTCTGAAGTTAAATATTTTCATAAAAAATTGTAAATATCTACTTTAAATAACAGATCCTCTTTTCTCTTATGAAATGAATTATTCGCTGTTTAATAATTTATTTGTTGCTTGATTTGGTTGCACTAAACTTATAATATATATCTATAAGTTATTATTAGTTTAATTTTCACTTCAACTCTGTTTCCTAGTATTCAACAATGTTTTAGCATATGTATAATTTCAAGGAAAAATATACATTACCACGCAACCATTAATTATTATCGTAAGTATCGCTTATATCTGCCTGAAAATCAATAGTATCAATGAGATTGATGGTGGATTTACTTTTTGCGTATTCGTCATTGAAAGACTGCAGCAGTCGATAGTTGATGTTCTCATGAAACGCCCTTGAAATACTGTAACTATCGATGTCCATCATTTTCATCTGAACGTCCGTGACGAAGGAATTGCTCAAGTTCAATGACGAATCTATCTAAAAATGAAATTTTATCGAAACGGTTTACAATGCCTTTAAATTATCGGAATTTTATCAAATCAATTTGATCATTTGTCATACAAAAATTGTGGCCATTTTATTGGAAATACTGCTCAACTCTATGATTTTGAAATGAATTTGATCGCTTGCCTTTGGTGTAACTTCGTGTTGAAAGTAAATCAGCGAACCCTCAAATAACCACGCGTCCGTACGATTCACGTTCATGAATTCGTCGAGCAATTGTTGCCCGAATAAAGTGACTAGAGCCTTCAGAGCTTCGTTCTTGGTGACGAGCGGTGACATATCAGTGGTGAAGAATGCAGACTGCCTTAAGAATTAATTTATTACTTATTAAATTGTATCGTCTAACGACGGTTGATAATGAGAACAAATTGGATAGAAAAATTAATCTTTTTATTTAGTAACGTCTTCTATTTACACTTATGTAAAGATGACTCAAGGTAAATCACAATCGTGATTAAAACAGACATAACGTTTTATGAGATTATGTATCTCATAATTTGAAATACTTTTGCTATAAAGAATCCTACAAGTTGTTACTAAATGATTTAACAAGAATTAAAATAAGAATGTAACAATATTACTAGAAATGTTAGAAATCGAATTGTACTAAATTCGCGGAGTTGAATGCATCGTAGAATCATTGATAGGTTTTAGCTGTGTCAAACGGCTTTTGCTTTCTCTCTCTCTATGTACTCTGCAGTCAATGATGAAAACCTTTTCCTACTATGGATGGCTGAAAAAATTGTTCTGCTTTGAAAAGTATTGTCTCAGGACCACTCCAATTATATTGACACCTGTAGGGCAGGTGGTTCCGTTAGAGGGCACTTATTATGACTTTTATCCTTTTTTGTCTATTAAAATACTAGTTATCATTCAAATGATCACAAGAAACCAAAAATATTTCTTTCATTCTAACAGAAAAATAATTACTCCTTTCTAATCTCTTGAAACTTATCAAATACTATTAGAATTTTAGGTGTTGGAAGAATAAGCCTTAGTAATGAAAGTATTTGAAGTGCATATTTTCCATGTCTACTTTACTGTAATAAATTTTTTTATGGATCGTCTTAATAATCATTCATTTTCCTTAAATTACATTGCCTAATGTGTATACAATTTTCTTCAATTTTAACATAAAATCACTAGAATTATTACACATAGAGTGGATATTTGACTGTTCTATCATTTGAATACTTTTGTAACTCTCACTTTTATATTTCACCCTTTTCTACTGTCTTTTTCGTTTCTATGGACCACAAAGGATTAAAATGTCAACCTAAAAAAAGTCATCGGAACACCTTTTCGAGGATTAATGCAATACCACGAAGAAAGAAGCGACGAGTCTTACTTGATTGCAATTAATCCCGGACTAGCAACGCTCTCGTCGATCCCAGGTGGCAGAGAGACTAGGTCCAACTTAGGAAGGGCGTAAGGTATCGGGAACACGTCAATCAGGTTAATGACAGCCGGCTCCAGTTTGTCGAAGAGGTAAATCCCCTGCGAGCGTCTCATCGAGTCACTCCAGAATGTCGCCACTACTTTTGTGCCCCCTATGAATGTCGCGCCCATATTCTCAATGTGGCCCATCAGAAATGCTAAATTGTGGGGCGAGAGCGGAGGAGACTCGTCGAACGTGTCGATCACCATTGTTGAATTCACGCTTGAACCGAAAACAAATGAATAATCAGAGAAGCATTGACACAATAGCAACTTTTATTATTTCCCACAAGATTTGATCGAAAGGTTCGGGGACTTTATGTATAAATCATTAATTATTAATCTTAACAATAATTAGAGAATCATTTTCAAAGTAACCGCCTTCTGCCCTTAATACATCTTTAAAATTCATTTTCGACTACAATTTTTTCATATAAGACTTCGGGTTCTAAAATTCATCTAACCAGCATATGTATATTCTTGCTGATAGTAAGTAGAAACGGAATTCAATGAACAGACGCATCAGCCAAGTTCCATTCAATTAATTCTACGCGTATCCAGCAGACTTTCGAGACCGATTATTTGGAGAACGAAGCATTGTACAATAAAATTTTACTCCACATTTCTAAAATTTTATTCTACATAATAAAATATCTAATTTACTACTTGAAGATATAGTATAAGTTACTTTAGAGTACATTTTACTTTTTTTTAGAAAAAACTGGATTGCTGGTAATGATTGTTTAATGAATTGAATTCATTATGATAAAATTTCATTTGAATCAGAAACTGTATAGCTACAGAAGTGTAGTAAAACAGTTTCTAGTATAATGTCTAAAGAAAAAGTTACAAATATTTGTTAAAGTAAAGGGAAATGTACTTTAAAATTCCACTCTGTCTTTTACAGTCTTATTCCTAGAAATAACAGCACGACTGACTTACGTGTCTCGCAAAGTTCTCAGAGGCATATTCGAGAGGACACTCATTTCTTTGGGACGTGCCACAGATACGGAGAAAACGACCTTCTGATCCGTGTCGTCGAAAACTGGCAGAAGATATCTTGCTCCGAAACGTTTTAACTTCGTTCCCATCAACCACCTGACATGGAATAAATTCAACGGTCGAGTAAATTTGAAAAGTAAACTTTTCATATGTGTATTCAAATTTTAAAAGTAAATAAAATTTAAATTAAAATAGTTAAAAAGCTTAAAGCTGTGAAATTAAAAGGTTCTTAAATTTTAATTAACTTTCTCAGAGTCTACGTTATTCGTTTATTTAATTTTCAAGTAAGTGTGTTGGGGCTACGTAAAGTTTTATTTGTTTAACGTTAAACGCTTATATGTATGTAAATAGACCAGTAATTAAGGTACATAGTATGATGAATGTAATGTTGTACGAATTGTTATAGTTGCTAATTTTCTTCTGTAATTGCGTATGGCTCATTTATTTTATAGTTTATTTTCTTATTTGCCTTAGAGTGAAAAATGTAAAATATGTACCTATATTGCTAAAAGGTGAAACGAACGTGACTAAATATGGGATGACATTAGTAACAGACATAATAGATCTACGACAGTGTGTTTGCAACACGATATTACGTAATACCTAGACAAACCATAGGCATAATGAGAGTGTCATTACAAATATCTACATATTTCTATGTAGTATTAATATTTTCTTTGTATACGTCTAAGTGTAAAATGATTCACTATAATCGTTTTAAAAATTATAAAACAATCATAGATTAATTATTCATGAATTACCTACGCTTTTGTCTACAATCTAGAAACACCGTGTATACTGTACGGTTAATAGTATGCACACAAGAATGTGTTCTCTCATCGATCCCGTAGTTGTCAGGAGAAACATAATAGCAATCTTCTTGTTAAACGAAAAACAAATTAAAGCTTAGAAATCATCCTCAAACTAATGAACAAAGTATGTACTTTTTGAAACAGACTATCCTGCCAGACTACTTTAAAAGTAAAAAAAATCGAAATATTTCTTTTATCTCAATATTCCTTTGAAATTCCTAAAAATGATTGTGGTGTGCGACTTTGAAGCGAACGCACCACAGGGCGGAAATATGCTTGACAGTTTGTACAGTAAAATAATTTCAAGTACTGAAATAAATGTTAAAGTCGACTGTTAATTTAGCTTAAATTTCAGTAATTCCCAATACCAAGCGGTAGGAAACTTTTCCCTTACACTGCTTTTTCGCTTAGCAGCAGCCGAGTTTGCACGTCAGTGTGCACTACAGAACAATCTTGGCTTTCTTTTTAGAGGAAAAAGCGGCATAGGTTAAGCACGTTGCACCACTTGATCTCGGGACTTACTACTCGTTCTGCCGAATGAACATTCGGCTTAACATTTTTTTTCGATTTAATATTTATTTCAGTACTTGGAATAAAGTTACCAAGTGGTAGGAGGCCCATCCCCTACGTCTCTTGTTCCCCTAGAAAGGAAGCCGACTCTGATCGTCAATGTACATTACTACTCATGAGCATTAGGACACTTGATCTGTATGAAGAAAATGTGATTCCAGAGGAGGACCCTCCCCCCCTCGCAACCAAATAGTAGGCATAACGCCGCTCTCGTGTTGCATTCATATAGAAATCACTGTATTTGCTTTCTCTTTATTCCAAATCACCAGAACGGCTGCCATCATGAACGATAATTGCCACGGTTTTTTCGTTTTCTTTTTACGTTTAACCCCTCAACGCCGACATACGTAAGAGATACGGACCCTGCGTTTTTTACATGTCGCTAATGCAAGTTACCGATCCACGGGCTGCTAGGAACGGCGATGCGATAAGACGGATTGTATACATTATTGATTGATATATGTATACAATCATATATCGTATCGTAATGAAACGCTTATGTTTTGTTTATAACAGCAAAAGCAGTTTTCAAAAGTTTTCCCACTAAATGTTCGTTACTAATTTACACAAATTATTATTTACAATTCACATTAATTTATCTACTAAAGTAAACACTAATTACAAACTGAGTTGTTCTATTTCTTTCGATATACTGGATATCACAAATAAAATATATTTATATGTATACATATACATATATGTATGTATACTCGGTTATAGTAAAATGCACTATAAAGTGAATAAGACATATAAAAACATACACCAAAAAATACACAAATATTTTTAATAGCTATTACAGCATACCTACGTGGTCATATGTGACTAATAATAAAATCCTGGGGCGCCAATAATGTATTTCCAAGCAATACAAGTATTTATGAGTGATCTACGATTTTATTTTTAGTCTCATATGATCAGAACTGTTGTGATTACCATGAAGCTTATTTTTTATTCTTTAGTGAATTTTTGATATATTATTGCACTTTTTTATGTATGCGAATTTTATTTCGCATTTCTATAAGCGTTGACATCATGTAAACACATTAATAAACAACGATATGAAAATATAAAACTGCAGCAATAATAATTTTCATCTGTTAGAAAGATTCCTCCTACGTATCCTAACCTTCACAATAAGAATATTGTTTCTCCCTACGCAACCGCCGGCACTGCAGTGCCACTGCTTGCAAATACTACCCAGCACGACAACTTACTTTTCGTTCCGCGGACCCCGGCGTTGAGAGGTTAAGTTAATAAAGAAAATGGTGAGTAATAGTTTCATAGTACTTTAGTTAATACACTAAGTTTAAAAAAAACAAGGTTATTTCAGTTCCGCATAAATAATTCGCGAACATACACTCCTTGTCAGAACGTTACTGGTCTCGCCCCTTAAGTTGTAAGTCTAATGAATGTAAAGCGTTAACGGCAAATATAAAATTACATTACAATGTATAGGAATGATATTCCTACTTGGAAAAAACTAAAACTTACCGTTCTTGGTCAGACGCGGTGTAATTGGCAATAAAAAACGCATTATCATCGATCCACGTGTGATAATCAATTTCCAGCAAATAAATTCCTTCTTGAATCGGCGTCTCTAAGAAAATCGTGTGAATTTCTTTATCGTCGTCTATTATGTATTGTGTAATCGCTATTTCCGACGAGGAAAATGCCGGAACGTCAGGATACGGTTCTTTAACATCGGAATGGTTTGCACTTCTAGCATCGTAATCTTTCGACGACGATGTTTCGAATCCCTCATCGGCCGACAAACTTTCCGTTGCACGTTCTGTGTTCTCTTGCGATAAAACGGTTTCGTTCTCCGATACTGTTAAAAGTAAGTCGCTCTCGGCGGAATATATATCCTTTCTAACTGCGAACAGAATGAATAGTAGATACATACGCGGGAAATTTCAATGAAACTAACAATCACAAGTACGAACAGATTAAAATCTACGTAATGTATTAACGATAAATTATATCTCGGATTTATATTCTGGTCACGAATTAAATTGAATTATACTAGCGAAATATTTCAATATTTTCAATAAATTAAACAATTGTGTGGTGAAGAAATTAAATTTCATTCAAACGAGAGGTTTTAATATTATTGACCTAAATGAAATGGAAGAAAAAACAACATGTTAGTATATAATATAACACAATTAGTTAAGTGATTATGGATTTGGTTTGAAAGTCATTAAATCAATTTTCAACTTCAGAAATATGTTTGCACGCCGACAACATTCAATAGAACAGAAAATCAATAATAAAAATTGTCAATAAATGATCAGTATAAGCGAATAATTACGAATATTTTGAACGATTGGTGAGTACAGAACAAATAACGACGAAATATTTAGCGAATAAGTAACGGAAAATTATAAAAATTCCAGATAACCAAAGTGAAATAATTTATAGTACATTATATGAAACTATGCACAATGTGTTTTTGCTGAAATAATTGATTACCCAGTTTTCTGTCCTGATGATCCTCATAACTACTCTCTTTGTCGTCACTCCTTCTTCGTTTCTTCTTTAATCGTGTCCGATCCTCGCCTTGATCCCTTGACGACAGTTTGTATCGCGCTACCGTGATGTTCTTCGCGTTTAAGGACAGTTTAGTTAAACCGGTTGTGTCGTTTACTTGAAACTCGATAACTACATAGCCTTTTAGGTGCGACACGCTGTTTATATTAATTATTGGCATTAATTGAAGACGATATTTCAGAGGACGAATGAAAGGCGAGGTCAGAGTCTCCAGTAAATTCTCAGTGTCCTCGATTTCGTCGTTGAGCAAATCCATGGTGTCGTAAGGCTGTAATAAAGATTCTAATGCAGCAAACGGATTTCAATTAAATTTCGTTCTTGTCGATTACGCCGTGATAATACTTGTACAATCAATGTGTTTGTATGAACATAAACTCCCATCGAGAAGTCTCTGGACACTTTGTTGTCTTGAGGAAAATGAAAATCGAAACAGAGATGTAATTATCTGTAGCGACTTTACTAATTTATTTCATTGTTACGTAAGACAGTGATCTTGAACATACCTCAAATATTTTTCAGAAACGATTTAAAAATTACTTGGTTATAATTAGTCACAAATTTTACAACCCTATTCACAGCTACGCCAATTTAATACAGACGAGTAATAATGGCATTACTGTAGAGAATTATTTCAGAAATGAACACGGTCTTGCAGAACACAATATTTAATAATAAAAGAAAATATATAATACAGCTCATAAACATACACACAATCACAACGAAATAATACAAAGTTTTAATGTAATAAGTAGTATTTCAATAGACTTCTTTATTAAATGAGTGATGACAAGAGCAAGCCATCGGAGAACTCAGTGATGTAAACATAACAATTAACTCATACTCTTTTATTAATAACAGATTACTATTAGAAACTGATACTTATGAAATATAATTGTAATTCATTTAATAATAATACGTTTGTAAAACATTCTACAATTCGTCATTTACTTATGTGCGGTGTCAGTTATTAAAACATGGCTTAAGAAATACCACCTGGCTGTTCTACTTACCTTTTTTTTTGGTAGAGAATTTATGTACCAACCGAGGCATCCCGCGGCAACGACACCGATTATGAAAACTACGATAATTCCAGCTATCTTTGTATACGATAGGAACCAACCATTGTCCCTTTTGTATTGAATATCGTCACAGGTCATAAACTCCACCGGACCGCCACTGAACTGCGGCATCGTTTGAGCTGCGAAAATTAATCGAAAGATTTCACTTCGATGTATCTGCTACTGGAATAATAACATACGATGGCAATCTGGTCTATTATCAAAAACCACATGGCCTAAAAGTATCAAATACGTGTTTAAAGAAATAAAATAATTTTATAGTTTCAAACCTCTAAATGGCGTAGGACGAAACCAAAATGAAACGAATATTGTGGATGATACTTGATCCGCAATGACTATTGTTGCAGAAGAAATTCTTTTACGTACCGCGTACACTATGGAGCTATTAAGTCTCTATACAACTCATAATTAAATCCTAACGTTATTTAATTTATTACGATAAAATGAAAGCAATTTGGACATAGTGTCATAATAGATTTTTTGTTACACTTGATATGACCTATCGTATAACTTGGATGTCCTGCAAATGTACATTTGGTATTGTGAGTCAAAGTAGTTTAATAGGTCGAGTCAGATGGACTGCTAGAAATAAAAAAGTAGCATAAAAACGTGTTTTTAATTTTTGCATGAACTGCTTATTACTTTATGTTCATAGGCATATCGATGTAATGAGTATTTACATTTGATTTTTAATTGATGAGTCAAAGAAATTTTATCAGATAAGAAATACAACACATTATTCTATAAAATAGTGGAGTAGGTACTACTAGCATAAACTTATTCTTATTATAATTAATTAATATTAGTAATAATATAAGAAATTCCGATGCAGTCATAACACTCAAAGGGTTATTCGACCTAGTTTATTTCGTGGTTCATACTATTAACACTCTGATTGTTTAATAAATGTCGCTCAAAAGGTCGTTAGCGCTGTTCTAAATAAATTGAAATTGTTTAGATAAAAAATATGACTTACGTAGCGTTAATACAATAACAAATAATGTGAACAAATAAATATGAAATGCGGCTATAACGTCGACTACTAATTAGCATATGAATACGACTAAGAAAAAACATAAGTCTGTATTTCTTGATTTTCTCACTTTAATGCCTCCTAATGGCAAAGAGGAAACAGAAATGTTCAGATTTGTAAAAATATGTGTACAAAGAAATGACATGTCAAGTCCAAATGAAGCAGAAGAATAATTTAATAAGTCCAATTGAAACATAAACAGATTTCATTATAATGGAGAATGTTAAAAAAAAATTACATTAACTTGATATTAATGCAACATAAATATGAATAATCTAGTAGATAAGCCACTGACATATTACAACTGTACAAAATATAATCATGTAGCAATTTTACAAAATTTTGACAAACGAGTGTAATTACCTTGGTACGTATTTTCAAACTTTTGTATGCATAATCGAGAACAATCGAGAAGGAAAACTGTACTTGAAGTTTGCCTGTACAACTGATATGCGTGTCGACGAAGATATGAATAAATTACCATAACTGCATAGAAAATGCAAATACACCTGCGTATCTATACACGTGTATATGTATATTACCGTAAATTTGTGTTTTCAAATCTTCGACGAAAATATTGAAATGTATCATATCCAGCTAAAACGTTCGAAAATATATTTGGGACAATTACAAGGTAGCCCGGGCGAAAATTCACAAATTTCTGCGGTATATTTTTTTTATACATATAACATGTTCCATAAAATTTACAATAAAAATTAATTTTAATAGTTCTTTGAATTTAAAGTGTTCAATTGTTCCACGAGTTGGTTTCATTTATTTGATTGCATTTCGTTCATAAAGTTAACTAGGTCATGGATTGATCCCGTGTATCAGCTGAGAATCGACTACTGCAAGTAGTACAACTCATCGCGCCAGACGCATTCCACACGCATTTTACCCAATTTTCAACAATTAATACCTCGAAAACGAAGCCTAGAACACGGTTCCGTCATTCTTGATTATCGTCTTTGTTTGGCGTATAGAATCCACACTGTCAAAATATGTCCCATATTTTTCTTAACATCCTATAGAGATATGAGAGGCCCAGTGAAAAAGGGGCACATGCCACAATACTATAAATTTACACATCTATTATACTTGTGGAAAAACTAATTTTCTCAGGAAATGCGATATTAACTGGTAGTTATTTTAGTTGGTAATTGAAGTGGATAGTAAATGACAATTGCTATCAAATCTTGATTCGAAAAGTCATATTATGTGACACGTTTTTTAACAATCTAAACAGAAGGTTACGGCTATTGGGGCATACAATTTTTTACAGGAATGCCTCTTTTAGTCAGTTCGATTTGGAATGTGAAGGAGGAATATTTTTATTTACATTGTGTCCGTCTTGAACATAAACAAAAGTAATTTTTGCATTCTTTTCAACGTCTAGAGACAACATCTAGCGCGGTTAATCAGTTATCATATGAAGCAAATAATGTAGAAATAAGAATTAAGGAATATTAAGATATAGTGGTAAATGTTATGCCCGGCGAAATAATACGGTTCTACCTAGACAAGTGTGTGCAAAAATTTTGCCCGAGTAACCGTACCCTTTTTGTGTAATTGTTAAAAAGCGTATCATTTATTATGATTTTTCGAGCCAAGATTTTACAGTAATTGTTATTTACCACCTTCAGTTACCAACTAAATACCTTCGAATTAATACCAAATTACCTGAGAAAATTAGTTTTCCTGAAAGTAGTTGTCGTGTAAACTTATAGTATTGTAGCATGTGCCACTTTTCCACGAGGACCCTCTTATTACAAGATCTCTAAAGAGGCAAAGTGGCATGGGCTACTTTTCCACTAAGAATTGGTTTGCTCTCAATGTTAAGAAATTTTAATATGCTTCCATTTACGAAAGGGTTTATGTCACGGTGCTTGAAGGTCGTGGAATGTACGCTAGAATGCTAGAGCCTGTTGATGGTGCAAAAACGTAAAAATTGACGTAGATGTGGCATGTGTCCTTTTTCCACTGAGCCCTGCATACATATATGTACGCTTGCCAGGATAGAAATATTGCATAGAATACACACGAAGTTTGAAATACATTGTCCGGATAATAGAACGTTTCGATGAAAGAATATTCAGATAATGAGAACGTTCTGATAATGGAGGTTCTACTTTATTATAAGAACTGAAAAACAGTTTGTATTGTATAGAGTCCTTCTTGGCCTGAATTAGTCTACCAAAAATGTTTATAAAGTTTGCCACTCTGTATTCTTACGAAATTTAAAATGATAAAATGGTGATTTAATCTTCCTGTATATTACTCATGTCGGGGTCTGTTATAAATTAGACTTCAGAAGTGCTGTCGACCACTAAAAACGATATCACCATGGTCGCCTTATCACAATCGTGTTACCGTCTCAGCCGAACGTGACGCGAAAACATTAAAATTGATTTTCCGGTATGCACGTTCATAAATACGTTCAAGAAACAACTCTTCAAGGCCCTTTCTGTGCACACTGCCTTACGTCACTTGACCGTTAGTGTAATCATTCATGGTGCCGATGAAAATTCACTCGCTAAGTATAATACTTACGTACAGGGTTGTTTCGTTGACTCTACTAAAAATCATTCTCTAAAGTTTCATCAAATATATTTAACTGTAATTGAAGAATTTTAAACATTTTTTCTATTCTTCTACAAATTTCACTAAATACACAGCTCCTTTCTTATTATGTAATACCATGGAAAATGTCATTTTCTCTGCTATTTTCATTTTCTATTATCTTCTATTTTCACCTACAATTATTCTATTATCTACATGTTCTTTTCAAAAATAATGTAATATCATGTTGCATTTTTTTAAAAATGTAAAGAAATTAATTATTATGTGAGAAGCAATTTCAACGAATATTTATGCATCTGACAATATAAAATTCTACATTATTAAACCGAACATTATACGTAAAGGACTAGTCTCGTGGACACAACATTTTGAATTTGAAAATATACTCTTTAATAAAAATTTGACTGAAGATTTTCGAAGTTTTTCCATGAATTTTATTCTCATCCAGTGTTTATGCAAATTCGTTTCAAACGGCCGTTCGTAGAAATATTCAATCATAAAAACATAATTTAATCTCCAAACCAGTTCAACCGATCCTTTCATATGGAACAAGTTAATATAATTCAGATATGTAGCAGTTCATCATATACGAAACGATTTCGTAAATATAATAAAACGGTAGGGAATATCATTTCGTTTTTCCTAATTTTCGAATGATTTAAATTCGATCGAGAATTAATTCGAGGAAATCGTTGAACCCTGCATGAAATAGGGTACTTACTGAGGTGTCAGTGAATGTTTAACGTAATTAGTTGCACGTCACCGTAATACACGTGCCAAAATCCCGAATTTCGCAAGACTTTGAATTATTTCACCGAAACATGCTTCACCGATGATAACTCACGCAAAATGACTAAAGGTTACTACCAACAGTGCTTTATGGTATTACGTATGCGAATCGTACGTGCAATTCCTCGCAGTAATATACGGTATGAAAGGATTCTGTTGCACGTTATATCACGTGTTGCATGATCAACGTGTAAACAAACGAAATTCGACGTACCCGTGTTCCCATGTCGTTGTTGCTAGTAGCTGATAAAGGTAACACTGTAAAGCACGCAACGCTGATGAAGTTGATAAACAGATTGAGGAATTTTATGCAAATAATCGTGTATATATAAAAACTGTTTAAGACTGTAATTACATGCACTACCGTTCAGAAATATCCGGACAATTATACGATGATGCAAATCTGAGAAATTATCTATAAATATTTATAAATATCGTTTATACGAATTGTCTTTATTTATTTTTGTAACTTCATCTTATAAAAAGCGAATATATTACATTATTATAGAAGAACGTAAGTGATATACTATGACCATGGCATAATTTAGAGTAGGATTCTGGAACAATGACGTTGCTTGTATTGAACGGTATCCAAACGAAATAGCGGTAACTTAATAATACATCTTTTTTTGTTTACACTTGCACCTCTCATAATTACATAAAATCCAGTTCACATTGACAAATTAAAGCGTTGAAGTTTGTTGTATTTCAATATTAACGTATAATATTGTAATGTATTTAGATCAATTATGATTACACATATTAATGATGATACTGTGTTTGTTAAATTGGCACGTTTGGTCTCCAATTTATTATTTTGTGAATATAAACTTTATTAATGTTTTACACGTTTGCTACTTATTTTATTAGCAAAATAAAATAAAACCTCGACGAAAATCTTACCATCTTCTCATGTTCCATGAAATAAGTTTCTTTACTGCTTTTATAAATGTATCGAACCTATTGTAGAATTATCAGGTTCGTATGTACAAAATGTCAGTTTTTATTGTTTTGATTCCAGCAACGAAATGATAGTACCCTCAAAAGGTAAAAATTCAAACAAATTGCTTTAATAAAATAAAGAAGATTCTTATAATTACGTATATAATTTTATTTGCATTTAAAGTAAATTATTTTATTTCATTAGATCCTATCAACTGTTTAAGCTAAACAAATTGCATTATTTATTTTAATCTTCAACCTAATAAAACACGACGCAAAATGTGAGGAGTAAATCAATTTAATTTATTTATAAATTAACTTATTATAAAATAGCGAATTTGCATAAATATGTTAAGGTCGAAAATTTTAAAATAAAGGTATTCCTATTACTATATATTATATATTATTACTATATATTGTGAATTGATCCTAAAAAGGATGCGAATACCAATTCTTCACGAAAATATATATGTAGGTACAATTTGCTATTTCATTTGACTACTTGGCTACGCGTGCAACGTTGGTCACAAGTAGGTACAATTATGTCATACAATAACTGTGATCGTACATTTCCGTTTAGGAGCCTTCCGTTTATGTTGTATATGCCTACATAGATACTTACAATTTGACGAAATATTTATATAAATATTATTTTCTATCTACTGTTACCACAACTGTAACTACACCAAACGTTTCTTACAAAATTGTACTAAAATAAAAAGGAAACAGATTCCTAATAAGTTTTCATGAATACATACATATGTATATTCACACTAGAACTACCAATCTCGTCAAAATGTCTGATTTAAAATTTCTTATTTTACATATACTAAAATTACAAAGGGCCATTGATCGGACTTCATGCTGATAATCGTTAAATTTAATTTAATTTTATTATAATTATGGTATAGAAGTACTTTATTCAATTGTTTTATTTATTGTTCCCACAATTTTTTATATACACATAACAAAGTTCATAACGTTTTATCATTATAATTTTTATTATATCAAACAGTAATAATACAACTATGAATGTTTATGAAAATTTCCATGTTCAGAGACTATTCTTCGTAAACCGGAGACAAAAAATCTGAATTTCTCGAATTTCGATGTTTATTATGTTCACAAAATACAAAAACTTTTACTAATTTCCATGAGAGGTTTTCATTATATTGTGCTATACGCATATTTCTCTTGCGATTGTTGCAAAAGAATACAATAAAGACAAACGTTGTTTCTCCTTAATTTTAGAATTTCTGAAGTATTAACAAACAATGCACAATTTCGTGTTAATAGACATTGGCTTCCAATACAGATTCTTTTGGAAGAATGGTCAATGTATTTTGAAAATGGAATTTCCAATGGTAACTCACAATCAGTGGCTGTGGAGTCAGTTACGCTTCAGAGACACGAGCGTCTCTAGCAATCAAGCAATTATGAACGTTTTTTCTATTATATTTTCTCGACGTGGAATTCAATTCTTCACAGACACGGGGCAAAACGTTTTGAAAACTGAGGGGCACTACTTCTAATAACAAATGCTGTAACAATGTAGAAAAGATTTTTGATAGACAAATAATTATTACTGTTCATTATGTCTGATATTAAAACGTAACATGAAAAATTTTGAGGACTGTTTCTTTTTTTTTGTTTTTGAAGGTAAATACTTGTGTAGTATTATTTGATATTTAAAAATCTATTAACTCTATTCTTTTATATCTATGATATAGAACTATATGAAATTAAAAAATATCTTAACTACTAAAAATGAATGTTTACATTGCACAAGTCAATTAATCACTAGAATCTTAATTATAACTTTTATAGATTTCGGTTAGCTTTTCAATATTAATATTTCAATTTGAAATAAATGATTTTACGAGTGCGTTATTATAGAAATTTTCATCAATATAAATTAAAATAATGGGTGTAATTTTGAATAGATGCAGTAGTTCTATTTTAATGTCAAATGGTACATAGTATATTGCGTTACATTATTCTGAAGATTGCATGGAATTAAATATTGTAATTACATGAAAATAATTAACATTTAGAATAGTAATAATTGGTATAACGTTTCAAAAATAATGTGCTAGAAAAGAGAACGTTTACGTTTTTATATTATTACAAATATGTACTCTAAACAAAACTTACAAGTGCAAGTCTTGAATATTAAGCAGCAAATAAATTCACAGTTATGCTTAAGGTTGGACTATAACTTTCGAACTTGTCACGTATTTTTATCTTTTCATTAACATTGTCCTTTATCTTATTACTGTCGGTTCAATTTCGTGGCACAATTCACGGTAATCGAACATTGAAAGCCTGTTTTACGACATATTGTAATAATATTACTACATTTCTTGACCCCAATCATCTCATAGGAAATTTCACACAACAAGTACTGTAAATTTGTAGCTTGTTACAAAGATCATTGCATAAGGCTCAAGTAAACAATCTGATTACTTGGAATGTCTAATACCTTGAATGGAATACCTTGAAATAAATGCACAGAAAATACTTTTAATTCAACTAGATCCATACTCCCATGCAAATTATTCTAGAATTGAGAAATTGAAAAATTAGTTACAAATTTTGTACAAGTTATTATATTATTATTAAAAACGAAGCGTTGAATCCTTTCAATCTCTATTATATGCCTTCGAATATTTTTTAGAAATGTATACAATATTCTCTCTTTAAATGATACAAAAACTATTAAATGCTATAAAACTTTTTTAAATATTAAATATTTCTTCGTTAAATGAGGCATATTAAAATGTCTGATGTCTGTTCTTTCATTAATCTCTTATTTAACAGTAGCATAATATAACTGTTTCTTTTAATTCTTCTCTTATTTCAGTAAAATATTCATATATAAATTTGTTATAAATGTCGATATGCAATGGGAACATGGGTATTTAAACTTGAAATTCTCTAGTCTATGTGTAACCTGTATTTACGCATATTCCTCGGTGAGAAAACCAAACTTTGACCAGAATTTCAATTTTTGACCTACATTTCAATTTTTGTAACTCATAAAAAACACTTAGCTTCTTTCACATTTTACTAGGAAAGAAAGATTAGCAAGATGAATGTGCTGGTACTCACAACTTCTACGTCCATAATCCTGCCAACTGGAAATAGATCCTCGGCTCATGTGATCAGCTTCCGGTTACCACCAATCAAGGAAACAAGGATCGCGTGCTGCGTCCGACACGACAAAAAGCAATCAGTCACGTGAACTAACCAAAGCGAACGAATGATCCACAGCGAGACGATTCTTTTTGAAACTGAAAGTTAAATTTGTGACCGCGATGGCGCGCTTCGTTGATGCAGGTGCAACGCAATTAGTCGTTCTACCTGTGATGCAATAGACGAAGACTGGCTCAGCAGTCAGAATGCAGCAGTTTGTAGCTCCCCACTTTTTTCAATCGTTACCTCGACGTATCACCACTCTTTGTTATCGTCACAGTCTTCTTCCTTTCCCTTTCCGTACGATATACATTATCAAACCTCAAATTACTTTTGTCCTGACACCATTACAAAAATCGCTTAAATCATTAATCTGTCGAATCTGTAAAATCCGCATTCGTCACTTATTGTGTATTATATCGGTCCATGTTATGTTAATGAAAACAATTTTCGAAAAATACTTGAAAATTGACCTGAGTAATGGTATCGATTGCTGTGTCGTTACTCAGAATACAATTCACATTCAAAGTGTGAAAATAGAAATATTATCGAATGCAAAGTATATAAATTACAATTAAGCCATTTTCATAATCACTGTCACATTTAACGCGGGCAGTTATATAGGTATCTTATTTTTCAATGCAATTTAAACATTTCCGATTGAAGAACCTAGATGTATTTGTATTTATTAGTATCAACGCAAATGAATAATCCTAGTTAGAGATAGATCTGATGATGAGTGAAGTTTTAGTAAAGTTTCAGATCGGTCTGAATTAAATCTAGAGTAGATTTGGTTTAGAACCGAGTTAGGTCTCAGTCAGAATCGAGGAACTAGTCTGTGATTCAAAATTGATAACATTACGCACTAGGTTTTTTTAATCAAAATTAAAAATAACTTTGTGATTTATTGGTGGATCACCATACTGATCTACCAATACTAGTACCATCTACTATGGTCTAAATTCATATTTATATTGCTTTTATCGTATATGGATAGTTTCTCTCTTCTTTACCAAACTGATGTATATCAAGCGAGATCAATTTTGTTTCAATACTTTGACTGTCGCGTAACCTAAATATGGATAACACGAATATTGCAAAGAAGCTGGATTATTTAATTACTGTTACAACATTTTTGGGTAAAATTCATATCGCAGTATTATTTAAAACAGGACCAAAAGCCCCTATTAACTATGTAGATATTTTCGACGACTCACCTACAAAAGAAAATAAATTGTGACTGGCTAGGTACGGCATTTTTCACTGCAGCAGTCGACGTGCAACAGGGAAGTTAAAGGATCACTTGAAAAGTACCCGTTACAAATAGCGTCGATAAACTACGAGCTTACAAGTTATCGTCAATTAAGAAGAAGCATAAGAGTCTCATAATAAAGACATTAAACAATTTTGAGAATGTTATCTTAGGAAGTTTTGTAGAAGAAATTTTTTATTACCCATTACAATAGCATTATCAGGTCCATATACATATAAACAGTTTGAGGAAACCATGTACGAAGAAAATGGAGAAACATCTCAAAAATGTTATTTACTTCTTTGAATTGCCTAATGTCAGCGAAGCTGAAGTAGACGAAGAATAGGAACGTGATTTGGACTAAAGTTATACAATATGAATATTGTACCTATAACAAGTAAAGACAAGCTACAAAGTATTTGTACTTTTTATACAAATAATTACAGCATTCAAAAGTGCCAAAAGACTTTTTCGTCAATAAAACATCAAGGTCACTTTAAAGATGACATCGAGACAAATTTAATCACATCACAGAAAGTTATTTTTTTTAATGATTTTCTTAGAACACCATTCTTAAATGTACCTAATAAGATCCTTCCAAGTAACGCATGAGTCAAACATGAAAGTGCATGATGGCGACATGCTTCACATATCACGTGTTCTACAATAAAACAATTACGCACAATGAACGAGAAGTCAAATTTATGACAAGTCTGTTTACTGTTTACATTTAGTTACCATGTGAATATACGTTCATGTTTGAGATACGAGTTAATAAACAATATTATTACATTTAAGAATGATTTTCTAAGCAAACTAGTAAAGACAGACAATTTGGTAAGAATCACTGAATTTTTTTCGATACTACTTACAATACGAGATAGAAAGAATTATACGGTGCCATTCAAGAAAGTGAAGGTGACATTGATTTTTTATCGGAGAAAAAGATTTCTGACAATATTTAATATTGCAATTCATTGCTGATTGATTACTGACTAACTCTGAAAAATCGTGATGATTATTACGATGAACACCCTGCAGGCCCAGTTTAGATGTATTTACTCATTAATGTGAACTCACGTATTTTGTTTTAGGTTGAAATTATGCTTATTTGCAGATAGTACGCTATACTTGAAACTCTAAGGAACCAAGTACATGAAAGTTTCGTTATAGTTTCACAGCCGAAACATATAAGACTAGCTTCGGACGGTTTTATACTTCTGAAACGCACTGTATACACCAGCAATAATAATTCTGTTTCTCGAATGAAAATCAGAGTACGAAACTCTTCGATAACTGTAATAAACATAGAAAACTAAGCACATAAATTATGACAGCAACATAATTGGATGACCTGATAAACTCACCTGTGGTTCATCAAATTAATTAAAATTTTATCCACCGCTGAACAGTACGAGTGACCCAGTTGCCCCACTAACGACACAGGAACCTCATCCACAGAAACATCCCATCAGTTCTAATTGAAATCTTACGCGTGGCCAAGATCGCCAGCTTTTCATCCATTTAAACCAATCCACAATGACCGCACGCAACGGTGCCATACACGAACAGGTTCACCGAATCACAATTTCCATTGACGCTTTCAGTATTGGCCATTGACGTTGGCTTCTCAGCCGTCAGCGACGGTTACTATTACGATTAGAGTCCCTTTTGTGACGTCTACCGCGTGGAATTGGATAATGGACGATCTACATATTACGCGGTTAAGTGGATCTAAACGATCTGAATCCGTGATTCGGGCTTGAATCGGTAATTACGTGGTCGTTCACGTTCACTCTGCTCGCCGGGCGACATTTTTTTTCCATCTTTTCACCCTGTTTTTCTTTCTTTGCTGCCAGTGGTGGCCATATTGGTGCACCGAAGAGGACGAAGAAGTTGAACAGTCGGCTCGGGGCCGCGTTCCTTGCCGGTCCTACGGTTTTCGCTGGAGCATATATCTTTGTCGGTGAATTGTATCAAGGTCACACCGATGATACCATAGATCGAAACCTTTGGTGATCGTTAGTTACCGTCTGTGAATTGATACTGTCAGAGCGTTCCCTACCGCATGCAAGTGCGGACGTGCTGGATGAGAATCGCGAAGTAAGCCTGAGTGTTTCATGGATTCTGAGCTGAATCGAAAGTATGCTATTTACTGTGATAGTTCGATTGAAATTGATATTTTTTTATGGAGGGTGACTTTGCGATTACAGTTGTGTCGATAACTAACGGGACATCTGTTGTTTTCGAAGAAAGTGTGATGTTTCAGAGGGGTTGCTGATTTCACAGAATTTTTCTTGCTTCGCGGTAGGCTGAGTATTCGCTAACGAGCTTTAACAGTCTCAAGACTGTGCATACTTTATATTTTTGATGATTCTGTAATCGTTTTTTTTAGTATTATTTCTTATTAGATGGGTATTCCGATACTTTAATTATTTGTTTTTAAAATATAGATAGTATTAGTTTGAAAAGAATCTTTCAGTCGGGTATCAGTATGACCGCCATTGGAATGTTAAATGACTTCACACTTCATTTGTTCGAATTTAGTTGCTACGGACAAACTAAAATTTAAATTTAACCTTTAATATCAGTGCAGGAAAGTAATTAAATATGTCAACCTTTGAACCATTGATGTAAAAATATTTTATTAGCATTAACAGTTGTTTCATAAGTTTAATGAGTACTACACACAATTACATCTTTCAGTCTTCTATCAGATTACCCGATACAGGCGTTAAGGATCATTCTACTTTGACTGCCGAAAATTTAAGCTACTTATTAGGGATTTTTTCCTCAGCAAATACAATATGTTTACGAAATACAGCTTTTTAATATTTATTGAACTACTTATGAATAATAATAAAAAGCATTTGCTAACATCATTTTATTATATTGTGTTTTAACATTGTTTCTTAGCATGAAAATGACATGTCAAAAAAAAAGTATCCGAAACAAGAAATTCAAGAAGATTGTTAATTGGTATGAGTGTGGCTGTCACAGGGGGCACAGTCATGTTTATATCTTTAATTTGGCATTCTTTTTACATAACAAAATGACCGAAAAAGTGCTTTTATTTGGAAAATAGAATAGAATTATTTTTGTAAGTAAATACTAAAAAGATGTACTTGATTTGCATACTAAAAAGTTGCTTTAAATTTTCGGCCGACAAAATACATAGATTGTACTTGTCATGTATTAATAATATTTTACGTACTTAATAGTACAAAGAATATACTTGAAAAAGTGAATATTCATTTTTTTGCTCATAATAATATTAAAAAACAAGTGTACAAAAACTATGGTACTAAGAATACGTAAATTGAATTCATTTTCTATGATAGTTCTTACTGTGTGCATAGTGTTTCACTCATTATAACTCCCAATTATAATGTAAAAACGACATATTGATGTCAACACTTATTAATGTTAATTTTAATGCCAATACTTTCTTTCAATATTTTATAACAAGCTAATAGATATAGAGCATTCTGTACATATTTACATTGTACTGGGCAAAATAATTTAAATGCACAGTATATCGATACTATTGATATTTTCCTTTCTCATTTCTATGCAAGTGTACAAGCTAAATTATTCGTATACACTAATATTAATAATATCCTTTTTATATACAATACTGAACACGAATAAAATAAATAAAAGTTACTGTACATCATTGTTAAAAGTTTCTCATTACTTACACGAATTTTTGGTATTTAAGGATGTGAAACACCCTACATATTAAGAATTTCTTTCGGTCTCACTTAATTTTAAGACAGTTCCATTTTCAATGTAAAATTTTAAAATATGAAATATGAAACGGTTAATCTCAACAAACATCCACGGTCTTCAATTACTAACGACAAAAGTGTTCTGAATTGAAATATAAAACTTGTCGACACCAGTTTCGTTTTACTGAATTCGTCTGAACGGTTTTATTTATTATTTTGACAGGAGAACGATGAGGTGGATAGCAGCAATCGCTGGACTGGTTTTCATTCTGGTCCTGCCACAGGATACTGAGGCCTTTCCCCATGTAAGCAATTAGTTTTAAGCATGATATTAATCAATTTCCGCCATAATCCGCTAATGTTATTTAACATTAATAAAATCGCAACTTGTTCTCCACGAAATTCTAAGTTTATATGAACATTACATTAAAGTGCGTCGTGAACGCTTTTCTAGTACGCCCATTTTCACTCACGGACAATTAAAATTTAGAAGTCATCTGCGCCCTTCGTCTTCGACATTTGAATCAGTGATTAGTAATAACTTATTACGGAAAAGTTCAATTCATTTCAATTTATTATTGTAAAGTTTCAATATGAATAACAATGGTGAAATTCAAAATCGAATTTTAGCTATTAAGGCCCTTAGGGGGAAAATGCCTGAGGTTTCCTATTAAATGTATAACAAATTTAATTAACATATTTCTATGAAACCAACGAACTTCATTTGTTCCTTAAATAATACACTATGGAATGGACATTATTAAATTAACAAAAATCAATGTAAGGAACTTAATTCGTTAATTTCTTCACGATCCTATGTCAACTTGAATTAAATCTTAGGAAAGAAGAACAGAAGATTGTATGGTACAATACTTTCTGTTCTCCACAATTTTTAGAAGTATTTTCGAAATCTGTGACAAGTCTCATGCAACTACTTTGTACAATTAATGCAGCAAATCCAATCGACTTGGGGTCCATTTTTGTCGCCATAATACCAATCACAAGCAATACGGAAATTATTCCTTAATGAATTAAGTAAGTTGTAACGTCTACTAGAATGGTACCCTACCCCGACATAATTTAGGCATCTCACCCCAATGTGTTGGGGAAGATGCCATGCTTGTTAATTAAGTCAAATTGTACGCCCATCATTTATGCAAATGTCTAATTAAAAATTTAATTAAAATAAGTTAAGTTTTCATTGAAATACAAAATATTAGACGGCAACAAAAAATTCTTATACACGCTACAATTTACAATATAATCATGTTCGAGACACACGTATATTGGAAGTGAAAACCAAGCAATATTTTAGTAACGGACATGACAAATGAACTTGTAGATACCATTGTGCTACCATCTACCGAATAAATTCTAAATTATAATCATTTGGCATCTTCCCCCAATTACCTTAAATTAAGATTAAAAATAAATACAAAGAAATTGAAGTTTAGTTCTGGGTGGTGCAATAGCAATTCTAACGGCTAAATTCGAATTTGAATCTAAATTTGAACTGTGAATTCAGATTTGAAGTTAAATTTCAACGGTCTAATTCAAAATTACAAATAAATTTTAACGTGCATGTTTAAAATTAAGAATAGTCACTTTTAATTTAAATTCAATTCCGAATTGTATACAACAAAGTTATATTGTTCTTTCCCGTACATTCTTGGAACGGTTTGCACATTCTGAAAGTACACATATTATATTACATGTACGTATACAGTAGACATTCCCGTAACGAAATTACTTCGGACACGTAATTGAGCGGATAATCGAATTTTCGAACAATAGAACACATCATTTCCTGATAGTAATATTCATGTACTTTGTAACAAAGGATAGAAATACTAATAATAAATATAAAGAACAATATCATTGTACCGTGTTAGGGTCTATGTTATATTTCCATCTTGATGATTCAAATCTTCTGTACTCAAACAAGAGATGGTTGGTTAATTGTTGGTTTCTGGCAGCAGTTTTAGTAACGTGGTTCTGTTTTCACTATTAAGTGTTCACGTATAATTTTACATTAAAATATTTTCAATAATCAATTAACACTCCATTATTCAATTAGAAAATTCTTGTTTTTATACTACAATGAGATTTTGTTTATCAAATATATATTTCGTAAAGTACAAATCATGGTACATAAACTACAAGACAAGTTTCTGTGTAAACAGTTCTAAAAGTACACTCGTACTGATCTCATTACGTATGCGAATAGTAGAATCTTGGAATAAAGAACTATTCTTATATGGAGAATTCGATAACAGAGAATTCTACTCTAATTCATTGTCGTTTGTTTTACAGTCAAAATGGAAACGAAGTATAGACCTAAACGACGTCTACCATTTCAAAGTAAATCAACAACGACTACCGGACAAAGTTGTACCAACTAGTTACAACCTGGAACTTCAGCCTTTCATAGGAAATGACAGATTTATGGGTCGAGTGCGAATCAACGTTATTTGGACAAACACCACCAACCTAATTAGTCTGAACGTTCATCCACATCTGGAAATCCGTCAGTCTAGTGTTACGATCACGGAAGGGTCGTTTGAAGAAAGGTCAGAATTCAATCAAACTTAAATTACTTTAAACGTTCAAGTACGACACAGCAAGCTGCTTGCATTCCATATCGAAGAATTTCGCGATATGGATCCGTGAAACCATTTCATAAATTCGGAATCGTCAGAATGCTAATTGTTACCTATACAATTATGAAACCGCAACTACTGCTGTAACCGTGAGGGGACAGTATTTTCCGATAGCAAACAAAAGAAAAATGCTTTTTTATTGAACATTTCGTCACTTTTCGACCAGATTCCTGCAGTAATTCGTGGAACTTAAACGGTTAATAAATTTTCTTATTTTTTAGTGACAACAAAAGGAAAACATTACCTAATATACAAGGTGTTTCAACAGAGATACTGATCCAATTTCACTAGAATTTACAATGGTTCTCAATTATAATATAGACAAAATGTCGAATTCTGTGCTACATGCTACTAAAGACAGTGGTTTCCAAACATCCCCAGTTCGTTGTGTTTCCAGTGTATTAAAATTTGTGTATACGTGACCGTCAGAATGTACCTAACATCTGCATTTACATTAGATTAAAAAAATATAAATAATGTATTACATTGAAGAAGTTACATATTTATTTGATTTTTCAATACTCAGAATTATTGGTGGCCACTATACAGTTTATCAGATCTTAGGATCAAATTGAAAACTGCCACCCCCATTTTCTGTTCTACGTTAATCTTTATACCAAAATTCACACACTTGACATTGCGAATGGAATTAGGTTTAGAATTAGCAGCATATATTCATCTTTTCATGAAATTTCAGACTGAGGTTTCAATAGTTGATCCGTTTAAGTTCCAGCTGCCAGCTTCTTATAAGTGAACTATCACCTTGTAAAGCAACGCTAACAACTTACACATTGCAAAATATTACTGTAAAACAACACATATGTAGTAGGGAGGCAGTCTTGTTTGCCTTAAAAATTTCGAATAATCTACGATCCTCCAAGACACGTCGACGCATACTTTGGGAATCACTAATTAAAGATTCAGTCTGATTTCGAACAAGATGTTTTCCTCCGAGTTTTTTCAGAACGTTTTTCCTTAATGGACTAATACTGTGTAGAAACACTATTGTTCTACGATATAAAATTCTGTGAATTTATTTTAAAAAGGGAGAAAGGATTGCCGCTTTTGGATGTCCACTTAGCGAAGCAAGAACTTCCAACAGAAAAAAAACCTTTATTGGTCATCCACCTTGAGGAGATGTTAAAAGAAGGCAGTGCTTGTAAGGTAGACATCACTTTCGAGGGGAAACTCACCACCAATGAAAGCAGCGGTTTATTTAAAAACGAGTACCTTGATTCCAACGGAAAGATACAGTAATTATGCTAACATTAAAAGCTCAATGTAAAACATTGGAAACGGTTCGCTAGAAACAGAATGAAGTAACTTTTCTATATACATTTTCACTTCTTATTTAGTCCATTCGTTGCTACCAACCTCCGATTGGACCACGCGCAGAGAGTATTCCCGTGCATGGACGAACCTCATTACAAAGCAACATTCAAGCTGAGTGTCTTGCGCCCGAAGAACATGACGGCTAGGTCAAACACCCCTCTAGAAAGCAGTACCGACGCGTAAGTAACTTATAAGTTAGAAATTATAATATTGAATTTTTCTTTGGTTTTTTCTTCTCATGCGATTTAAATGCAATGGCAGTCATCAACCCTCTAAATACTACGCCACTATAGGGGCTTCTCACTAATTGGGACACTTAAATATGAGACTAATTCATGGAGCCAAATTTTTCGTACCTACATGATTTTAATAGGGGTGTCCGAATACTGGTAATTTACAAGCTGAGCCGAACTTGGTTCGATTGCTCGAGTCCAGTCGAGCGTTTGAATTTTCCGAACTACTTGAAATCAACGAACTGTTTGAAAAAAATGCGAGCTACTAAAGAAACTCAAACGGCTCGAATATTCGAGCTCTCGTAAAGACTTCGATTTACTTGAAAATTAATTTTCAGCCTGTAAATGTTCGAATTACTCGAATATATTCGAACAGATCTCTTACTTTCGAGTTACTCGTAAATATTCGAACAGATCTCTTACTTTCGAGTTACTCGTAAATATTCGAACTGCTCGAATTACACGGAGCAGATAAAAGAAGAAAATTTCATTCAACGCTACGACTAAAACACTTTGAATAAAAAAGGTATCTTCTATTCGTCGGATAATTCTCACCGAATAAATTTATTTATTCGACGCTCGTCGAAAAATGATACTTTTGTATTCGAACACCGAATAACAAATCAAATTTTTCCCTCCGTTATTCATTATTCGAAATTTTTATTTAGATAAAAATTTTGCCCGTACAAAATTATTAACTGATTACGTAAAGGATGTTTGTTTTCGTGTTGAAAACATGAAAATACATCATACGCATTTAATTAGCCTCTTATATTTTTCTTTCTAACAATTAGATCAGTATTTGATAGTAAATAGCTAAATATTCGAGTAATTCGAGCAATTCGAATATTTACGGGTAACTCGAAAGTTAAAGATCTCCTCGAATGTATCGAGTAATTCAACAATTTTCGAGCTGAAAATTCATTTTCAAATAAATCGAAGTCTTACGAGTTCTCCAATATTCGAACCGTTTGAATTTTGCAAGTAGCTCGCACTTTCTTCGAACAGTTAGTCGATTTCAAGTAGCTTGAAGAATTCGAACGCTTGACTCGACTCGACCGACCGATCATTATTTGACTCGAGATTTGAGTTACTCGAATAATTCGAGTACTAACACAACTCTAGATTTTAAACGCTAGATTTCGAGACGTTTACTATTTTTACAATCCCTCGTGCATTTTGTAGCTGATTTCACGATAGAACATCCCGATCGATCGAAGTGTAATTTCGACTTATTTTTTAACAATGAATCAAGTAGCATTTCAATCAGATATTTACAAAAACTTTTGGCTTTTGTTCAATTAGTAGTTACTAAAATATTCAGTGAACTTGTGTCGTATGGTAATTTTTTCTGAATTTCATACAGAGTCGGAAAGCCGGATCAAGTCTGGGACCACTTTGAAGAAACACCGCTAATGTCAACGTATCAAGTGGCTTTAGTCGTATCGGACTTCGAAAGTATTTCTCCTACAAAAGAAGTGAACGAAATGAACGGAAAGAAACTGGAAATTAAGGTTTGGAGCCGGAAAGAATACTTGGACGCCTTGAAGGATGTGCCCGATAAGGTGGTCAGGATCATGAATTACTTGCAAGATTATTTCAACAGCTCCATTGAGTTGCCAAAACTCGACTTAATGGCGATTCCACTATATAGTGCTACTAAAGCTTCTGACAGTTGGGGTTTGATGCTTTTCAAGTACGTATCGTTCCTATTATACTTTTCTACAGATATATTAAGTTGTCCGGAAATAAATTGCAGTTTTCAACGGGAAAGTTCAATATACTTCAACTCAGCATTATTAATCGAAATAAATAATAACCTTTAGAATCAGTAACTTTTCAAGTATATGTTACAATCTGCAATTTAATCTTTCGCACGCAGTACTTAGCCATAGACACTCAGCTTGTACCACAAGACGACGTAAAGTCATTTTTGTTTCGCATAACGCGTAACAATTGAAAATGACAAGCAAAAAATTTTAAATATCCATTAACGAACAAGCTTGGATACGACAAACCTACAGCTACGAGGCGACCAATCAGCTATCAGGGAAGAACTTCTACTCTTATAACAATTTAACCAATGAAGGATAATTTAATTGCTTTGCAAATTTTCGTACTGTCACATCTAACTGAAATTTTTAGTCGAAACGTATCATTTACGGTGTCAACTGTAGTAAATCGATCCACATCACTAAAAGTATTTATTACGTTGTTGCCTTTATTTGTATCGTAATTAACAGAAAGGCAATTCGGTGTGTGAAATACCCATAAAGGCTTGCTATTATAATTAATTGCTTCTTCTTATTTAACATGCGTACGGAAAAAATCACATTAGTTATGTCACGATTTAATAGATCATTGTATAATCAACTGTCAAAGAATTATCTTTAAACCCGACAAAGAGACTCAAAGCAAAACATGTAGATAAATTATTTTTTATATAACGTAGGAGTAATTGTATAAAGTTATTCTTGATTGCAGAGAAAGTGAACTAAGCAGTCCTTCTTATTGGAACACAGCCTACGAACTTCTTTATCAATGGATCGGTCAGCTCATTACGCCATACCGTTGGAGCGATACACCAGTCAATAAAGCACTCAATTCATTCTTAGCTTCTATGGCAACGGTGAATGTAAGCGTGATTATTTATACTTACGAAGATTATGGTGAAAAAGGAAATAGAAAATTAAGTAATTTGTTACAGCTTAACCCGGAAGAAATGGAAGGAAAGTGGCCAATGACGATATTATATTCCCTGTACTACGAATTCGGAAAGACTGTGCCATTCTCAAGAGTCGCTGGAATTAGGAACGAAGCAACGTCATCGAAAAGTGCGTTTCAATTGGATTCTTTAAAAATCTCAATTACGTTTCTTTGAATAAATATTTAACAGTTTTAAATTAGTATAGATACAGTACGTCCTTTCAATTCATTTATATCTGACGTATTTTAGAACATGAGTTGATCTGCGTTCCCTTACGTTATACATATACAGGATGTTCTACCTAACATTATCACCTAATAATTTGTGTTATATTGAACATGTCATAAGAATATTCTTTACTAAAGTTGCACAGTTTTGTGGGGACCAGTGTATAATAAAAATAGTTTTATTCTGTTTGGAGGGGGTAATGAGATGCGAAGGTTAACTTTCTTTTTTTTTAATGGAATGTTATATTCTTTTTCGATATCCTATAGCCACTGTAAAAACGAATTCAGCGACCTTCAACAATTAGTCGTTCAAGGTCACTAAAGGTCGCAGAAAAAATGTTGATAAACAAGTTCTAAAAATTCGAAGATTAAAAAAAAGAAAGTTTTTAATGTAATTTATTAAATGTACAGTTTTCATTACTTTTTCTAGTATGAATTACACAATGGCTTTCAATTTCTGATACTTTTCATAATTTTGTCTCTTCCAATGAAGAACGACAGTTCTTCAAAGTAACAGAATTTTATTTTCCAGAAATATCTGAATAATGTAATATCCATTATCTTCAAACAAATGATCTTCGATAAAAAAAATTGTCAAAGCAATTCAAATGAATAAATTAACTCAAATTGAATCAGTAAAAAGGAATAAAAAGAAAGCAAAATAATAATAATTGTTTTCTTTTTCCTGCAGAGGAACTGATATTCCGGATGTTCAATTATACCCTCGGAGAAGACCTGTTCCAAAAAGGAGTCAGAAATTTCATTCAACAGGAATCGAACAGGTAGTAATTGTTTTCACCTATTAACCGGGAGACAGACGTAAAATAGAAGTAGCTTGAACTCTGAGCGTTAAATTACGATCTTGACCTAATAACTGTCGAAAAATAATGGCATCGAGGTCACGTAATCACTTTAGGAATAGAGTGTAGGTGAAAATTCTTATCAAATTCTATTGCATAATTCAATTACTCTTAGAAATTTTGTTGCACATCACAAGTTGAACTTGTGAAATTAACGAAATTTAATTCATGGCCGAGAAATAAAAATATTTCTACTTTTTATACGAATTATAAAATAAGCTAGATGTGTGTGCAAGTTGAGACTTTCAAATATTATTTTCATCGTTAGACGATTCATTACATTAGAAATAAGCTTTTATTTCTTTATTTTTCACACATCTGTATACGCTACAAGTATGCCTATGAGATCTACATTCCGATTATAAGTTCTTACACTACCGCTCAAAAGTTTAAGATCATTGATCATATATCAGCATTTTTAATACTAGAACTACCAAGCAAGTCAATATGACTTGTCGGTACCTACACTCTTACAACGATGATTAAAATGTTATAACATTACATTTTCTCAGATCTTTTGCAACTTTTATTACGATATCTAAGCGAAGAAATTCGTTCATTTATAAATTTGTAAATTTTTAAAAGTTGTCATGTTTATCGACCGATTGATATAGACATGCGTTTATCGTTGGACGTTCTAGTGTTAAAAGAACGTAACATAAATTAGAAAGTTTTCAATTTTTCAGCAATATCATCTGTCAGATGGTATTGTTAAAAAGCACTGCATTCGAACTATTATGTTATCTTTCATTTGGTTGATACTGAATAACAATGGAAAATTAGGAAAACTAACCTATAATTCTTGTATTCTATTGAATTTTAATTATCATTACGTTATTAAGAAGCATATAATTCTACTTAATAAAATACTACTAACATTTATAACATCGAAACGAAAGACGACATGCTTAATGTTCTGTTGCACTACATTTTGTTTATTGTAACCGGTTTGTACTTACACAATTCGCGTTGGCACAGCAAAAGCATATTTTCAATTTTGCATGTTTTAGCATCAAAATAGGTTCATACTGTGAAGAAAATGTTAGAGAATATGTGTATTCAATGCTGGGTCAGTTGGTTGAATATTATTTAAGTTACGTACCCCGGCGTGAAACACCTTTTAGCTCACAGGCTGCACATATAACTATAATATTTATGGAGTTGTCGTGAAAATAAAAATTTTTTTATTCGGTTTAATTGTACAATAAAGTAATCTCAAAGTTTCAAAGAAATAGGTTTAATATTTTATTCACAATAAATTCCCAAAAATTCGTTCGTTTTTAACTATCTGCATCAGGCTCCTGCTTTAATATACTCTGGCTTTGGGGACCAGATATTAATTTGAAAATACAGTAATTTTGAGTAGTACACAATGGTTGCTTCCCGGTTATTCGTGTCGGTGCCTCACTTCGACTTAATTTTACTGTAATCTCTTCTATGAAAATTCATTACAGTAACCAGCGAACATTCTTCATAAATGACATCTATAACCGACTGAACGACGTAGCGAATGAAACGAACAGCTTACCGCCGGGTCTAACGATCACCAGCATCGCAGAACCGTGGGTCACTCGAGATAGAGTGCCGTTGGTCACGGTCATACGGGATTATGAAACTAAAATGCTCAGCATCAGCCAGGTAGGTGCACTTACGTTGGTAAGCTTATCGAACAAAAGCCCCGCTACTTCCTTCAGGGACGCCGAAACCGGAACAATCATACGATTTTCGCACGGATAACAGAGCGATCTCAAGGAGACGTAGCGCGATAAATTTGTTTGTGAACGTTATAAATGAAATCTGTTTCTATTTAGCTGAAAAACTGTTCCACGATGACACATGAAAAGTTGTTTTTTTTTTTACATTCGTCATAGATAAAGGTATTTTTCCTTTTGTGCTTACGTTCCGAAACGGGAAGTTTGGGCGACATTTTGCGACCAAAAGATGACGAAACTACATAACAGAATTAATGATAGAAGAATAACAAACCAGTGATACTCGTTTCTGAATCTACAGTGGGTGAAAGGGTTTCCGCACAACAATATTTGAAATCTATATGATACGATTGGAATAAATATTAATCAAGCATGTATATTTTGTTTCCAATTGTCTATGTATACTACATATTAAACTAATTCGTTTCTAATATATTTCCGACAATATAGTTTTCTTTATAGATTTAAATGTATTCAGATTTACTTTCATGAAAAGGAATTTATCGTCATGTAATCGAATATGTAGTTGTAGCAGAATGATGAAAATATGGGTAAATATGGGTTAAACTATTTCTTAGATAAAGACCATGACAGAAACGACTGAAAATCAATGAAATATTTTTTGATACCTCATCCTTCTACGAATTTACAGTAAAATTTCAACTTAACGTTTGGCGTGAGCTTGTTGCGAGATGCTCACATGTGAATGTGATTCAAAATAGGCGGATGCGCGATTACGAAAACAATAATACAATGAGAAAGGTGTCTACCCTTGAAGTGAAAAAAAAATTCTCTCTTATCTTTAGAGCCAGCATTAAAGCTATTTTAAAGAAGTGTATAAACTGTAATCGAAATGAAAACTAAGCAACTGACAACCTTGATTGTTGGTTCTATTTGCATATCGCCTTGCGCCATTGATGATTACTTTAACAAACATTTTAGTCCCTGAAGTTACGTATTTTACTAGGATGATGTTAAAAGTATTCAGTAAGTTTCTGCGCAGGGTACTTCTAGTAACTGGGCCAAGCTATAGCTCTGTTCCAAGTGAAGTTAAGAATAACAGAGGAAAATTTTACATTGTTTAACAAGCTCCTCGGTGCATCTCATCGGTGCATTTGCAAACTGCAATTGCACTTTTTCCTTAAATGGAACACTATGATTTTTTTGCACAAATTGTAATAAAGCTGCACCCAATATATTAATTGACTCTTACACAATCAAGATATGTCCGTTTATTAAGATGAGAAATAATTCAAAGAAATATCGTAATTGATATAGCTGTAATAACAGTTAATATATAGTAAATAGGAAATATGACACTAATAAAACATATAATGGAATAAAATTGTACTTAATTCAATTATATATATACGTAATTTTATTATGTTTGGAATTAAATTAACAGAAAACATAATCGCACAAAATGATACGTAATTTCCAAATTACATAATTTTTCATCAGATTTTCAATTACTTTTACACAAATTAGTGTTATAGTCTTACTAACTTGAGAATGTGATTAATATTACAATTTTTATATTAATGGATTAATGTTATTCATACTATTTGTATTAATGTTCACAGAAAGTCTACCTTAGGGAGAGTCTACCTTACACACCGCAAGCCTCGACGCCTAAGATCTCCTATCAATGGGATATACCACTCGTGATGGTGTCGCAAGAAAAATGGGAATTTTACAAACCATGTCCTCAATGGCTCACGAAATCAAATGAACCGAAAAATCTCACTGTTCAAGACATCACTGACAAAAATAACTTCATCATTGTCAACCCTGAAGAAATAGGTAAGAGAACTGAATAAATTACTTAGATTAAGGAATTTTATTTTATTACTTTTAACAGTTATTATATAATGATGAAGGTATTGCATAAAAGATTATTTGTTAGATGAAACATACGCAACTATTAAATATACAAATGAAATTGTTCCATTTAACGCAATAGAACTAAACGAAAGATAATTTATAGATATATTAAACTGACTACGTAAAATATATCGATAGGCAATAGGAAACCAGGAAATGGAAATACATATAAGGAATGGTTAAAAACTTTTTTATTTAGATTCTTCTCTTGAATTATCTGTGTTCCTTTATTCAATAACACGCTTGTTTAACAAATCATTCATTAAACTAGAATTTTGTTTAATATTAAATAACGTATGTACTTAAAGTTTCGAGACTATAATTAACTTATAAATTACACGAATGAATTCAATGAGGGCGCTTGCAGATCATTACATTACTTGTGAAATTATCAATATTTATTTATTGGATACCAATTTATAATAGTTATTAGATGAAAGATCTATTTATCTAAATAAATTTTCTAATTGAGACGTCTAGTAATCCGACAAATCGGTGAGAACGCGAAATTGGAAATGGCCGTCATCCACACCGATTTCCAAGTAATAATCTAAACAAAATTTTTATCTTATCTGTTACTTACTCTGTTCTTTTATCTTAATGACCATTATTTGATGAATAATTTATTAGATAAGTAAATTACGTTGAATAATTATGATTTACGACATTTAACGTAATCAGAAAAACGAATATATTCTTCTCATCACGAGTAGAATTTCTGTATTCTCAATCATTCTGTATTGTTTCATATTATTACTTCAAATAACAAATTATATGAAGAATAAGTTATTTGAAAGTAATTAACTATGAAGTAAAATTTTCAAATTTATTTTCGTATCTGTTCGTGCCCACTAAATATCCTCGTCTGTTCATTGAAGTAACCATATATTTTCTTTTATATTAATTATACCCTTTATACCCTTATTACCCCATTATACCCTTTTAAATTAAACGTGTATACCTAATTCTAATCGAAATGCATTTAAATAAAATTGCTTTATAGGATTATTCCCGGTAAATTACGACCCCTGCAACTGGAAAATGCTGTCACAATATCTACGATCTCCCAATAGGGAAACAATTCCTGCTTTAACCAGAGCGAAACTTCTTCATGATTCCTGGAATCTAGCATACGCTGGTGAACTTTGCATCGGAATAGCGTTGAATATGACTCTCTCTTTAAAAGAAGAACGAAGCCACGTAGTTTGGGAACCTGTCTTTATGATGATCGATCATATTGGAAGACGCATTGAAGGATCTGATGTATACCCTAAATTTGAGGTGAATTTGTAAACAATGACAATATTTAAACGTCGAAATTTAACCAAACTTTCATTATGTATAAATTTTTCAGGATATCGCAGTACATTATAAATAATTGCATGTGTTTTAACAGATACGCATTACAGCGTTGACTGTTATGCTGGCCATGAATCGTCGTTACCATTGCATTTAAAGGGGAATCTCGTGTGACTGATATTAATGAATTTAAAGCAAAAAACTTGCTATTGCTAGTTTTAGATTGAACTTCTTTTGTTTCGCGTAGAAGCTTGTTATTCTCTTCGACGATGAAACTCCTATTGGTGTACACTGTGCAATCAGTCATAGACATCTAATTGCAGAAAACAAAAATTTTTTTTAAAGTTAAAAAGTTAACGCTGGGATTGAACCGAATTCAAAGAAAAAACATGAAAAATTGAAAAAGTTATAGCGTTTGAAAGGCAAATTAGCTTTTTTCCCTAAATAAATTTAGTTTCGTATTAATGAAAAAAATATTATAAATAAAAATGAAACTAACACTTTGAGGTTCAGTACCTCCAGAAATATATAACAAATAAAATGAGCTTTGTCTGAAATTGATCACTCCATTCAGGAGTTTCTGAAAGAAGCGAAATAAAATTTTGTTGTAGACCAGTTGATTTTATATCAAGCAATTAAACTTTTGACATTACCTGTTGATATGCGTGACTGTTGATTTTATATCCGGTAACTATATTGCTAATTTCATATCAGGTCCCTCGAAATTTGGTTCGTCTTTTAAATCTGGGAGAGATGTCTAAATTATTTACATATATGTTATAAACACACGATAAATTTTTACAAATATTGTAATGCAAGGAACATAGAACAGTCATCGTCACATTCCGTCAATAATATCTGGATTGTCTAGTACTATTTTTAATATTCAATTTAACGCATCTTGCAATCACTTGTTCATACATCCACCGCGTATACAGGGTGACCCATTTAAATCGAAAAATATTTCAAATAAAAGTTGAATAGTTTCATGCGAGAAATAATTTGATATTAATTTGATACAGCTGTTAAATGTCATGTAAAGTACTTTTATTATTGAAAATTCTTTAAGAAATTACTTCACTACAGTCTACAAAATAATATAAGAAATTTTCATGGGACCATAAAACACGTAAAACCGTTTACACCAAAAAATACACGGAATTTCTAACCGATGTGATATAATTCTTCTAATAATGTTTGTAATGATCTCATTTGTTTAAAATCGAAATTCTCAACAGAATTCACACAAGCGAATAATTTCTAAAAAAAATTGCTGTTTCAGGCGTATATACTTACCCTCCTGACGCCTCTGTATGTGGAGCTCAATGAATCCGTACAACCTAACGAACCATCTTGGAGAACTCATATGCGGAGTCTGGCGAAGCACTTCCTCTGTCGTGCTGGTTACAAACCATGCGTTAACGAAGCCAGAAACCAGTATAAGAAATGGCTGACCGACGACGATCCGGACAAAGGAAATCCGTTCGTATTTTACTTCCTTAATATTTTTTACATACATAGTTGACTGTCTTTCTAAGCTTGAGTCATCGTATCAAAGGTTCTGTATGATGTAAGACATTGACTTGCATTAGATGTTTATCGATGATGACGTGCAGAGTCATCTAGGAATATCACACCGTACTATCACTAGGCCAAACAAGGGAGTTAGAAAGTTTGTTTTCAAACATCCGGTTTGTAACCTTTTAATCTTTGGACTTGATAGAAAAATTTCGTTATAAATCAAATATACTAAACAACTTTCAATTTGAAATTAATCAAACATACATTGATTAATTTTAGGGGAGACCAGGGACAAACGTAACAATTTTTCCTTTTGAGTTTGTAACTTTTGAATACAGTTGAATTTTAAAAAAAAATTCTTGTACGACGAGAAACCTTGATTATTGGCCAACACAATCAAACTTTAAAACTTTAAAATAATATTATACTAGTTTTTTTGAAATAAGACTTTCTTTAAAATAATTCATTTGTTACTTTCGTACCTACCCCTAGGGATGATTGTAATACCGCATCAAGATTGAAACAAACCAACTAAAAAGAAAGATGCATTTAAGTGATATTTTTATTTAATCTATAGATAGACATTGACATAAATGAAAAGATGAATATAAACATAAAAATAATATAAAGTTTTAAAAATTTTTGAATGCAAACATGTATGTAGTATTAACATTCGTTATTACCACGAGTCAGGAATGTATTCTTCATACTTTATTGCCAACTCGGAAGCCAATATTTTTACATCTTATTTTGCCATACCGTAATTGATAGCAGATAAGTACAACAAATAATATTGCAAAACTATTTCCTCTTCGTTGGAAAACAGCCTTTTTGTCAATGTATGACAAACAGAAGTCATTATCATGAAAAATGTTATATCTACCTGAAAAAGAATTCATTATTTAATATAATACAAAGACCTTCATAGGATTTTGTGGAACTGAAACAAAAGTTACAAAATTGAAAGAGATAATGCAAACTTGCTTTTGGCATATTACAGTGGACACTAACTATATTACCACTAAACATATTGCCACGTGAGGCACTTCCCCTTCACACGTACTTACGCGCAGCAAATTCGCTCTCCCACCACGTTGCGTACGCCGGCGTAACAACACGATTCAGCTTTTGCGCAGGCGTCGAGGCCGAGACTACAACGGTAGAACTTATCATGGCGGAGGCTCTGAACTCATTGCCATTTTACTCCACTACAGCCCCGACCATGGCAATATAGTTAGAGTCTACTGTATTTCAATAAGGTAGTCGTATTAGGAAAACCGCTTACTGCTGCGTGCTGGTGACAACTGAGATGGAGGACAGATGGAATTTGTGTATAAAGATGGGAGGAGAGGACTGTTGGGCGATTGGCATTTGTTTTATAACAGTTGGTACGTTCGTCCCGTGTTACGTTTGTCTCTGGTCTCCCCTGACAAATATAAAGTCACGAAATATTATAGCTGAAATTGTATTATCCACAGACCACGAAGTTTTTGTTTTCACATAGAAATTTACGTCAAAATTGAAAGACTATATTATTTCCCATTGCAGGGTCCCATTTTTTTTCATAAAGAAGACGGTTTCTATTTTTTAATAATGTGCAGTTCTCGTTCTTTTTTGTCTCTGTCTAGGGTCGCCAATGAGTTTCTTTGCCCAGTGTTCAAATGGGGCACTGAAGAGGAGTGGGAATTCGGACTTCAACGAGTCATAAACTTCCCACAAAACAGCCCCGAGAGGAAACAAAATGAGCGAACGTACCTGTTGAAGAGCCTATCGGGCTGTCCAAAAGACAAGTATAAAATAAAAAGGTATATCAACTTTCTTATCCATAATGTATTAAATGTATCAACGTCGGTGAACGTAACTTCATGAATAAATTGTGCATGTGAAATTGATAAAATGTATCTAAGAACATCGAATTACACGAATTAATCTGTTTTTTAATTCTCGTCGTATGAATTGAATCGATGCAGCTTTTTCGTAGAATATTATTTCACGAGCAATTACTGAAAATGTAAAATCTAAGGCTCTAAATATCTTCAAATTGAATACCTGACATATTCGAAAATTTCGAGTCATTTGATTGGTAGACAACAGACAGCTAACATGCATATGTCCGTAAGAGAATTATGAAACTACAAGAATGCTGCGAACGTACACTTCGTGTATACTATACTTGATTGAAATTCATAGCAAATTTTCTTGGAAGCAAAGTAACTTCGAAATTTTATTCCATATTTTCATCTCATTTTTTCGCAGAGAATCACTACCTTTCCGCTTGCACCACGAATTATGGGACATCCTATATAATACTCACACTGTAGCCCACCTTCTTCCGCATTATTACAAAGGCATAGACGTTCGTATTTTCACTATAGTTTGCAATGTTAACGTCCATAAAATCGGATTACTTAACATCGTGTGATGAACAGAAAGTACTCGAAAAAGATTCTAATCATCCCATCAATTAAAAATTCACATATTATTTGGCAGTATAGCTCACATTTTTTAAATAATTATAAAGAGTTCGAGCCTATCTCTAGTCTAGATTTGAGTCTATTTAAAACTGGTTTTTTTCAAAGTAGTCGTTAAGTGTTCAAATACTTGATCCCTTCACAGTTTATGTTACTGAGAATACGAACTCGGTTGTTACTTAATTTCACGAGTTCTGGAGGTGGAGCTAGCAAAATACTCCTATTGCCCTTGTCACCCCCCCCCCCCGACAAGATTTTTCTACCTTTATATAATAGTTATCTATATACGCCAATCTGATAGTGATGATGATTGTCTGCTTAAAGATAGTTAATCCAATTCTAAGTGCTTTGAGGAACAAAGAAAATTGAAGATTTCGAATATGATAAATACGTAACACAAGAAAATAATTCCTCTTTATATTTATGTGAATGTCCTATGATTCATTTGACTCAAATGTTTATATATGAACCTTTGAAAATTATTTATATTTGTTAATAGTTATGTCATTGTCAACGACAACATTATCCTGCCTTGTCAACTGTATCAATCACCATGATTCCCTCTTTTTATGTTACCCCATAAAGACAAACTGAAATCATTAGGATAATTGCAAATAAGTAATATAGAAGTTCAGAATTCACTAAATTTTCTTATGTTACCATTTTTATTACATTGTCTTACCTCTTTATTCAATAACATGGGTGTAGGCAGACAAGAGAAAAGGGGGCATTTGCCCCCCCCCCTACCACCCTCCCAAGGAAAAAAGAGAACACATAAATATTATGAAATTCACCTGAAGATAAATTTGCCTCCCCCGTCCCTCCCCGACTGATAACCTGGATACGCCCATGTTGATTAATTATATTGTAAGGTTACATGAATAATAATTATATAGGTTGTTGAATGTGACGATTCTGGATCAAAATGGCAACTTCACGGACTCCGATATTCATCTTATATTCAGCACGTTAACCGGCGGTGCAGCTGGTTACACTACTCTCTTTAATTTCTTGAACGACCATTGGGACGTTGTAAAACAGCGATTCAAGGACAAAAGGCATCTTTGGAACGGAATAATAAATTCAGCGACCTCTTCTTTCAACACCCAAGAAGGTCTGGAAATGGTTTCCGATTTGTACACGACTCGTCAAGGTGAATTCGACACTGCTGATCATATAATTGAAGAAGCATTAAAAATCATTAAACACGAAACGGAATGGAGCGAGAAGAATCTTCCAGTAATTGACGCTTGGATTAATGAAAACTTACAGTCCGAGGAACTGGAAGTGCTTCAGACATACACAACGACTTCCGTTCCGGGATCTTCTGTTCCTAATATATATAAATAAGGGTATGATTTTTAATTTAAAGTAATTATTAATAGAGACGTAAATGTAGATTTACTCTCAATTTCCTTCGAAATAACATGATTTATTCAAAAAGGGAATAAAATGTTCAATATTTGGGATTCAAAAATTAAGTCAATAAACACATAATTTGTCTGTTTCTAATATTTCGTCTACGAAATTTCGAAAGTTGCTACCGGGGTGATCACATTTTAGAATATTCAAAATTCAATAAAGAAACTTGTACATTGATACAATTTATGAATTTATTATTTATAAAAGTTTAAACCACTTTACAGTATGCAAATTTTGTTTTTCATTCGTAGTTTAAATCTACAAATAATTAATCTGATACGCTACTAACATTAACAAGAGTTATATAAGAATGTAAATTTGGATTATGAAGAAAACTTTCGAATTATACTGTTTTATATAATATTAGCATGGTTTTGTATTGTATAGTTTGTTTATTTATAGAAAAAAGCTTTTGCAGATTTATAACTGCTACCAAATGTTTATATAATACTTAGGTTTAGTGAAAAATTGTGTAAATTGCAAACAATAAAAGTCTGATATACATTCCTAATGTTAAAACGTGGTGAAACAATTGTTAACTGTATTTTAAATATTACTAATGAATTTAGTGGTAAAAAAAATGTATTAAATATAATAATAAAAACGTTGAAGTGCTTTCAATTCATATTTTAGATAAGTATAGATATAATAAACATTTTACTTCTTCTTAAATATTTATTACATGAAAATTGAAATGACAATACGGGTTATTTCAATGTTCTCGTAATTCATATTTTACTGTTTTACTAATATTTAGTATATAACATCCAAAACTTATAGAGGGTGTTAATGAAAATATGGGACACTTTCACAGAATATTAATGCGAAATGAAGTCGTTTATTCAAATTTAAGACAAAAATCAAGAATGACAAAGTTTCTGTCAAGACATTCTTTTTTTTATTATTAAGTGTTCACTAGCGAGATGGTGTACTCTTTATACTAATTAAACAGTCGATTCCCAGCTGATATATGAAATCGATCAATGACGTAATTAAAATTATGAATGAAAACCAAATGAATGGAACTAATGAATGAAATGAATGGAAATTGAATGTATGTACATATAGGGTGGTCGGTTTGTCTTTTGCATCTGAAATATGCTCTTTTAGGATTAGAGGCCATTGCCTTTGGTAGAATTATTCAACTCAAAGGTGTATATATTATAATTGACAGAACATCAACCACAAAATCACTTTTTTTGTCAAAATTTCAAACTTTTATGACCGTGTTACCCTTTTATTGTGCAGATGATAAATTATTGTCTCTGCAGAATCAAACAAGTTATCACTTCAATGCTTATCACACGATATTTTACATCTAAATTTCACTATATCAGAACAACAGATATCAGAGGAATGCTAGTGTGTACATTTCTTGTAGACTATTTCTTTTGTGTGTCTGTCACTATCTTACCGTTTCCGAAGATATCTTGAAGTCCAGGGCAATAACTTTGAGCACGTGTTTTAACAATGTTAAAATAAGTATTCTTGCGACTATACTAAACCACAAATTTTATGCTGTTTTTAAGAAATAAAGACTATTCCAATAATTTGTGACGATACACCTTCTATTTTGGAAACATTGAAGCTAACAAAAATCTAATTTTTCACGTTCAAGATCATTTCAAGGTAATACAATTATAACTTGCTGAATTTATCATAAAATAATTTATAATACTGCATAGAAAAAATTAGGTCTTATGAAACCAACAAAAATTTAATATTTCACGTTCAAGGTTATTTCAAGATTCTAAAATTATAGCCTGCCGAATTTATGTTGGAATAGTCTTATAACTTTGTGTGGAAAAAATGATCATGCGAAAGTTGTTTATTAATCATAATATACAACTTTTTGAATCTAATAATTTCATCATCGACAATGTACTATGACTACTCCTAAAAGCAGCGGAAATACAATTTCGAAGATAAACGGACTACCTTATATACAGGAAGGAACGTAATTATTCGTACGAAAACAAACAAAAAATGTGTCATCAAATGTTCTTGTACAGGGCTCCCGTTTCAAGAAAAAAATATAGGGTCAGTGAAGAAGTTTCGATAGGTTTTGCTCTAAAAGAGTAGACTAATAATTGTAATTTAATAATAATTTATTGAAATACATAATGATTCTTGCAAATTATAGAAATTTTTATTCTAATAAGCAAACTTTTGAAATATTATTATTAAATGCATTTCGGTAATTAAATTATATAAATAAAATTACAGTTTACCACAGATTAGGGTTGATAAAACACCTTCTTCAAACAGATCATAAATGTTTTATGTGGTGTTTGTAACGTACGTTCCTTTTATTTTTGATTTTCTTTTCAAGAATTCAATCTAAATTTTATTGTAAGCAATAAAGCATGTTGATCGCGTCAATTTTTGTTCTAAACAACAATTCACTGTGTCACATCGACGTCGACACGTAATATATTAATATAACTGTTTACTACTTTCACAAAACCGTGGCGATCTCAAGCATAACTTGCAGGAAATCTATTAAAACTTTTGCATTGACCCAATACATACGACTTGGCCATTGTTTCAATTCCCTTACTGATTGTTTCTGCTCATATCAGACTTTATAAACATTGTGGTATGGTTCAAATAATACAATAGGTTTTTGTAGAATATTTATCAGTTACAAATATTGTTGACAATACCCCCCACAGATTATGATGCCTTTTCAATTCTCAATTTTATAATTATAATTTTAATTGCCATCGCGATAACGTGTGATAAACTGATAGAAGATAACAAGTTCGACGGAACGCAGATAAGATTTAGCTGCCACTAGTGTTTATAAATACTAACACAGACAGACACAATCAGTAACGAAATCAATCGTACGTATATCTGGCAAATTTTCATGAAAATGGCGTCCCGTGTGAAAAAAATGTATACCACACTTTTTGTTTGTTTTTACATGACAAATCATTCCCTTTTTGGTCGTACCGCGAGTTACACACCGTTCTGCATACAATTTCATCTGAAACTGTGGAATAGTTTTTGAATAATCTTTAAGAATTCAACCTATTCAGTTAATCTGACTTTACGAGGAGCAATTATGACCCTCTTCCAAGCATTTTAGTGAAGCAAGCCGTCCTGGCTTAATGAGGCGTATTTAGTTTTTATACTGGATGAGACTTTCTGCTTCTGACGCAGTGATAAATGAAAAAATCAGCAAATATTTGCATAAGAAGCCACTTCTATTTTTATAAATGCCTAACTGCAATACATACATGTTCAATCACACATTTCTCCAACAAATCATTATGTGCCAAATTGTTCTAAATAAGTTTTAACAGCAATAAACAAGAAGACAACATGATTAAAATATTCAAGTTGACTTACCACTTCAGAGGATATTCCAGCCTGGAACGTCACGTTTAGGCTTTTTGAAGATTTTTTACAAAAAAAAAACTTAAGAAGTTTTAGGTATCGACCTTTAGCACGCATATTTGATTATGTTTTAAGAATAGTCACCTTTTTTGTTAAGTAAAAATAATAAAAATTGGTCTAATTGCAAATCATTTAATATCATCCCTTGAAAAAGTATCCCACTGGCTGTCACGATTTCACTCAGTCTGGTCCTTTGAAACGAAATAACGAAATATATTTTTTATTGGTATGAGTGTGGCTATGGAGTGAACCAGTAAGAAAAAATATTATAAATTTTTTAAAATGACACCACTGTGAAGTTTGAACATGGATTTTCAAAATTTTATTCGTGTGACGCGTGATAAAAAATCACCACGCGGTTCATGCGATAATAGCACATTTACCGAAAGTCTACACCAAATGCGCAGTGAATTAGTAAATTAGAACTTGAGATCTCGTGTTCAGTCATTTTAAAAAATATATTTCTGAAAAAAACTTGTTTAAACCTTTGTACGCTGCATACTACGGGCTGTATAAAAGTCTTTCTGCAGACATACTTTCAAAACTCTATACTTACAGAAAATGCACCAAAAACGTACATTTTTTAAAAGATCTAAACTAAGTTACTCCCTTAAGCGTAAATTGCAATCCATTCATAATGATAATTTGTGATCTTTTTTTTTTTGCTAATACACTCATTAATAATATAATTCTGTCAGTAGTGTATTGAATTTGCCAAAATATTACATTCCTTTTTACCATGTGATTTGTTTTCCTAAACATCAAACATTTATCACAAGCGTCCTCATTCGATATCGGAAGGTTTAGTCGCATATCGAGGAACAACATGAAAAGACTAGAATAAAACACTAAAATAGCTCAAATATATAGTATATATTGCTTCGACCGATAAGCACGTGTGTAATCTTTGCACGTGGATCAACGTCTTTCTACCATTTTATCTGGTAATTGTTCAGAGTTACACGTAATACTTCCAGACGATTTTTATTTATTTATTAATTACTTTCTTGACGGATTATTGAAAGCTTGGATGTATGACAAAAAGCTAAGAATTAGATACGATAAAGGGTCAAAATATAAGAACAATACACCTAACACTTATATAATAATACTGATAGCAAAAGAGTAAAAGAATACATAAGGTACATACACGGTCTGTCCTAAAAGTTCCAGAACTGAAATTTAAACAATAGTTTTCAGTAAAATAACGATGCTCTTCTTCATAAAATATTATAGATAATTTTTTTGTAAAGAGGTATACTGTTACGGTAATTATAGAAACTCTGAAAATAGATCTGATTGTCCTTCTTTAAAATGCTAGAACGGACGATGTTCGAAACGTTTGATTTCACAGATCACGAATTTATACAACGGTTTGGTGTCAATAGGGATCTCACAGTTTGATTATCCAGCGTATTTGTCTAAATCAATTTCGTCAAACTAATTCCTGTCACCCAAATTGGTAACGAAAACAAAGAAATAATAATCTAAAATCATTTTGACATTCACGGGGCTTTAACGATTTTCTTGAAAGCAATTTCATGACAATTTTACCAATAATCAATTAGTTAGTACTCAATCCACTCGTCCATATATGCATCGTCATAGGAACGACAATGGATCATAAACGTCCTCAATCCATTTATGACACAAAATATAATACTACCATTTAAGGTCTTATTAATATACACATATGTATCTGTACGGTATTAAGACTTATCTATTGATCCTCATTGCAGTTTTTGATAACTGTTACGTAGAAAATGAACTTCTGGTTTCTTTGTGTTGCGGAGAAGAATGATAACGTTTTTTACTATGAAATTTCTGATAATACTCAGAATAATGTTCATCCTAAAAATTTGTTATACTACTTATGAAATAAACAGATACTGGCTATTAATTTCAGTAAATGAAAAAATATTACATAAATTGCAACTTTCAAACTCTACAATTATTAAACAGTTTTATTTATAACAGATATTCTATTTAATATAGAATACATAGCAATAACAAAAATTGGTTCGTATCTCATTTATTCGGTTTTGTATTCATTACGTTACATTTCAGGGGGAATTTTTCTAATTTCACTATTTTAAAATATAACGATTAGAAAAACACCCAAATTTAAAAAGAAAATAAATTATAAAATCGTTCAATAAACTTCAAATAAAATAACTTGTAAATAAATAATTAAAACTAACGAATAGAATAATTATCAAAACTAGCCCCTAAATGCAACAACATGAATAACACTGATATGTCTTTAGAAAGGAGAATTAATAATACATAAACCATAATCAAAAATATAATTGTTATAAAAAGTATTTTCTAAATCCTACAATACATGCAGAAAAACAGATACATTCATTATGATTCTATTGATTACGATTTTTGTTAATTAACACAGACATGCTATATTAAATTTTACAGGATGATAAAAATTTTTCAATGAAATATTAGAATATTAATGATAAATTTAATTGATAAATGAAAGAGTATAGACTAATTACAGTTTTCGAAGCAAAATAATTTGTGCCGGCACTGTCAAAGGGTACGCAATAAGATATTATCTTGAAAGTCGCTTTTAACAAACAACGTGAAGATTAAATGAAATTCACTGATTGATATTTGTCGCGTCGCGAATTGTTTCGTTATCGATCTTACGGTTGTAAGCCGTATTCGCGACTTCGCTGTGTTACTCGCCAATTTAATTTTAAGTAACTGTTTCGAATTCTGGTTGCTGAAGGAGTCCGTTCGATGACTCTCGTAGTTCAGCTAAAGGAGTCCGTTCGTTGACTCTATTGATTCTCTGAAGGAGTCCGTTCGTTGACTCGGTTGATTCTGTTCGTTCGACGACTCGATTAAATCTGCTCTGGAGTCCCGGGGTTCGCTTCCTCCTCGGTTCCGGCTTCCCCCGAGTCGCGCCTTCGGGGGTGTCAACGCCTTTTCTTGGGCGTTGACAGAATATCGATATCGATTTGTATCGACCTGAGGAAGGAGGATCTCCAGCCACTCCTATAGGGGTGGAACGACACCGCCCTGGTCACTTCGTTGGTGGTGGTGGCAAGCCCCCGGTCATCCTGCGACGGTGGTGGAGGAAACCTCTCCCTCAGGTCGAAGTCCGCGAAATTGGGGAAGAGGAACGAACCCCGGAATAGCGCGCCGGTCCCGCGAGTCGGCGTCAACCCTCCGTAAGCCCGAACGGAGGATGACCTGGCGTAACGGTACCGACTGCCGGGCAATACGGCCCTCGTATGTTAAGGCTTAAGTCGCCGCTCGACGAAAGCACGAAAGTATTTTATTACTTGGGATGCCAGATGTGGAATCCTTAAACGTCGATGAATGAGAATGTTAACTCTGACTCGCACATCTGGCAACAGTAAAACAAATTGCTTCGTCGAGCGGTCGAAGGACCGTGTCGGTTGTCCTTCTTGTTCCTCGACGGAACAATATTTTATACGACGATGAAATTAAACACGCAACTGTGAATTCCCAGAATCCATTGAATATAACATTGAATTTATTATAACATTACAATACGATGGATAAGAATATAGAGCACAGAATGGATTTTACAAAAATATAATTGCATTAGTAAAAATGATCTTTTCCTATTATAAATAAAAAAATTGTTACACGTAGGTGTCAGTTTGCAAGACACGACACAAAGAATATGGAACTTTGATTATTTTAACAAATAATTTTAATTGTATTACAAAATTATACTCTTAACTTGATTTATATACTTTATGTGTTGTTGCGCTGGATGTTCAAATTATTAAAAAGAAAAATACTAATTATTTTTTTTTATGTATTTCTCGAAGAAGAATATGACAATTCATCACCAATTTTTACGGTAATCTAAACATTTTGTACAAATTTTATAAGACATGAACAATTATTCCCTAAAACTGTCAGTGATACTGATTTTTAAGTTTACAATCGTTGGTCATAAAACTTTTATTGCATTATCAACCGTATTGGGATGTGTATTTACTTGGCTTAAAAGCAATTCTTGATTCTGTTAATCACGCCGGTACACGTGAGACCACGCGTAGAAATCTAAAACGTGTCTTGTTAGTGAAACACTGTTTCCAGGAAAAGAAGTTCCATTAATTATGATTAGTAATCATCACTATTAGTGTTATCATTAACAGTTTCTCGTTGTAATTATGAGTAATGCAAGCAACTACTACTATTGCTGCTAATAATTGTGAAAAACCACGTACTTGTATAAAGGCACGCAACTAATATAAAGTGTTCGGCAATTTTTCTTTTGAATATCATAAAAATTACATAATACAAAAGTAAAGAAAATTGCAATAAATTAATAAAAAATGCTAATACAAAGTGTAAGTTGAGTAGCAAGCAAATTAACAATGTTATTAAATTAATTAGAAACGGTAAAGTTAAAAAGTATAAAATAAAATTAAAAAAAATAAATATTCATAATAGGTGTTCGTGCTCCGAAATTTATAAATGATTCATTGTTCAAAATATTCTTTATTTTGCATTAAAAATAATTCATGCACAAGTCTGTATTCATGTACCCCGTTCACAACGCCATTTTTTCGTCAGTCGGTTGTCCACCAATACTGCGACTTTTTAAATAAAGAAACAAATAGTAATTTAAAACATTATAGTGAAATGAATAAAGATTACAAAGTCAACATAAAGTGAACAATGATGAAGGTAGTAACAGAAATAAACACAACAACCATAGTATCATAATATCAATAACTTCCGGTTTAAGTGATTACAATGTATGGTATAGTTTATTGAAAATGTCTTCTTGTAAGCCACGCTAAACAGCAACTTTTCAATTCATAATAAAACAAAATAAATTCAAGATAATGGTAAAATTGTAAGTAAATAAGTAAAAGTAATGATAATAAAATGAAAGAACAATAGTAATATGAAAATAGAATGAACAAATAAAGACCAGTTTAAAAATTGTAATGACGATAAAATTTCTCATATTCATGATAACTTCCAAAGCATGTTATGCTTGTGTCATGTCATCTAATATGAGAACTTCACAATCACTCGATTTTTGTTTTGGTGCTTTTGCACTTAATTCTTCAGGGTGAAAACACCTTTTGAAGGTTAATATGAGTTTTCCTATTTACCTGCATATCTTGAGAACTATAATAAATGTTCATAAACTATTAGCACGAACATTTAATGGCCTGTTATGCCGCATAAAACTGCGTAATAAAAGTGTTAAAAATTGGTTGTATGAATAAAAAAGAACATTTTCAGCCATCTCTATTTTAAAAAAATTTGATTCTTGTCGAGTGGAAAAGTATGCAAACTCCCATTATGAATACAGATACGTGTATTAAATCTACCCGACAAGACAGTTTTTCGATAATATTAACTGATGCTTGCATCCCAGACACTCGCTGTTGCACTTCGAACGATACGTTATCAACAAGTAGGTATTTGTGAGTATCTCTTGTATTGTATATTTCAATCGAACCATATAAAATAAACTCGTAAAGAACCACGTGGACTAGCATTTTTAATCCGTCATTGCTAATAATAAATTTGTGGACCTTTTATCAATGTCACTGACTGCCACTTTCTCATTATGCATAGCGTGTATAATACGTATATACATATATGTGAATACAGTTATGTTTTGGAATTTCGTGTTCTCTTCCTCCCTTTCTCCCCATTTTGTCTGATATGGTATAATTGTGCCTATCCGTAGCTAACAGTCATTCTGTATTGTAATTGCAGAAAGCTCATTGCATATAAGATAACATCATACAACATACAAGATACAATTATATTACATGCAAGATTATTATTATTTCAAATAATAAATTTGTATCATTGTACAGTTTTATGGAAAATAGACAGATATTAAGTTTTTACTGTAACAGTTATTGTTATATCTACTATAGTTTTCAAGGTATACAGAGAAATAGGAAAAGGGCATTTTAACCCTCGTAGGGTGTTTCCGCCCTGAAGAACCAAAAAGTAGTCCCTTATGAATCTGCAAGGTTTCAAAACAATCGGAATTCTTAGGTTACCGAACTTTCCTTGTGAGCCCCTAAACAAAAGCATGCCATTTAAAAGTTCCGGGTCTCTGTTTAGATAAAGTCTGTACGATAAAGCGGCGTCGAACACAAGTGAAAGGTAACATCGGGCACTGGTCAAACGTCTGATAAGATAAGAAGCGATACTAAATAAATATACACGCCGAAAACAATCAAAAGGACGAGTACCGATCTAATGAACAACACAGCGATCCAACGTACACGATCGTGATATTGGCATAAAAGCACTATCCTTAATGCTGTAGTCTCCTTTTATGCATCGGCCGTCGTTGGATTGTCAGCTCCGTTGTGATCAGTGACCAGTGTGGTTCGTGACAGCGAAATAATCGTGACAGGAATTGTGATCAGCGAAGCACTTTCACTCGATCGAAGAGGATACTTCTATAATAGTACTGATAGCGCTAGATCATTTTCGTCGAATGATGTGACCGTGAAGACGAAGTGCTGTAAATGGCAAGACCGAGTGGCGTTTAAAATATTTAAAATCGTAAGTTACCCACGGAAGTTCAATTCAATCGTTACATAAATTTCAAACTATAACGGATACTAATGAAATTATTAAAAATCTCGAGTATGCAGTTTAACTTATTTTAGTTCAATCGCTATTAACAAAAATGTATTGTCGAAATGCTTGTGATCGTTATATGTTGTCCACTTAAAGCAGATGAATTTTGGTTAATACATTCTTTTATTGCAATCTTTGCAAACGACTGAAAAATTGTGCGAACCGTTAGAGTGAATTCCTTATGTACAAGATAGAATAGAAGCAATAGTACAAGCTGGAAACAAGTGATACCTCGTGTCAAAGTAAATCGAAAGTGAAGAATAATAGATAAAATCGACAATGAAAAATTATCTGATACGTATGTAGGTACACGTGATTATCATAAGTAGAAATGATAAATACTGAACAGATCACGTTACGCAAATCCAATTCAGTTACAGGCGTATCCAAAAGGTCTTCGACATCGATATTCTCGTGAATTAAGCCTTGTACGAAAATACTTTATTCCACACTTTTGACACATATTTGTATGTAGAATCACCTCTTTTCCGACTGTACCATTATTTTCGTCACAGCCTGTATTAAAGTATAAGTTGGTACAGTTGAAGAGCGTGTCTTTCAAATAAAATAACCCATCGTGTCAGACGTTTTTTACTCATATTTTGTCTCGTATTTTCAACAATTAGTAATTCGGAAACAAAGCCTCGAATACACTTTCGTCCTTTTTAATTTTCGTCTTACAGGGGGCATTATTCAAGTATAACACACCAATTGTAATGCCGTTTAGTACAGAGATAGTATTTTAAGAAGTATTTGTAACGAATTTTTTTGTAGCTGCTGACATTGACATATAGGGGTGAAAAGATCCCTCAGAATCATGGGAGAAAAATACATTTCCTTAATGTCTCGCAAACTATTCGACATAAAAAGCATATTTGTTAACAAGAATGATGTGTTTTTTAATAATAAAAATAACTGTTTAAGTAGTTGTTCGAAATACCAATTTATTTAAACAATTCTTTGTATTCTTTAGTGTTTCGATAAACTACTTAAGTATTATTTTTATTATTAAAAATCATACGATTCTTGTTAACAAATATCTTTTTTAAACCGAATAGTTTACAAGATATTAAGAAAAATGTATTTTCACCCACGACGTTGAGAGCTGTTTTTACCCACTAGCTGTGAATATCAGCAATTACAAAATACTACATTTCAAATATTTTCCAAAATACTACCTCTGCAACAAACTGCATAGAAATCGGTGTCTTACACTTAAGTGGTATACTTTGTTAAGTTTGCAAGTAGAATCTACTCAATAAAGGTGTCCCACATTTGCATTAACACTCTGTGCATTTTATGTAACAATTAGATGCAATGTTTGACATTTGTCGATTTTATACTTATATTAGAGACGGACACACTATGTCTGAAAAATAATTGTATCGACAATATATTCATTTAGAGACTGATCATATTTGTAAAAATCATTCATTTTATTCAGTTTTATTAATCAATGCATGGATAGATGTCTGGAGAACTGTTTTCGAAATCGCTTTGAGTATCCTTGTCGAAGCTGCTTGTACACACAAGATAATACACCTGCTTGTCGTATCGCAACTGTACGTGAATTTTTAACTGAAAACCAAATAGTAGTGCTTGCTCATTCGTTGTATTCACTTGATTTGGCTTCCTGTGATTACTTTCTTGTATTTCAAAATTCTAATAAAAGGGACATTGGTACGATGACATTTCAACCATACAAACAGTCGTGACAAGAATATTCAAGGCGATTCCGAAAACAGATCTCCAGAAATCTATCCATACATTTGTTGACCGTGCACAGCATCGTATTATTGCCGAACGAAAATTCCTTGACTAAAATGAACGAATTTTGGAAATATGATCAGCATATGAATTAATATATCGTCAATTACAGGCAACAATAAACAAGAAAATATAAAGAAGCTTTTAAACTCGACAATTTTTAGAAACACATTTAACTATTAAAAATTGTGTCTAGATGAGGTAAAACATTTTGTGTTTTGAGTAAATTGAAAATATGCAATGCAATTATAAGTAAAATCCAGTTTGTGTTGTTAATGTGAAGATAGTTTCAACCCGCTTAGTATCAACCTTAATACGTGTATTGTATATTCTCTATAAAAGTATATTCACAATACCTACAAATATTTTCATTCGACAAGTATTATTGCAGAGTTTCAAACAATTATTAGATTACAAAAATTTTAACACAATACAGCGATTATAATTTATTTAATAAGCATTTAATGCTCAAATTATTAAATTATAGTAATAGATCCACAATATTCAATAATATTCACATAATATTAATTGCTGGAATAATAAATGCAGTACATGAATTATTAATATGGTTTTCATGAAAATGAAATACTTCCACCGAATTTATAATTAACAGTAATAATAGAATATTAATCACGAATATTATGTCCGCTGTAGATGAACATTCGAAAACTAAAAATATTTTTAGTTGAATTCTTAGTTGATCTTAACTTTGTCAAAATAGTCTGTCCATATTAAACATTTCTACTTGAGAAAAGGTCATTATTGCTATTTTTTGTTAGGTATTCACAAAAGGTTTCAACATGATCCATTTTCATCAAAAAGTGCAGACTTATTACTTGTTAGTATAAAATATAAACCACTCACAAATATGTACATAGTTTCCTTTTCTTCGTGATGTCGAGACCATATAGCATCATTGCAATTTATTTAAGTATTCGAAGTGCTATTAATATTAATATGAATTGAACATCCATTCATTTCGTTCGTACTACGCATAATTAACATGATTTACTACGTTTAATTTCATCTACAATAAACATATACATATAGTATGTACAAGGGCTCTTCACGCAACTGTAACGAGCCATATCTTTTGTTTATTGGAGTTACAAAAAAATTTTAAAGGAAAAATATGAATGGTTGAAGGCGCATTACATATACACGATCATATATTTTCACAAGTACAACAATGAAAGTGCATTTTGTAGTTGCACTATTTTTTCAAATGGACACCTACCTTTTCTTGCATGCACCGAATCCTCTCGTCATTCCGTCAAAAGTCTGAGGATAACGTGGTCGCAATATGATTAGTTGAGGTTAACGAAATTCTACTGAGAATACAAAAGTAATTTATAAGGTCCAGTGAGGGGGGGGGGGATATCCAATGAGTCGAGTGAGTAACTATAACCAAGAGTAGGTAATCACCATTTAGGTGGGACAGGTACAAAGCTAGTTACCAGCCAATAGCTGGGCTTAGCACGTGAATGTTTTATTTTAGTTATATCTACTGACTCGCCTTGTTGGCGGATCATGGTATTTTTTCACGAATGATCCTCGCCGTATGTAGCTTAGCGTTGTCAATGCGAAAGCACGACGCCTTTACGATTGCCAAATGCTTGACATCCTCCTTGTAGTTTTTCTTGAATCCCTGCGAATTGTTGAACGTATAATGCTGCTGTAAATGGTTCATTACGCTGCAGAACTTATAATTAATTATCCCGTCCACGATCTCACCATACGCAGAGAAGAAACTTCTTTCCATTGAAAGTGGTTCTGGATTATGACTGAAATTATTCAATTTCATCTACCCACCATCTTTTTCGACTAATATTCTCATAGGTGACGCAGTTTTCATCTCCTCTAATCAATTTATCCAAAAATGATTCATTTCAGTCCATAGACAAAAGCGAAATGATAACGATCATCCGATCTACTTTGTTTTCTTTTTTCGTCAAACTTTACGGAACCCATACACCCAGCTTGCTGACATTCCCCAGTTTTTCTAGGTGTTGACAAATGGTAAATTGAAATGTTCCCGTTTTATCTGGTAATTGTCTAGTCGTCTGAAGTGGGTTTCATTTCATTAGAACCTTCACAGCATTGTTATCGACATCTGTTGACCATCCTGGCTCAGGTTCATTGTAAAGACTGGTATCTCCAGAACGAAACTTTGTAGACCAAATCCGCATTGATTTTTGCAGTACTCGCCGCGCTATGGATATTCTGGGATTTCCACATTATACAACGAATACTGTTTGGACTTCGCCATGTCAGTTACATAAAAAATTTCACCCGTCCTTGATCTGTACTTGCTGACTACTGTCTTTAGATTGCTTCACCCTCAGACATAAAGTAAACACAACGACGATAAGGAACAGCGGGTCATCTGGATTTCCCATAAAAGTAGACGATCCGTTACCCGCACCGGCAATTACTTATGACTCAAACCAATATTTACCAGAAGAGCCTACTTGCTCTTTCCAACTAGAAACCAGACTGATCATAATAAGCTGAAATGTCTCATTTCTATTTTGTGGTCCTGGTTACTCTCACAATTTGAATCGAACCTGATTGTGCAACTAAAGGTCCGACCTGATTATTGGAACTATCCTAACTTTAGACTGAGTGTCCTAAACGACGCGTTGTCTCTGAACTCCTACCAAATCAGAACTAATTCTCTATTACCTGCTGAAAATTCATTCTAACGAAAACTGACTTCAAGCCAACGGGTTCCGTCCAATGTGCTCTTAGCGCGATTCATCATGAGAGGGATTTGCAACAACCCCCTCGCGATAGGGTGTACGGCAGTTCGTCAACATCACAGAATTAGATTCCAAGTTTTTCCTAAGAACCGTTAACTCTAAGTACGATATTACTGCCCGGAAACCTTGGGACTCTTAAACGTCGATGGTTGAGGCCCATTGAAATTACCGACACAGATTTCACCGACACTTTTGTTATCACCAACAATTCATCGACACCAGATTTGACCGACAACGACATTAACCCTTGCAGGACCATACTTGGGTCCGATCAACCCAAGTCTTTAACAGCTCCATATAATACATCAACGTAGAAATCGAGTTTAAGCTAGTAGCTGTTCAAATTGTGTCACATTAAAAAAGCAGGTCTTCTTGAATGATTGCTTATGAAAATATGTTCAAAAAGTAGGAAGCATAGGGGTCCAAACGGATCCAAAACCCTATACTCTAGGGGTATCTCTCAAGGGTTAAACAACAATGGGTTTCATCGTCAACAGCATTACTCGGTCACAGTATTAACCGATAATGACATTGACTGACAACAATACACATTCTGCGATCCTTCGGCTTTACGTGTCCTTCGTACATATCAATAATACAGAGCTTGTCGTTACTGTTTATTGTCAATTCTTTAATTTTGTTACATAGTTTTAGTACATCATAACGTGAAGCCTCAGAAGCATGATTGTGTATCAGTAGATCATGTTTTCAAACAATATGTTTATTATCTGAGTACAGCGTATTCGCTATAGCTGCACACTCTCAACTATTGCCCTTTCTTCAACTTTTGCCAAGTTCCTGAAGCTTCATGTCAAATGTCGGGATACATATTCTTCCAATTTATCTACAGAAATCTGCAATAAAAATCCTTTACCGCGCCATAAACTATTCTTAGCGACGAACGTTAACATATAATCTTATTGTTAGTGCCACCAATATAATCCTTCATTAGCTGTTTATTGCATTATTGCTTGTCATTACTGATAAGATTTATATACTATCATTCTCATACTCTGCAGCAATCTTTGTCATTATTGATAACTTAAGAAGTGTTTATTTTTGTTTCTCTTTTTCATAAAATTTAGCAGACGGAAAGAACACTGAAAAATCACCATGAATATCCTGCGAGTTGAACATTTAATTATTTTCCTCGCTCTAATCAGCACTGGGTATTGCGCTACAAGTGACAGCGTCAATGAGACTGAAGGTAATTATCAAAAAGATTATAAACAGCACAGGTGCTTACATGTCTTAATATGAAAAACATGACTGGCATGTATTATAGAATGTAGTAATATATCAGTAGGAAATTGGTAGATTCTTTTGTTATATGGATTATTATTAATTTTTACAATATTCTTTTATTTTTTCGACATTTCATTGAATGGGTGGCTGATGGAATCAATTTTTGTTCTAATGTTTATTAAAATATTTAGTTAATTTAGTTAAATATTAAGTTACAGGGACCGAAATGATTATTAAATATTTCAAATAAATTCATATCTAAACGAGTGGAAATGTAAAAATTTAAAAAAAAATTTCTGATGTGATAAATTCGGTTTGGAACAAACAAATAAATATATAAAAAATAAAAGCTTTAGCTTGAACTGTGTTACATCACATGCTTTAGCTGTGTTTAAATTTTATACGAATACGCATGAACTAGATATCCCTGACACTGAAGTCTACACTGTAAATACTGATACACAAAGCGACAATCTGATAAATATTCTACATCGTACACATTTCAAAATAACGCTTTATCAAATATTACACTGATTATTGCTTTCGCATTTTCTTATTCAAATAAACGCATTAATACATGCAATCTCGTATATATTGTGCATAATATCACACTTTCCTGACAAAGTTTTTACGATAGTATGTATGGACTAATGTTAGAACTTTTTTCATTATAAGAGTTTAATAACAACTATTCAGTAAGCATCGTTCTTAAAAAAATTGTTAAGCTAAATTTTGAATCGCATAAATATATAAAATAACACAGATACCTTTTGAAATAATACATTTTCCTCAGTAGGTACCTGATTAAAATTGTATTTTCTTTGTGCAGAAACGTTTGCCGAGAACAATGGGAATCTCGACCTCCGACTGCCAAAAACGATCATTCCCGTTAGCTATAATATCATACTTACCCCAACTTTAAAAAATGGCTTCAAATTCGAAGGAACTACTATGATCACTGCTTTCGTACAAGAAGATACCGACACCATAATTCTTCATCACGGAACTATTAATATCTACACACTAACTGTAACAGTTGGTGATACGAGACTAGAACACCAGGATCCAAAATACGACTCTAAGACCGAAAAGATCAGTATTAAATTAAATACTACTTTGAAGAAGGGAATGAATATATCAATCAACTTCTTCTATGGCGGCGTACTCAGAGAAGACATGATTGGATTTTATAGAAGCTCGTATATTGACTCTACAGGAAACATAAGGTAAACTTATGCTAAATTTATTAAAAAGAATCATTCAATGAGACAATACTAAACAAATAATATTTGATTAGTGCATTCTAATATGTTAAGAACCAAGAGCATCTCCTTGTTTACACACCCTTTGCTTCCTAGATAAATGAAATACCAAAGTGTAAATCACCGAGTTTTATAAAGTTTAGCACAGAAACAGAACTTTCAAACTATCTGACTCTGAATGGAAATCTTATTTTGTTAAATATTACAGAAACTATTAGAACTAGACAAAAAATTTAAATTGCAAAACTGTATATCATTGAATGACGAATAGAGGTACATGTGTAAATGTAATTAGGTAATACACTTGTCTAAATTTTTCCTGCAGGTTCCGATAAGTTTATTAAAAAAAATCCAAATACCAACTTGTTTGGAGTTTGTATGTTGACATGTAGTTTACGTATACAAATTTATACAAAAATAGATCAACGTTTAGCAACAAAAATGTTGACAATATAGTACGTTTCAATATATTTTCTAAACAAATAGATTTTGTAAAGATCTATTTACGTAGGTGCAATCGTTGTTTAGAGACACAAAATCTGTCAAATTCAACTTTTTTAATTTCTACATGCAGGTTCTCTATTTTTAACTTTGAAAGCTGTTTTCAACCCTTTAACATGGGCGATTGCCAATACAAAGCTACATACATATCGTCGCCCTAGTTCTTAAGTGTTCTATCTCCACTGGTTTCAAAACTGAGAAAACTGAGTTTAAAGTTTACGAAGTTTAATATTTTAGCAAGAAAGTAATGAAATAATCAAACACACTATAATATCATCTAGTGAATAGCTATTTATTACAATATTTAAAAAATTTTATCTTATTACCAACATAAATTTTTAATTGTTGTTAGTGTTTGGAATAATACAATCATGAAGAACAAATAACTTTGAAAGTTTCGGAGTTAGGACTTAAAAGAGTACCTGTTGTTTTTTAGGTTGAATTTTCTTTATGTTATGGTAAATTTGTATTCCTAGGACTAAAACCTTGGACAACGATGTCAAATATTTTTCAATGTTCTATCTCTGTTTCAAACTTAAAATCTTATTGGATGAAATTTCTCATTCGACTTATTTGCTAATAATATGAATGACCTTTAGACAACAGACCATTTGCTACTTAGATAACCGACATTTTATTATTAATGCTAATACCATTAGATTCTATCATGTATAGTCACAAAATAATGTTATTGGTAAAAACTTCTCAATGTTGGAAAATCGTAATAATGAAAAACCGTTTTAGATGGATCGCCGCAACACAATTCCAGACAAAGCATGCACGCCATGCTTTCCCGTGCTTCGACGAACCAAGCTTCAAAGCAACTTTTAAGATCAGGATTTCAAGACCGACGGAATATAAATGTCTGAGTAATATGCCACGGAAAACAACCGAACCCTCGTAAGTAATTACTCAACCTCGGATGTTCATGCAAATTCACATTATTATACACTAATTTTTTAACACTAATATTCAATTGTAATTTATTCTCTATACATGGAGTAATGGGACACGTAGTACAAATAGGTAATGAGTAATTCTACGTGTACAGATAAGTCGAAAGAAAAGTATTCAATTTTTTCGACGTATTTGTATACATACGTAGGTTTATACCTTGCTCGGCAGAATTGGGCAAAATGTAATCTAATTACAAAATCTAAATTGCAATTATGTACAATGTAATTGTAATGTAATTCCAATATAATTACGGGACAATTACAATTACGTTGTGATGTTTATTGTAAATTTAATATAGTTAACTACAATGCAATTATAATTGTCTTGCAATTACATTGCAATTACATTGTAATTGTGATTTGAATTGTGTAATTACAGTGCAATTACATTATAACTGTGATTTCGATTCTGTAACTAGATTACATTCAGCCCAACTCTGCTGCCCAGATGTATATACACGTCTTACTAAAGTCCAGCGATACTAATATTGATATTATTATAATACATTGCATTAATTCCTGATATACCTGAGGTTACTCATCGTTACAGAGACCCTGGTGAAGAATGGGACATTTTCGAGGAAAGCATCCCAATGTCCACCTACCTGGTAGCTTTCGTGATTTCAGATTTCGATTCTCTGAAAGATAAAGACTTCAGTGTCTGGGCAAGACCGAACGCCAAAGATCAAGCGGAGTATGCTCTAAACATTGGTCCACGTGCTCTCAAGTATTTTTCCACTATATTCAAACAAGAGTATCAATTATCGAAAATGGACATGGTGGCAGTGCCGGATTTCTCAGCCGGGGCAATGGAAAATTGGGGATTGGTCACTTATCGGGAAAGCAGAATGCTATATGACAAGGCTACGTCTTCCGATGCTGCGAAACAGAGCGTTGCTGCGGTGATTGTACACGAATTGACCCATATGTGGTTTGGAAATCAAATTACACCCGAATGGTGGAGCTATTTGTGGCTAAGCGAGGCATTCGCCAGGTACTTCCAATATTTCGCCACTGCACAGGTAATCCTTAATTTTTAAATTAAACAATTTATTATCGGAAAAATAGAATGAAATTGCAGTAGTTTTCCGATAATAATAACAATGAGGAACTTACTACACTTACCTTAAAATTATGTACACAATAAAATATGAGAAAATTAAGGGGATGAGCTACTCAAAGCAATTAGAAATTTAGGCTTTTCGTACATGGATCTAAATATCTTTTGGAAACAATATATATTTGGAAGTAGGAATGTTTGGTATAGAAAAAATGTTTGCCTGCATACTTTAGACAGAGAAATTTTCTTCTTTGTTGGAGTCCTGCTTCCTTAGCTTCGAATAGGACACAATTTATAAGACTTATAGGGCTTGTACGGTAAACTCATGTGGCTAGTTTTGATGCAATATTGTGAATTAGTTCTATTATTTTTGAAATATCTTTTGTACAGATGCCATATGATTGACCCGTAATCTATTTTTGTGTTTATTAGACTTTGGAGATTTTCAAACGAATTCCATAGTCTGCTTCTCAGTTGCTATTTACTAATATTTTTGTTGTCTTTAGTTGTTTTGTAAATGTTGTTTTTTATCAAGGCTAAAATCAATAAGTTTGACAGACTGTATCTACAAATTTTAATTCAGTATTTCCCGTGATTAAATTTAGTGGATTCCAACACTGATGTTGTTAGGAAAAAGGGGTACAATGTGTTTTTGAAGTTGAAAATTTGAATCCTGATTTATTGTACCATTTCTACAGGTTATTTATGGATTATTGTAATAGTTGTATTGTGTTGTAATTTTTTCCGTCGCATGCCACAACTTTGTGGGGCTGTTCACCACTTTATACCGTTTTTTAGCAAAAACAAAAAAATACGCATTCAATAGTTTGTAATTCTCCACAAATGCATTCCACTTTGAACGAAAAGGAATGTTTGCCCTGGAGATGTTCCCTTCTAAGCACTTCAACTCCCGGTCAATTTTACGAATATACTATATCTCTCATACCAAGATTAGTGCGGTCAGTTAATCAGTACATTAAGTATTTATTCCTACTACAATATTATTTTATTACAATGCCTGTTACTGTAGTATATGCTGTTTCAATAGAGTTAATAATAAATACGACTAAGAAAAATTCCAAGCCATTAAGGCTGCACAGACATACATATATATATGTACTTACGTTTTGCTTTCTCACAAAATTCTACCATAAAGAAGTAGTCATTTCATTTAAAAAAAGTCAAGAATTATTACAGAAGACCAAGGGAATAAAATACGATGTTAAAAAGAAGCTGAATGAAAATTGTAACTACATTATAATTGTAATTTATTTTGCAGATTGAGGAATCATGGAACATGGAGGATCAGTTTATTGTGGACCAATGTCAGACAGCTTTCGCAGCAGACGGTCTTGAATCTTCTGAGCCAATGACTCGAGACGTTGTTACTTCCTCGCAATTAGGTGGAGTTGGGGACACTATCACGTACAATAAAGGAGCAAGTATCGTACGGATGATGAATCTTGTTTTTGGCAATGCAGTTTTCGAGACAGGACTGCAAAATTATTTGAGGAACAAGTAATGAGAAAATGTATTATAATAACATAATGCATGTTCTATTTGGTGATATAGTGTTAACGAACGTAATTCTCAGAGTAACATAATAACAGTACATGAAATGAGAATATTGATTATATTCTTATCTACATTACATATGGCGTATTTAAGGAAATTAAATTTAAATACGAAATAGGTTTGAAACTTATGGTACATCGAGTACTGTAAATACGTATTTGTATTCCAGAATATACACTAAATGTCTACGTTTCAATAATAGTTGTTTGTCAGTGCAACGTATACAATGCACTCCTAAAGCTTGGTCTAGTAATTTAATAATACTCCGTATAAAAGTTTCCCAACTTTTCATTCTATCTTCATAAATCCGGCACCAATGAGTTAGTGACGATCTCCTCGTGAAGTGGACACCACATACGACAGCATTTAAACAATTACCAGTTACATTAATATTAATGTGCATGTATTCAATAATACCATAATTACTAGAAGCTAGTTTAACAATGTGCAAAATCTCCAGTGTTTACTGTCATTTTCGTTAGTAGAAGCTTACCAATCAATTGACAAAAATTTCATTATGAAATAATGGAAAATATAGAAATTTTTACACTTTATTAATCATGCTAATCCTAGAAATCGTGATGATTACAAATTTGAGACTTCTGAGACTGAGACACTCCAGATAATTTCAGTAATATCTGTTTGTTCTGTTGTAATTTTTAATGATAAGAAGGACGCGTTTTTATAATTACTATTATTATATTTTATATGCAAAAGTAGTATTTAATAGCACAGAAATGCAGTTATTAACGTTAAAATAAATATTATTATTGACTTTACTACTAGTACTTTAAGAAACATCTCTGAAAACGGAATTTTAGATAAATATCCTCACTCTAGTAACTACTATATTATTCATAGATTTGTATCATCACTGTAGTATCCTTATTTACTACTCAATTAACTATATTTACCACTCACAGATGAGTGGATGCATAACCTGAGAATTAACGTAACCATTTCTCTGTTACTATAAAAGATAACATAATACATATGTGTCTATTGCAGCAAAGAGGCAAAAGTAGCGCGGCCAGAGAATCTATGGATAGAGATTCAAGACGAATTAAATCTACGAAACGAACAACTACCTACATCAGTGGAAAAGATTATGTCTACGTGGACAGAGCAATCCGGATTTCCAGTTTTAAACGTCGCTATTGAGAACGGTGTAGCTAAGATACACCAGAGTCGTTTTCTATTGAGAAATTTAAAATCTACACCCACAAATTTGACATGGTGGGTGCCCATCACTTGGGCAAGCAAAGACAAGCCAAACTTCGATAAAGTTGTGGTACCATATTGGCTGAATAAGCAAGAAGATACCTTTCAATTGGGAACTGGGCCCGGATGGGTGGTGCTAAATGTCCAATCGGCTGGTGAGTAACTTTGGATTATAATTTAACACATTTCTAATTCTCTTATTACATTTACAAATTACACTTCCTTAATAATATAAGTACCAGTTATTGTTACTGCAGAAATTTGCCTTTCAACGTGATTCATACGATTTTATTCAATTTCATGTTTATTACAGTACTCTAGACTAGTATTCATTATAAAATAATCAAAAAAAATTATATGAGTCGTCGAAATGAAAACTATAATACAGATATCGTTTTCTGAAATTCTCTAACCACTTTGACCTTACAATATAACAAACATCTTTGAAATTAACGGTCTTACGGGAAAGATTCAGAGGGGAATTCAAGTAAAAGTAGTCGAAATTTGTTTACAAAAAACACCGTCGAACTGCCATAACATTCGAAGAATGATTTCTAAACAAAAGGAAAATACTTATAAAAAGAAAAACAAATTTAAAGTTACTCACAAAATATTGTATGGTTTACACATCCATTATAATATACATAATTCATAGGAATTTGATTATTTCGATAGTAATTCAAATATGAAAATATCATTACTGAATCTATAAGTCTTAATCTGAATAAACGATACAAATAAATATATTATTTTAAACTTAAAACTTATTACCGACATAATGTACCACATACATAATATGCAACATGCGAGTAAAAATATTCTGCCGAATAAATGTTAAAATTTTACTTTGTTTAGGTTATGAAATGATTGAAAGAATTTTTTGAATATTAATAAAGTTTATTTAATCTACAATATGGACATATACGCAATAATCAAATTTATATAGTAATAGAACACATCACAATAATACACATGACAACGTATTCAGGGAACACAGGGAATCACATTGGTAATTTACATTGAAATATCATAAACGTAATCCAAAAAAATATGTTTCGTTCTATAATATGAACGTTTTGAGTGAAAACATGGCGTGGATAATTTTTTAATGAAACATTTTAATGTAAATTGTCCTTATATTTTGAAAATTATATTTCTAGTTTATTCAGGATAATATTTCCTACCTTATTCCCAGTGGTCTTTTGGTTTAAAACACTCTATGTAATTAATCGAATGCAATTCTGTTATCGATAGTTCGAACTTTCAAACGTGTTAGGCATCTGTTTCCATCACCTCTGTTACCCAAAAATTATTTAAAAATAGGCCTAACAAGTGCTATCAATGATGAGGTACCTTATCAACACGTGCGATACAAGATACGAGGTAGCAGTGATACAATAATTCTACACAATACATCGTATTTTACTGATAAAAGATCAATTTCCGGAATTTAATAAGTTAGACATGAAATCTACAATTCACGTGTATGCCAAGTACGAAATATACAATATAACTAAGATTCAGACATTTTTAGCAAAACGTTTAGCATCGTATAAATAAAAAATACATTTAAAAATATGTTATAAATAGGAATTAATATTATCGATAGATCGACAAACACATTAATATTAAATCATTTTACAATATTTCTACAATAAAGAAAGGATTATATAATTCATATTTAAAAGTACTAATTCTAAAAATAGCATGTTCATTACCATTTATTATACTACGAAGTATGATATTGTAAACAATTAATTGTTTCCAATAATACCAGCCCTTCTGCTAGCACATCTTACATCATACCGAGTACCTACCATAAATTTGTATAGCTTACAATTACTTAAACTGTCACCTATCTGTTTTTCTAATAATTCCAAATATTCGTTCAATAATGACGGTATCACTTATGATAATAATTTGAAGAACGTTTGATAAGAGTTGGACGGTATTACCATCCAATTTCGACATACTGTGATAAGTATCCCGTTTAACAGAAATATCAGATATAGATATTCGATAATTTTAGAGTTATAAATGATTAAAGTAGCGGGCCTCAAGATATTATACTATATAATGTCGTCTTTGATAATGAACCATAGCGGACGTGATTTCAGTGTGTGATATACGCGTATTTATAAAAATCACCAGGAACTCTTTATTTTTATATGCTGTTCGTTTCAATTGTTCGTCCAATTTATACCGTCGGTGCTAACGCTAAATGAACTAACTTATGAGAATTACTGCAATGTTATCATGAATACTTTGCACGTCGCATTTTTAATCATCGGGTTTATTCTGTCCTTCCATGAAAATCAAGCTTTGGATAGAGAAACTGATAAGAATGAAGGTAAATGAAATAAAATTTATGAACAATTTGACTTTTAGTGACACTTCTATTGGTTAACAAATGAATGACGTTAACGATGTTGAACATATTAATCACAATAAAGTCTTGAATAATTATAACAATTTTAAGTATCTCAAATATAAGTATTTTCTTTTAATCCTTGTAATGATTTAACCACTTAATGAATTTACCGACTTTAAACATTGCAACTGTCTCAACAATCTTAATCGACACGACAATTCTGATAGTCTTGACATATACAACAATTTAAACTGTTTTACTAGTCTGAATCGCCTTAACTGTCTTACCCGTCGTAACCACCTCGACAATTTTTTAAATTTTATATTGAAAGTTATTGTTTAACACCTTAAGGCGCAATGTAGCCGTCCATTTACTTATGTCGAGTGTTCTGGACCAATAAGAACTTGATCACTTGAAAATTTTCATAGACGGAATTCTGCACGGTAATCTGCAGCAGTGGTATGTGAAATACTCATAAAGAATTTTTTTGTATGCAGTTTTTAATATTCGTACCTTTAATACTACCACTGCATTTAGTTCGAAAATAATGAAAAAGTAAAGAAATTGAGTGTGAGCAGTATGGCGTGATCTTCCATATTAAAAACATTCGATAGTTTGAGATTGTGTCTTATCTTCCGACGACTGGGACGAATATATCAACATACGTTGAATATATTCGAGCTGTAACATAAATTACATAGCTATGATTTACATGAAAAAAATTGTGCTTTAACAGACATCTCTTTGTTAAAACAAAAGTCAGACAGCATATCATTAATAAGTTCAATTAAACACCACATTCGTTTCAACAGTCTTATTATCTTTACTTATCTCAACCAATTGAGCTGTCTTGATGCTCATGATCATTTAAAGTGTCCTTATCAGATTAATCGTCTGAATAATTTTGACGATTATAACGTCTACGGCGCTTCATCATGATAGCTATCTATGAATTACAGGCGATATTAATAATTCATAAAATGAAGTCATTTTTGATATTCCTTTCAATTAGTTTTTAACTAAGAGTGATCATTTTTTCGAGTATATCAGAACTGTATAAAGCACGTATGGAGTGATCCTGGTCCTTCTTAACGCTACTTTAGCATGCGCTACTTTAACGCGAGTCTACTGTAAATTGATACACCACACGTCGTTACCTAAGAAGGCGTGGTTTAAAGCCCGCCGAGTTGTCGTTGCTCGGAAAGCCTGAAACGTTGCCCGTAGGAGTAGCTGTTGAACAGCACTGCCCTGCTGGAATATACAACTACGTTAGTACATGTACTGTGTACTGGGTCAAAATGATCAACTATCCTTAAACCTAAAGGAGTTTCGAACAAATATTATTCTATAGCTTTAAGTTATTTTTTCACATGGAATCATTACTCTTGCGGTTCTATTCGAATGAAGTACAATATTAAGACAATTTTTAGAAATGTAGAAATTTCAATGATATTTTCAGGACTGCCCTCGTAGGTTTACTTTAAAGAAACAATAACTTAATCTAAAAAATCATTATATCGATTTTTACATGCATCACTATTTATTGAATTATTTAAAAGATAAATGATGTACCAGATTGACGGAGGCAATAATCGATTGCGAACATAGTTGTACATATTAATTACTTTCACAGGTTTCTATCGAGTAAATTACGATCGTGCTTCTTGGTATCATATCATCGAGGTCCTCGACAGTAGGAATTATCAGGATATACCAACTGCTAACAGAGCTGCCATCATCGATGATTTGTTGAATTTGGCAAGATCTGGTTTGCTTGACTATGAAATAGCTTTGGATGGTTTACAATATATCAAACGAGAAAGGAATTATTTGCCTTTCAAATCGGCGTTCTCTGGATTTACTTACCTCGACCGACGGTTCTCTGGACATAATAAATTTTATACACAGTTCAAGGTTTGATATAGTGATTATGTAACATATATTCGTTATTTATTAAGCAAAATAACGTTTACAACATGCCATTCTTATTGAGCAAAACAATTTTCTTGTATTCTTTAACTAAATACATAATAAGACGAATACCGATAGGAAAGAAACATTTAAAAGCAGATATACTTAATACTAATAGAGAGAATTACTATATAAATAAACGATGTAAAACAGAACACTTTAATGAAGATGAAAATATTTTTAATCAAGTTTCTTGTTACATTAATTTTAAAGTTCACGAAGACTGATGAAAGAATCAGTAGAATTTATTATGTTATTATATTTCATCCAAACAATTCGATATATTACTAATTATTGTTCAATATAATTTTCGGTTGAACGTGATTTCTTTTACGTACAATGTGACGTCGGATTTACTTGTTGATTCATGAGAACAAATTTCATAAATGTTTGCAGACATTTGTGCTAGACCTCATCAAAGATGTATATGAGAATCTTGGTTACGTGGATCGTGCGGGTGACGACAGATTAACAGTATTATTGAGAACTGAACTAAACAAATGGGCTTGCAAGTATGGCCATCCAGGATGTGTAGATACCTTCACTAAATTGTTTCAAGAATGGAAGAAGAACCCTAGTTTGACGTAAGGACATTTCTGAGGTTTTAGACATCCAGAGCCTGATTGAGGCTTTTACGTTGTAACCCGTGTCGTTTCATAGTACTTATTTCTACGTGTTGCAAGCATTCTAGTTAAGTTTATCTGGAACCTAATAATACACTGATATGTATCTATACAGTATCCATTTGTATAGATCTATAATGTGTCACATTTAATTGAAACCGACGGAATATTTTGCAAACCATGGAAGATATGAAAAAATTGTCTTCGCGATAATTGCTAATAAATATTTTCCTTATGTATGTGACACCATAGAAGGGATTTCAAGGTCAACGTAATTTTTTTTAAGGGACACTGTATGTCTTTTAAATAATGTTACTTTTAAAATACGTACAACGGGGTGTAACATAAGGTCATTCAGTTTAGTACGAGTTCATAATTAATAAAATTCGAAGGAGTCAGATCAACGTGAATCGTGGATTTAGTTCGAGTCAATGAAATAGTTACGTTCGATAATAATCCACGGCCTGCAATTCACTAATGTATGACTTGCTAATACACTAAATCACCTTATCTGACATCCAATTGATATTTAAAAATGCTATTGTGTTATAAACAAACACGTACAGTGTTTTTTTTTTTTAAATTACGTTCCCCAATGAAATCTCATTTACCATATCATACATAAGGAAAATATACATAATACATGTCCACCTTCATATCAAGCAACTACCCAAGAACAATTTTTTCATATCGTCAATAGCCTACAAAATATTCCATCGTTTCCGGTTAAATATAAGACACTGCGTATGTATCTACATACATATACATATGTATACAAGGTGCTTCCAACTGTTAGGTACAGGCGGGCATTAGATGGTTCCACATGAAAAAATAAGTCAAACATAAAGATTAACATTTTTTTATTTGAGATTTCGTTTTCGAGAAAATCGAATATGGAAATCAATCTGCAACGGATGTATTCGTCATGGTAGTAAGTGGAAACGGAATACAATGAACAGACGCGCTAGCCGAGTCCTATTCAATAATTGTACGCGTCTGCAACAGATCTCCAACTTTGATTTTCTTGGAAAGGAAGCCTCAATGAAAAAATTTTGTCTATATTTTTTCTTACGTCTTTACGAGGAATCACCTCACGCTCGCTTGTACATAATTTTCGAAGACACTCTGTACATAAATATGTACGTCAGTATATCAGTCGTTCTCAATAAACTTAACTTACAGCGCTTCCGAGACTTTGGCACGAATTTTTGAAATAGACAAGTTCTGGACCTGGCAGTCTCAACAGTAATAACTGTTAGAATTTCTTGGTAATTTCTTATGTTTTGCATGCTTTACGATTCACTCAAGTACAGATGTTGTGGTATGCTATGTATTTCTTAACGAAAAATGGACTACTACAGTAATATTCCGTTATACGCCCGTTATTATATCGTCGTTGGTCTCATTTTGATCAGTTAAATCTCACCAATATGTTAATATAGTTTTTACTAACGAAAGACCAAAAATGAAAAAGTTTCATCGTTGCATTAGTGTTGTCTCATCGATACTCACAATCGGTCTTCAAATATTTTTTGGCTGTCTCGACCGCCGTTGCTGGAAAAATACAGAGGTGAGCTTCTGAGGCTCGGCCCAAAACTTATGAGGAACAAAAACTATGTCAGTCTTTTATAAATACTCGCATCCCGTCCCGAGTTCGAGCATTTATTAGTAATACACTACACAGCGGAACATTACTGTATGTATATACAAGGAAGTTTTCCTGCTTTGAGACTTGAAGTTTTCGCGACTTCTCTTCATTAATGAAAAATTAAGAAACCCATTACCTTCATTAACTGTTGTAGTAGTTTCATTAAGGTATCGATTGAGTGTAAAAAAATTTTTTCAAATTAATAATATTTGTACTACTAACTTTGCAGTGTGTAGTATGTAATTGTGCCATACTCATTGCATGTACACATATGAATCGAAGAGTGCAGAATAATTTATAACCATAATATTGCATTGGACAAATTTTCTTTCTTATGGATGACACATACATTTTAAACATTAATATTTGGTGTTAAATATTTGCAGCATTACACCGAACCAAAGACCCACAGCATACTGTACAGCTATTCGGAATGGAACGAAAGATGATTGGGAATTCTTGTGGAATCAATATTACAACTCAAATTCAGCTGCTGACCAAGCAGTCATACTACAAGCTCTTGGTTGTACTGAAGACACCAGTCTTTGGGAAAGGTAAAAGTCATAAATTGTTTCTTCCAGCTAAGTGACGACTTTCATTCATTCATATAATAGCATTTGTTATTTGGCATTAATCTTTCAGTTAAGTGAATATAAATTACAAACATTACGTAACTATTGATTTCTGTTATTAAAAGCTCGTATTGATACATTTACGGCTGCACATATTTCTTCCTTTTCACAATAATAGGATTACGGTACACGAACCCTTTAAAGTCTGAATTATGATATCGCTATTCCTTTAACACAATTTCTATTTCTAGTCTAGTTATTACTGTTGAGGCTTTCAGGTGTAAGCAGTGTCCTGGTGGAATTATTTTCCCTACGTTCTGCAAGCATTGCAGCTAGCTTCTTCAGGGGGTCGAATGACACACTGATATTGGTGTGTGCCTTGTGGTGCTACACTAATACACTGGAACTTGTTTATGTGCATGTTCAACTGACCAATAAAAACTGTCTTTTGATTGGCAAGGAATGAACTCGAACATGAACAAGCTCGAATATATTAGTGGAGTAGCAAAAGGTACACACCAATATCTGCGTGTCATTCGACTCTCTGAGGAAGCTAACTGCAATGCTTGTGAAGCTTTAAGAAAATAATTCCACCAGGACACGGCTTACACCCGAAAGCCTCAACAATAATAACTGTAGTTATACAGAGACTAAAGAAATTTTATGTAATTTTCATATAATGAAGACTGAATTATTAAATTCTAAAGTAAACTACTAATTACTTTACTTATAAATCATGAATTAAAAGAATGGAAATCGGAAGTTGTTCAGCACTATAATCTAAATGTTCATTCTAATTATTTCCATACATTAGTTTACAAAAACAAGTAATATGCGAGATTTTTTTCCACCTTTCGCAATTTTAATCAACTTCAAGATAGAAAAAAAGGTATATCACTATTCTTCTTTTAACATGCAACGTCTACATTCTAGATGTCTGTAGACTTAATAATATGTATAACCAGTAGACAGTAATGAACATAAGTCGTTGTTTAATTGAAGTTACGAAATTTGTTCATAATGAATCTGTTTTCAGATACCTACTGGATGCACTTAAGAGTTTCGAAAAAAGCAGAATTCGCAGACAAGACAGTACCTCTGTCTTCTCCGCGATTTCCGGTTCTGGACGTCTTGGCGCGGAGTTTATTTTAGACTTCGTTGAGAAATACCATACAACAATGAGCGAATAGTATGTACATCTTATATACAGAACCGTAAAACGTAACACGCCATTCTCATTTTAAATCGTATAAAATTATAATCTTACATTCTAAAACTTCATTTATAATTTGACAATTTTACCTTTAGAATTCAATTATTTTTAATTTTAATTGTGCCATTTTTCACCTTACTTCCTTCAATTTCGTAAAACTAATGTGCTTGACTTAACAACTGCAATTCTCAGTTACATTGAGAAAAAATTGTATGATATTATCAAAAAGAGTACCTTGTAGAAAATTTCCATTTTTTATCTTCCGACAAATATGAATGACCATGAGATTGATAATTTTATTGTAATTAAGATGATTTTCTTTCATTTGGATAATAGCGTTATATACTCTAGTTTTATGGATGATTTACTCATGTTCACTCTCCGTTCACGAATGTTGTCATATTCATTTCAGCTACAGTGGACCAAGTACAATTTCCAGTATATTGTCGTCAGCGTCACAAGGATTCTCCACGCAAGGATCAATCGACAAATTCGAGAAATTAATCAAGACACACCCAACAGAGTTTAAAGACATCTTAGACTCTCTGAACAATTCTCTCAAAATTGCTAAATACGAATTACTTTGGTTCAACAAATACGGTGATGCTATAATATCGTGGATAGATAAATCTGTGAAATTTTCTGAAGATTACCGATTACCTACGAAAATAGAACCACTTACATATTTCATTCACCTAAAACCAAAAATTAATGCACTCAACAATAAATTTTCCTTCGATGGAACAGTAAAAATAGCAGCAAAAGTCACTGAAAGCACAAACGTAATCGTCTTACACTCCTCGGATCTGGTACACGAGACAATTATTGTTTCTGCTAACAACAAGAATTTGACAATCACGAAGACGGAGACCACTAAGAAATATGATTTCTTGACGATCGAACTTGATGAGGAATTGAAAGTTGGCGAGGCTGTGGATATTCAAATAAGTTTCAGTGGCACACTAAACGATGAGATGCGTGGATTTTATAAGACGTGGTACTATGATGATAATGGTCAAAGAAGGTACAGTAAAGAATACATATAATCTATCTATACATATAAACACAGTCTGAGCCATTTAAATCGACCCCAATCTTCCAAACCATTGACGATACCGAAAAATGTTTTAAAGAAACTTGAATAGTTTCAGAGAGGAAATAATTCTAAACTAGTAATTATTTTATAAGTGAACGGGTAGATGGCATATGAAGGTCCATTTTGTTTTTTTAAATCGAATCATAAATCTCCTAATGCATTAGTCGATGCAGCTCGTAATTCCCTATAAAAAAGGTATTCTGCTATTTATGCCGAAAATCTATCAGTTTAGAAGATATTTTAATTTCGAAATTGCGAAATAGTACTTTTAATGCGATGATTACCTTCTTAATGAAGTCACTGATGAAAGTTTGAAAGGAGTATTACGATGAAAAAGTATTTACATTGCATCAGTAAAGACAACAGGAACATTGTTATTCGGTCCAGCGAGTACATTTCTAACATCTGATCCACTCTTCAAGTGTCTCACTTTCTATCGTTTTCATAGGATAATAGATTCATGAGGCCCGTGTCAACTGTCAAAAATGGTATTATCCCAACCGAAATAGCTCTCTGTTTCCATATTTTCGACTAACCGTTACAAAAGTTTAGATTTGTAGAGACATTTTGAACAGAATACATAAGGAAATTTCTTGGTATGCATGAAATACTTTCTGTATATTTTATGCCAAATTAAAGAACGGAGCATTATATAATGATATGCCATGGAAGAATGTTGAAAAATTTTATTGCGATTTTGCAGTGTAACTCTGCCATTTCTTACTATACATTTGCAGTAAGATCGTAGATAATATAGAAACAATCACACAGGTGAAAGAAAATCGAAATAATAATTCTGGGAGAAATTGTTTTCTTAGCAGAATAAAGCGATTTATAATTTATTATAATGTATCATAAATTATAAACTACATAACTTGTACAAATAATTTTTAAACAAACATGATTTGCTATTTGAACAATCATTTCAAAATAACTTTTCCCAAATGTAATATTTAAGTATGTTAATACGTATAAATAATGATTAATTACGCACGACTTATCTTCTTGTGAAATGAAGTGGTACATTTGATTTTTTATTTATTTCTTTTGGGCTGCATTTTCCATTTCTTTACCTGGATATATCACACATACTGTTCCAACCGTACTACTTGTAAAGTGTACGTGTACGCGTATTCTCATAAATAAATCAAAATATTTTCAAGAAATTTAGGAATCAATTATAATATTCTATTAGGTCAAGTAATACAAAGTACAAGATATTCCTCAATGGTATAAATGAAAAATTTTCATATTTCTTTTCATCAGATGGTTGGCCGCCACTCATCTGGAGCCAGTTGGTGCCAGAAAAGTCTTCCCCTGCTTCGACGAACCCGCACTGAAGGCAAACTTTACGATGGAAGTCGTTGTCGCAGAAGGCTACAGTGCACTTAGTAACACAGGGATTGAGTCTATAATCAGACACAGGTACATATTTACAAATAAGTATATCCGTATAAAGTATCCGTATGAAACACAAGTACAAACTAGTGCGAAGAATTTAGCCTGAATATAAACACATCGTTCACCTGTTGCCAGTGAAGATCGAAGTTCCTTTATAATTACAATATTGAAATAACACCGTACTATTAGCGCCATTTTCCGGGTAAAAAGAAGCCCAAACAACCAAACCCAAAAAAAATTCTCAATACGAATCTGGCCCTTGCTATTATCCGATTTATACAGGGTTAATTACGAGAAACAAAGCATCTAAATATCTGCTTTGAGAATTACAGATACAGTGACTCTTGCTATGTTGCAAAGTGCTATATTGTAGCGTGAGGCACTTCCCCTGCGCACGTATAGTACTTTCACGCACACAAATAGGCTTTTCCACCACGTTGCGTACGCCGCACAGTGGGGTATTTGACCTGAAAAGCTGGTCAAAACTATTTTAAAATTTACTCAATCTTCAAAATCTCATAACTTTGTTCATACTATTCGTCCAAAGTTGATGAAACAAAAACCATTTTAAAGTTTGCACTTTCTAGTTTTTAGTTCTTTAAATTAATTTTATCAGAATGGTTGTCTGGAAGGTAAACTTCACCCTTTAATAGGAGTGTGCCAAACTGTACTTTTCCTTGATTTTCGTCAAGTGCTACAGAATGCAAACAATATTTGCAAAATACGAGCTCGTACTGCAAAATACGAGACGCCGTACGATCTTCGGTACTTTTTCAATTCACAACTTGGTCTATTAAGCTTCTTAAACGCTATTAGATTTTCAACCTTATTGAACGATTCCATTATTTTACCGTCCGTAGAATTTCAATTTGATAATATATTTAAGCTACACATTGTTCTCCATATTAATATCACTCGATGTTTACTTAATTTTGAATTTGTCGTATTTAGCTAATGTTTTTTTAACATTTCCATTTCTCTGATTCACTGCTTTATTATTTTACATTGCAGGTGAGATACATGATACGCCAGCATCATAAGCCTAACAAAACCATCCTAAATAAATTGTTTCCTCTTGTGTAATTACAGTAACTATGAGAAGACCATCACTTTCAAAGAAACGCCTAAAATGTCTACGTACCTCGTAGTCCTAGTTGTATCTGATTTCTTTGGGATAACGGATAGTGGAATATATGGAGTTTGGGCTAGACCAAATGCACGTTCTCAAATGGAGTACGGTTTATCGATCATGAAGCCGCTTGTGCAATTTTACGAAAACACGCTGAATGATCCGTATCAACTAAAAAAACTTGACATGGTAGCGTTGCCAGACTTTGTAGCAGGAGCAATGGAGAATTGGGGTTTATTAACATACAAAGAAAGGAATCTATTATATTCGCCGGAAGAATCGACTACGGCAACACAACAGAGTATAACCACCGTTGTATCGCACGAAATCGCCCATCAATGGTTTGGAAATATGGTCAGTCCTGCCTGGTGGAAATATGTCTGGTTGAATGAGGGTTTTGCCAGATATTTCGAAACATTTGCAACCGCATCGGTGAGTAGTTAATACATTTGTTCAGAAGCCCTTTCATAATTAAGCGATTTAAATGATTTCAATCGATAAAGTCACGTTTACAAAATATTTCGTTGATAACTTTAGTGTTAAGGAATAATTTTTATACCTGATGTCCGCTATCTAGTGACTTTTAAATAATAAGTGATCTAATACTTTTTTCATAGATTCAGCATTGTTGTCTGAACGCTAATAAGAACTCAGTAGAACATATATATTTTATATAATAGTATCATTTAATATTCATTCGCTAATTATTCAAAACGAACGGATTCATTCGTAAATTTAATAATTCATATATTTATTTCGTTGGTGTAAATACAACTAAAACGAATATTAATATAACTGACAAGAAAATTCTATTTATCAGGTGGTAAATTGGAATCTCGAGTCTCAATTTGTAGTGGACCATGTTCATTCGGCTCTTGAAGTAGACAGTTCGTCGTCCAGTCATGCCATGACACACGATGTATCCAGTCCAACCGAAATTTCGGGACTATTCGATACAATATCCTACGCTAAAGCTGCTTCCGTGATAAGAATGATGAGAGCATCATTTGGTGATACTGTATTCTACAATTCCCTTCACAGATACCTCCGAAACCGGTAAATCTTATACTTAACTAAATTTGACGCTATACTGAATTCTGTATAAAGCAATTGCTACATAGTTTTCTATGCATATTCAAAAGACCCCTTTCACATGGAACGGTTTATAATAACAATTGGTACATTTAATGTTCTAACTATTACTATTGGTGCTGAAAGAATAACTTATTGTCCTATATGTATATAAAAAAAATTTCGTAGAGTGTTAAGAGATTAATGACAGTAGAGGACTTTGAATATCTTATTTCATTTGCATGTTGGATAAACTAGAGAACATGTGCATTCGTCTGCGAACGAAGCACAATAAGCATAATCATAAATACACAATACTTGTTCTATAGATGTACTTTTGGACATTAAAAAAGCAAAGGAATTCTTTGCATCAAAACATACTTAACAATTTCTCCGAGCATTTATAATCATTACCAAGACAATTTCTTCGTAAGTCATTTATTTTCTGAATACAAATTACACTCGCACAGTAAAAAAATAGTTAAGCCGTGTATTCTTTTAAAAAAAAAGATTAACGCAAAAGAGTTTATTCGATCATTTGGACTCATCTTTGAATGCTATGCCTCTAATTTTGACATGTCCTGTACAGTTATCACTAAAACTCATGCAATCATTTGATTTTACAGTCGGTACAGCACAGCCACACCAGAAGATTTGTTCGATGCGTTCAAACAAGAAATCTCTGATACTGGGCTTAAAAATTTGATTTACGATATTATGAACTCGTGGACCACACAGCCAGGATATCCTGTAGTACACGTTAGCATACAAGGCAATAGTGTAAAATTACAACAGAAAAGATTTCTGATCGATAAGGAGAAGGCTAATTCTGATACTAGTTTGTGGTACGTTCCAATTACTTGGACATCTCTGTATGAACCTGATTTTAATAATACGGCACCAAAATACTGGCTGAACACCGCAGAGGGTACCACCACGCTTCCGTCTGACGCTACGGATTTATTCGTATTTAATGTTCAACAATCAGGTACACCAAAAAAATGTCTATTTAACTATTTCAATGAAATACGTATTTTGAACCGAAGAAATTTAATGTCGCAATCTAAACTATCTCCACTTTATATCTAGTATGACAACAGGTGTCTCAAAATATTTATATCGTCTAAATCGTTTAAATTACAATCAACCTCCTAGAGTTAACATAATTGATTGTTTGACGAAGGAATTAACTTTCCTTCAAAGATTTCAATACGATTTCAATTTAACCTTAATTCCAGGCTTCTATCGTACAAATTACGACACAGATTATTGGAGACGAATAATTGACTTCTTGAAAAGTAAACAATACACAAAAATACATGAAATCAACCGAGCCACGATCATCGATGATTTATGGAACTTCGGTAGAGCAGGTCACGTTGACTACGAGATCGTGCTGTCTGCAACACAGTATTTGGTCAATGAAACTGATTACATTCCATTGAAAGCATTCTTCAAAGGTTTAACCTTCTTGCGCAGACATGTTCAAGGCAGAGATGCTGACGACGCTTACAAAGTATAGTATTCTTTTTATGAAATATTTCCTTCCGTGGACCTCAATTCTTGTCATACTACTTACACATCCGCAGTGCATGTTGATGAATTCGTTGCCGTTGTGCTCAAATTGTATTGTAATATTCGTTATCACAGCGACTGCTGAATATTTATGGAAATATCGAAATAAGACACTAAAACATGTTATTAGGCAAAATTTAAATGTTTTAGGCTTAGCCACCCCCCTATCGTTTAAATGAAACTCTACACTCCCAGTCAGCCAAACCTGCAAAACCAAATTTTGCCCAGTGCCTGGTATAATGTTATGTACTCAACACAGCTACAAGTTTGATGCAAGATCTGCAATCAACAACTTGCACGGAGATTACCAGCAGATTAGCAGCAAGTCTTGTAATATAATATAGGTTATAAATTGACCTAGTTTAGTTAGCCTGGGTTGTGTTGCAAGACTTGTTTCCAATTTGCTGCCAATTTGCTTTAGCAATGTGTTAACAGACTCTGCCTGCAAAACCCAAGTCAAATGCGGAAACAGACAGTTATGGTTTTTTAGACAAACTTTGTCATTATTTGCTGGCAATTTGCTCGAAACTTGCACGCAACTGGTTATTAGGGTTATTGAATATGTTTAATTTTAAGTATAGATCAAGATAATCCAATGACGATCGATACTCAAAATTAGTCAAGGTCGCAAGAGAGAAAAACGTCCTTGTACCGTTGCAATGCACCTTTATTTACAATATTTTAATGTATTTTATTTGTTATTATTTGAGGAGGTGTTCAAAGCATTCACTTACAACTTGTAAACATTTCACAATTCAATGGCGACACTTACCATAAGTTTAACGTATCTTCATTTTCACGTGATCTCTCACGACATAACACTTTCTTTCGCATATATCCACAGGAAATAACCATGGAGTGTTAGATTCAACGATCGCGATAACCATATTGCACGGTAGAATAAATTTTCGGAAAATAAATTAAAAAAATGTTTCCGGAAGAATGGATAGTCTTCTCAAGTAGTTCAATTTGTCTAACTTTTTCTAGTATTTTCAATGTTGTTAGAAATATTCAACTGTCTTAATCATCTCGTAGACCCACTCGACTCGACTCGAAGTCAGTGGCTTGTATAAATACCTTATATTCCTCGCCCCGTGTAGTAGGTACTTCTTTTATATTGCAATGTTCACTTAAAGTAGTAATTATTCCGTCTAGAATTATTCACTCCTGTAGCGATCATTTCTTATAACTGTATTCTTCTCGTAAATTATTTGACCCTTATTACCTCGAATGCAACCTTATTTCTCGTCATGAAATTAAGTAACACTCCCCTAGTTCATACAATTTTTTTAAATATTGCCTTCAGCAAAATGATACATAGAACTTTTTAAAACAAAATGGGAGTGATACTATATAGGTGTAAATACTTATTCGATTCTTTCCTCCTTGCAAAGATTTGGATATATTTTTAAGGATTTGTCCAGATTTCCCTGCATACAGTCACTATTTTTCATGTAAAACAGTTGAGAATGCTGCAACGAAAAAGTAGATGGTACAAGCTCACGAAGTAATTGTTTGTTGTAGCAATACGTAGCCAGAATTGTTACCCCGATATATAATAGGATCGGAGACACAGATACTAAATGGTCTAAGCACGAATTGCGACTACTGAAAATGCTATTACGAAAGTGGGTATGCCAAATAGATGCCGCTGACTGTAAGGCTAATTCCTTGGACATGTTTAAAAACTGGCAAAATGGAGATTCTAAAAAGTTTGTATTGATTGGAGAATTTATTAGAAAAACACGATTTTGGAGAAACTGATTTACCCATTGGATTTCACATATTTTGCAGAATACCGCCAAACTTCCGCAGCGCTGTGTATTGCGAAGTTGTCAAGTTAAATGATTTTAGTAAATGGAATACTATATGGACGTTGTACCTGGAATCAAAAGTGGCTTCAGACAAGTCATTGATTCTTCAATCTCTAGCTTGTACTACCGATAAAAAATTGTTCTACCAGTAAGTAGGTGTTTACAAATTTTAATTTCTATGCAACAAAAAATAAAAATCATAACTGTTTATTATTTTCCACCAAAGGCTTCTTCATACAGCCATTGAAGACAATGGTGTAATTAGACGTGAGGACAGTTCTACTGTATTTTCCAATATCATAGAAGCCAGTCTAGAAGGCGTTGACTACGTAATGGATTTCATTAAAGCTAATTATATAGACATAGTCGAATAGTAAGTAAATTACCTATTATGAAATAGTTAAACTGACTCGTGTAAAACGTAATAATATTTTTGCCATTATGTTTTTTCAACAGCTACAGAGGACCATCGCAAATCCACAGTATCGTTAATACATTAGCCAAGAGAGTGACCACTGAAGAACTCTTGTCAAAGGTAATTCATATCCATTACAGTTCGTAAGAAACACATTTTTCTTCGATAGAGTGCTTTGCAGTTCAATGTGGGATATAATTTACCCATTGATAATATTTACTAAATGTCTAATCATATATAGGCTGATAATAAAAATCTAGGATACTTTCACAGTTAGAAGAAACACTTGAGTTGAGTAAGAGCTCGTTTATTGGAGGCTATTTTATTGTAACATACGTACGCCCTTCGCTCATACGTATTCCTCTCACACGTGCGCGCACCCCACTCTGTCGCCCAGTATGGAAGGAATAGAATACATACGGTGTCGCGTTTAACTCGTTTATTTTTCGTCACAGAAATTACGGTGTATATAATACTGTTCTGAGACAATGTTTCAATACTCAGTAACTTTCATGATTAAACTTTTTTATATCTCTAAAAATAACGGAGACAGTAATAGTAGTAACTGTGGTCGAATAGTGCATACATCCAGCCCACCGTACCTGTAGCTCCGTCAAACAAGTGAACGAGCGATTGGCGGGGAGAATGCGCGTTTGATTGGAGCTCGCTTAATGTAGTATTCTTGGAACTTTAACCCTCTACAGCCCCGAATGCTGCAATAAATGAGCTTCTACTGTAATATTCCCAAGTACTAGTAATCATTTTTAAAGTACTGTATGCATAATGGCTGTCTCATTTTGAAAATATTATACTAAATTATTAAACCAGTCATTTACATACATAAAAATGGTTTTCTACTAACTAATTATTACACTATGCTTTCACATATATTCTAAAAATGTTGTTACACGAATTCTCCCTAATTACAGTACACCGAGTTGATCAGTTGGTTAGCGATACAGGACCCAATATTTAGGATATCATTGAACTCCTACCAAAGTATCGTAGAACAAGAGCGGACCTGGGCTGAAAAGAACGTTCCAAAGATACACGCATGGATAGAAACGAATTATCAATCAACTAGCTACCGCCTACCAAAAACGTTCACTCCATTGAAATACAACATCTATCTTGCTCCATACTTCGAAGAGAAAAATTTCCAATTCGTTGGAAAGGTTCAGATAGAGATGAAACGTCTTATGAGCACGTCCCGTATAGTTCTTAATAGTCACGAGCTTGACGTGACGAAAGTATCAGTTTACAATAGTAACGGCAATTTGATCAAAGGTGAAGAATTAGTAGTAAGCAATCTTGTTACGAACAAGGAGACTCAAATGCTTAAAATATTCATGAAAGAATTCATAAAGAGTCAAAACATTATCGTTGAGATCGAGTATGTGGGATATTTAAATGAAAAAATGCAAGGCTTTTATCGAAGTTATTATCAGAATGATGATGGAACAATACAGTGAGTAAAAAACAAATATAACTATTTTTCTAGTGTGCAAAACACGGACGTACATAATCCTTGCCCAAAATATCTTAGACCGAAATTATCGTGATTAAAAAATAGCACATATCTAAGTAATAATTCAAAACATAAATCTAAAACAGGCGCAAACAACAAATCGTAAAGCCTTTTGTGATATTTTATTTTATTATTCTGAAAGTATTTTTAAACCATATGACTTAAATACACTTATTATTATATAAGTATCTGTATATAACAGAGTCACAGTAGTTTTTATATGTGTCACAAGTATTGCAAGCATAATAAATGAGACGTAACTTAGACCAGAACAGAAACTTAGTAAATATACGCATAATTGACATTGTTTTACAGATATTTGGCGACCACACAGTTCGAACCTACTTATGCTAGGAAAGCATTCCCCTGTTTTGATGAACCAGCTTATAAAGCACCCTTCATAATTAACATCCAAAAGCCCGTAAACTCTGTAGCACTTAGCAATATGCCTAGTCTGAGGTTGACGTCATCGGAGTAAGTACACTATTATTCGTCATATTTAACTTCACTAATTTCACAGGTTTCATAACTTAAATACATCTTAAACATTGATATAATATGTGGAAAATGCAACGCTCACTCGGACATAACTTGTCCTTTGTTGTTCAAAGCTAATCAGTATAATTACCCTTTTCCATACTACTTTCAATGTCACGATGGTAGAAGAAGTGTCATATAATTAAACAATTTTTTTCACAACGCTTTGAATACCTATCATGCGTTTTACTTCATCAAAAGAGTTCTTAAGAACTCGCCCGTGCCATTGATGTGAACATTGCCGCGTGTAAAACTACTTTAATTGCTGAACCATAAAATATTCTATACCCCCAAAGATGCGCGTCATTGGAGCCGAGCTGTAAGCATCTGCCAACGCAAGGCGAAAAAGATAAAAGGAAACTTTCTGTTTTTCGATATTAAAAGATTAATGATTAATTTTTCAACATATAACAAATTTACGTAATTTCCAGGTGTTTTTACGTTTACCATCGATTACTAATAGTAGTTATGATGCGTTTAGCGTTTCAGGCCATGTATGGGAAACATTTCAAGAAACTGTGAAGATGTCGTCGTATTTAGTCGCGTTTGTCGTTTCCGATTTCAAGCCTGTAAGAGAGGAATCCACAGCAGTAAATGTATGGAGTAGACCCAAAATGGCAGAAACTGGCGATTTTGCACAGATCGCTGCTCAACGAATGCTTGACTATTTATCCCTGGAAACAGGCTATAAGTACACTTTACCGAAACTGGATTTGATAGCAATTCCTGACTTTTCAATGGGTGCAATGGAAAACTGGGGGCTTGCTACGTTTAGGTGAGTACATCTCTTCACTAATTGTTTTGCCATACTCCTGCACCATATAGCTTCATAATCGTCAAAATATCTCAAACATCATATAGCTTTATAGTTACCATCACTGGTAAATACAATATAATAATAATAGTAATAATATAACAAAATTTCTAAAAGTACTAGCACTAGTAGGTCTAGCACAATTTCAAGTTGAATAATCGTCTTTACAGAGAATATGCGCTTCACTACGATAAAGACGAAACGTCAGCTACATACACTGATTATATAATAACTATAATAGCCCACGAATTATCTCACATGTGGTTCGGAAATTTGGTGACCTGTGATTGGTGGGAATACACCTGGCTCAATGAAGGATTTGCTGAATATATGCAGTGGGTTGTCTCTAACCAAGTGAGTTCTTGCAGTTACTTTTCAGTTTCAAAGCTATTGACTTGTAACTATGTTTAAGCAAACCTGTTACAGTTTCGACCTAGCCATGAATTCGACAATCTCTTCGTGGTTAACGAATTACAAAATGCGATGCAAAACGATAATTTCAAGACGTCACACCCCATGAACCAACCTGTCAGTAAACCATCAGAAATATCTAACGTTTTCGACAGCATTGCATACGGAAAGGGTAAGTGGTTACCAAATACTTAAATTTCATAGCCATAAAATAAAATTATCGGTGAATTGATATTGAATACAGCTGGAGGAAAACTCTACAAATGTAATCATATTACAGCTTCCAGTGTCATACGCATGATACATCGTGCATTCGGACCAAACATCTTCAAGAATGCAATAAACCGATATTTAAAAAGACATCAGTACAGTACTGCGACACCAAAAGATCTTTGGAATGCCTTCGATGAAGCAATCAACGAAACCCGAACAGTTGGGGACTGGCACGTCGGTATGGAAGAATTAATGGATAGCTGGGTTAACAAAGCCGGATATCCTGTTGTGACAGCATCGTTAGACAAAAATACAATAACTTTAACACAGGTATTTCGTAGTTTAAATTCAATTTTTAGTAATTAAGCCAACTCTCTGCATGTTTATATTGAATTCCTCTTCCTGGTATAATTTCATAATGACCACGTGAACGAAATGTCTTGTGCATGTGTATATTGCTATTAAGAAATTTTTCTGTACGTGCATACTTCGTTAATGGGCAATATAAGTGAAGTATACATATACCAAATATAACCGAATTTCTTCAAAATAACAAAACACAAGCAACTTGTGCGAGAGAATTGTCAGATTAGATTTAAATAATATATTTATTAAAACAAATGGCTAAAACTACGTGAAATAAGATAATGATTATACTATGACAATTACAATTAAACTAAATATGACTATGACTATAACTCACAATAAGTGACTACTGTAGAAACTCAAACTCTTAACTCATTATCTACGACAGAACTTTGCAATCGACTGTAGCGGCTTCTTGTAATGGTTACTTTAAGCCGCGGATACAGGAAACATTCCATCACGAAAGTTTGGACCCTTACAGATGGTTTTAATGATGCCCTTGCAATAATCAACTGAATTGAATTTTTAGTCACTAGTCAATGAATAAGGGGTAAAGCGTGCACAAGCCTCGCGAAGTTTAAAATACGATAACTTATGTCTTTTGATAATCTTAACGCATTTTCCAAAAGTTGTACCGAAGAGTTTGTTGAATTTTGATTGCCTCACGCATTTTTTCGATGTTTTCTTCGATGATCCTGTCACAAACGAATTGGCCGATAATAGTCGTTAATGTCTTCGCAACCCGCTTCAACCCCCGTTTAAACTAACCACAAACTTGTACGAGATAAACAATTATGGCCATACACTTTTTGTACCAATTGATGAATTTCGGTAAATGTTTTACCAAATTTAAAAAAAAAATTCAACCGATACCAACGTTCAACCCGTTTCCTAACATTATTCGTAAATGAACAAAAATAAATGAAATAAATTCTACATTAATATTTGCATCCCAGTCTTTACAAATTTTGATCGAAATCAACATCCTTGATTCGAAAATTGATTTACTATTAGCTAGATAAGACAAACGTAACAACCAAGTGCCAGTATTATTGCTCCACTTATAATACTCCAAACTATCTCTTTCAGGAACGCTTCCCTGCTCGTGGTAGCGATTCATCCAAGGTGAGCTACTGGATACCAATCACAGTAACATCATCCACTAAACCTGACTTCATAACTACTGAAACAAATATATGGATGGGAGCAAGTCCTCAGAGCATTTATTTACCAAATGCAACGGAATGGTTCGTCGTCAATGTTCAACAAAGCGGTTACTACCGCGTAAATTATGATAACATTTCATGGGAACGTTTAAAAGAGGCGTTGGACAAGCCGGGTCACAGTCAAATCCACGTAACGAACCGTGCTCAAATCGTAGACGATGCTCTGAACCTAGCCCGTGCTGGTTACATTAACTATGGTTTGGCGTTTAATTGCATAACTTATTTAACCAAAGAGGTAGATTATCTGCCATGGAAAGCATTTTTCAATGGAATGAGTTATATAATTCAACGATTCGAAGGACAAGACGGTTATGAACTGCTCCAAAGACATATTGTGCTTCTGACATCGAATATGTTTGAGGAACTCGGTTACGTAGATTCGAGGAACGATACTCACTCGAAGCAACTGAAAAGAGAACTGATTTTAACTTGGGCGTGCAAAATGGGCAATACAAGATGCGTGGATTTCGGAAAGGAGTGGTTCGCAGATTTCAAGGCAAGGACTAAGAATGGGTAAGCTTTTCCGCATTGTTACAATTATATAGCCCTGTAAGGAATTATTAAGAATAACAATAGAACACAGATTCTAAGAACATTTCTCAAATTTTACAATATGTCTGAATTGACTGAATTAATGCCAGTCTAACACACATCGATATCAAGTGTAACCCAAATGTAATTCAAAGATCGTAAATCTAAACAAATTCATTTAAGCATGCCAATTCTCGTGACATTTAGCACAGAGGTAGATCATATGAAACTATTTCAGGTGTATTATTTTCACGGCCTTGTTCACATTAGGGAAGTGCAATAACACATCAAGGTTCGAAATGGAACAGTTATTTAACTACACAACTGAAAAATTAAGAAAAATAATGGCAAATAAGAAAATTTTGTTTGTTCATTATAAGACAATAATGTAGTGTCAATAGAATTTCGAAAAACTCAATAATGGCACTAGTACAATTTTTATTATTTTTTTTACAAGTATAGAAATTAAAACAAATCATTTTTTGTTGAAACATTACGGATAGCAACTATGGACAGTTTTAATGAATACAGATATTTTATAAACCATTGGAAGATCCTTATAGGTATAAAATAGTACAATTACCCACCCCAAGCCTAACTTAAGTCTGTTTAAGACATAATGTAGGACAAACTGAAGCGTAAACATAATCTTCATTTGACTCTGATCAAGTTCATCCATGATCCAAATATATTACGGATACAACTCTATCTGAACATATTCCTAACTTAGACCTAGCCAAGGTTTTAGATCAAAACTCATTCTGTAATAATTCAATCTGAATCGTTATTCAAGTATAATCAAATTACCATTTACATATAAAAGAATCTACCTTAGTCATGACACTAACTTAGCTCAGTTCCATCAACAAACTAACTCGAATACAATTCTGCTCCAATTCAGACTGATATCCAACCATAATGTATTCTTAACACACAGCTAATTCGGATATAAGTCAATATGATAACGTAATATAATTCAGTTACAGATAGATACTGAGCTAAATCTAATTCGAGGATACCTTCTATACAATCCAGATCTAAATAGGATTTATCTGAATCATAAACAAGTATTAATTTGCATCTAACTCGTGTCCAATTCTATTTTGAACGTAACGTAGTCCTTACTCAAAATTAATTCACAGAAAATCCAATCATAAATCAAAACTAATTCAGAAATAGTTTTATCCTAAGAACTAATTCAGAAGTAGCTGATCGTACATTTATCCGAGAAAGGGGACGATTCCCGTTTTAAGAAGAACACCTACGCAACGCTGTAACAAATTATACGAATCACTTCTTCGCATGAGGCATGACCCATGCCTGCATACTTCCATTTCTCGAGTCTCACACTAAACTGAGAGTAACTACTGCTTACTTCGAACGTAAAGCTACACTGATCTAAGATTAGATCAGATATAAATTATGCCACAACTGAAACCGAATACGAATTTATCTTGCAATTAATCTTGCTCTCAAATTAAATCAGATCCATCACAAAAAAACTACCCTTACTTATAATTAATGCCTAAACACATATTGACTCCTTAACAAATATTATATAATTTTAACCATAATATAAAATGAATGTTCATCCAAGAGAAAAAAGATGAATAAACTACAACCTGTATTCGACATTCATTCACAGACTGTCGAACAGAATTTCACCAAATGCGAGGGCAGCAGTTTACAGTACAGCGATTAGAAGTGGAACATACGAAGACTGGGAATTCTTGTGGCAACATTATCTGAAAACAGAGTTTGCTACAGAGAAGAAGATCATACTGGATGCTCTTGGGTGTACGACGAATAAAACTCTGTTGAATATGTAAGTAAAAATCTTACTTTTACTTAAGAACTATTGTGCAGAATCCAAACATAAATCCGTTAAACCGTATGTAATTTTGCCTGTTGTTTTCTTTGTATGACACGTTTTCTTTTATTCTAGGTACATTTCACGTGCACTGAATCACGATTACACTTCCGATATTCGTAAACAAGATGTCAATGCAGTTCTAGCTTCTATTTACGGCAGTGGACAGTTAGGATTTAATGTGATGTTGGACTTCTTGATAACAAATTATCAATCCCTTTACGCATTGTAAATATCCAAATATTTATCATTTAAAGAGATAATGGTATATTAGGATTAATGTTAATTGAGAAAACAAAATTCTCTTCTCAATGTTAATTCTTTTAATGGAAGATTATAAAAGCGTATATTACAAACGTACACTTGCTTTCATTTTTTCAGTTATGGCAACTGGGGAGGTGTCGGAAGCTTGTTGTCTAAATTAGCATCTCGTACTTCCAATAAAGATCAATTGAAAAAGGTAAATTAATATTTTAATATTAATATTGAATATTAATATAAATCATATCATTAAGATTGGTATACTGATAATGTCCTATTTTGATATAATATTCCAAGTTCAAAGACTTTACCAATAGAACGGAAAAGTGCGAGATGGAATACAGCATACTGGTTTTGCAAATTTCAGAAACTGTAATTATATAAATTAATTGAAGATATTTGTCTATCTGTTTTATGAATATCCATTTATCTTACAATTGCCAGAAATGAACTATGACAAATAAATTAATCTAGTTGCTATTGAGATCTAGGTTCAGTTGTAATTATTACACACAATTATTATATTGAATTTTGTGAAATTTTATAAAATAGGCAATTATTATAACTGCATTTAATTAGAAATTATCGGTCAATCTAATTTTCACTTCACTAACGCCGAATTATGATGTCAAATTTTCTTCAGTTCATGGGTGTAATTAAAACTTGCATTTTTCTGAAACACACATATTTTTTTTTTATTACAGATCACTGACTTTGTGGAATCTAAAAAGGATATCATGAAAGATATTTCATCTACCCTTAACGCAGCCGTATCAGCCGCAGAAGAAAGTGTCTCGTGGTACTCGTACCACAACCATGAAATTATTCGCTGGGTAAAATGGCACCTTGCCAATTCGAAACAAAATAGCGGAGTTGTTCCAAACAGTTATGGTATAATCTCTGTGGCAATAATGGCACTAATCCCGTACATGTTAAGTTAATATACACTATATATTATAGCGAATCATACCAATGGATATAAAATGTTAATATTCGATAAATAGTTTACATAGATTAAATATTGCTGTGTACATTTAACAAAATGAAAGTATTATAAAATAAAGTAATATATTGATTTTATAAGAATGACAATTATATAATTCTAATTGCACTTATTATATTTCTCTAACTGAAAATACGGTCCAATACATATTACTTTTATTTTCATTTAGATATGGCTACCCTGATAACCAGTTGTGTACAAGTTTCAAGCAAATTGCCAGCAATAAATGACTAAAGTTGTGTAAAAAACCATAGCCATCTGTTTCCGCATTTTACTTGGGTTTTGTAGGCAATGCCAGCTGACAAAATGGTAAAGCAAATTGGCAAAAAGTCTTGCAACATGACATATGTCAAATTGAGGGCAAAACCGGAACACGGTTTGCGCAAGCCAACTTGCTCCATATATTGCTGCCAATTTGCTGCCTATATTTCTTCCAATGTGCGTGCAAGTTGTTCATAGCAAATCTTGCATAAAATTCGTAGCCATAACTTTATAATAGGCATTGGACAAAATTTAGCTTTGCTGGTTTGGCCGACTGGATATGTTAGCTTTGCATCTAAATACATTCCAGGGTAGTTTACTACGTTCGTTTGAGGTACATTTTTGTTATTTAAGGTAACCGGTAGACGTATCTGCTTTTTTAACGTAAATGTGATGTGGATGGATTTTTCTTCCTTTTATTTTTACTTCTCGATGCTATTATTGGAGTCCCATGGATAGCTAGGATCGCCGTATTGTCTATGAATGTATACAAGCTTGTATAGGATTGCTCCTAGCACACTTCCTTGCTGAACTCCTGCTTTTATAAGAAAAGTGTCAGAGATTGCGTCTTGGATTTCAATTGCAAAATTCTGTCAGTTAGGTAGGACTTAAGTAAATAATAGTAAGATGGCGGAAAATTTTGTAACATTTTGTGTAGCAAACCTTCGTGCCACACCTTGCCGAAGGCTTTCTCAACATCAAACAAACTCGACGGATATTGTCGACCACTTTGTGTACCTGCTCTGTTGCCGCATATTTTTTGCGGAAGCAGAATTGTTTCAGTAAATCTTTTCCAGATTTTTGAAACGTGATGGTACGTGCTGTCTTCCATTATTTTGGAAAGTGTAAAAATCTCAGAAAGTCATTGAACAAAATTTTCAAGAACCTTATGGCTTTAGGGGGAAGTGACTTGATAATTTTACAGATATCGTTTTCTGAAATACTTTAACTGTTTCATATTTATGTAAAAGAAAAAACTTACGATATAAAAAACACTTATGAAATTAAAGGTCTTATGGAGAAAGATTCGGGTAAAATTCGAGTGAAAATAGTAGAGGATTTTGGTTAGAGTACACAGTCGAACTGCATAACTTATTCGAATAATAATTTCTAAACGACAAGAAAATATTTATAAAAGAATTAATTTAAAGTTGCTTACGAAACATTACATTTATGGTCTACGCATCCATTATAATATGCAAGGTGTAATAAAAATGTTGCAGGTCCCTGAAATGGAACACTCGTGAGGTAAATTGGAACAAATTTTTCCTTAGCACAAATGTTATCCGAGGCTTTGTTAACGAAATATTAACGAAAAACCCCGACCAATGAGAGCACGGGTCTGCCGACCGAGTTCCCGCGGTAACGTTAACTACGCACTGCGATTGGTATGATTTTGTCCTTGACAACATATGTCAAGGTCAAAATCATCAAAGCTGCCTGCCCTAAACGCAAGTTTTACCGAAATGACAGAAAGAAACTTTTCAACACTAATAAAGTACATATATTTAATGTGCAATATGTACATGCACTACACTCTGCTGATGGGCGTAGCCAGGTTATCAGTTGGGGGTGGGGGCAAAAATATTAGCACATCGACTGCCAAAGTGAAAAAGGCCGTGCGTAGCCAGACACGCTTTATTTTGTTTTTGAAGTCATAAATGCTTGAAAATGTAGACGTTCTGTTAACAGAGGCTGTTGGTCGTGTTTCAAATTATACTGCGATATTTTAAATATTACGAAAAATTTTGTAACTCTGGGAAGGGCGGGGGGAGGGTGGCGAAATCCAATTTTGTTCTTATAGGGTGGAGTAAAAGCCACTTTTTTCCAGCCCACCCCTAGCTACGCCCAGGACTCTAATCAAACTTATAAATATTAATTTTGTATGTATGTATGTGTTCTCCTGTAACTATATAGCTCCATAGGCTTGAGTCAAGCCGAAGGTTCTTCCAATAAATACAATATTAACGGAACATATCACAATGTTACACATGTCAACATATTCAGGGTACACAGGGAATCACATGGGTAATTTACATTAAAATATAATAAACATAATCTAACAAAATACTATTTGAGTAAAAACATGACGTGGATCGTTTCTTGCTGAAAAACTGAAAAGAATTTATAATTATATTTTGAAAATTTATGTTTCCTGTTTATTCAGGATAATACATCCTACTATGTTCCCAGTATTCCTTTGTTTTAGAACACTCGATGTAAGTATTTCAATATAATTTTGTAAAAAATAATTAAATACGTATAGCAATACCTACAATGTTGAGAATCGTAAATATGTTACCGGTAGTTGAACTTTTCAAACGTATCCGACTTTTTTCATCATCTCCGTCACCCAAAAGTTGTTCTAACATATGAATATGTAAATGCTATCAATACAAAAATCTACACAATACATCGAATTTTACCAATATTAAAAGATCAATTCTTGGTAATCAATAAATTACTCATGAACGTGCAATTCACGTTTGTGTCAAGTACGAAATCTATAATACGATTCAAAATATTGAAGTATTTTTAGCATTTTAACATTATATAAGTAAAAAATGTACAGTATTAGCAATATACATATATGTATTTCTAATAGATTAATATTAATGTTGTCACTAGATCGGCAAAAACATTAACATTAAAACGTTTTATAACATATCTATAATATATTCTATAATTAAAAAAGAGTTACATATGATAATTGATATGTAAAAATACTAATACTAAAAATATTATGTTTCATTACCATTTATTATGTTAAGACGTATAATATTGTGAATAAATAAGTCATCTTACATCACACTGAATACTAAAAATTATTATAGGTTATAATTACTTCGATTCTCATCTATCTGTTTTTCTAATAATTATGAATATTCATTGAAAATAACAGTATCACTTATAATCATAATTTGAAAAAATGTTGATAAGAATTGGAGGGTACTTCGATCGAATTGCTCGAAATCGACATGCTGTGACGATTTCCACGTTACACAGAAATATAAGATATAGATATTCGATAATTGTAGAGATATAAATGATTAAATTAACGGGCCTCGCGATATATACTATGTCGTCTTTTTTGACGAACTAGATATGTCGGAAGTGGTTCAAGTGCGCGTATGATATTCTGTTTTCGATTCCATAAAAATCACCAAAAACTTTTTAGTTGTACATATTTTTAGTTTCAATTCCTCGTATAATTTATAACGCCGGTGGTAACATTAAATTAACTAACTTATGAGAATTATTGCAATGTTATCATGAATACTTTGCACGTTGCATTTTTAATCATCGGGTTTACTCTGTCGTTCCATGAAAATCAAGCTTTGAATAAAGAAACTAATAAGACTGAAGGTAAATGAAATCAAATTTATAAGTAATTTGACTATTAGTCCGCAACATTTTGAATAATTTTAACAATTATAACTACCTTACCTGTACAAACTTCCTTCTAATATCTGTCGTGGTACAAACTATTATACAGAGTGTAGATATTACAACCTTTTGTACAGTCATCATCGACATAACTGTTCTGATTGTTTTGACATTTCCAACAGTTTGAACCGTTTTACTAGCCTGTATCGCCTTGCCTTGGCCATCCATACCACCTCGATACCTTTTTTTAATTTTTTTATTGAAGCATGTTGTTTAACACTTTCTGGTACAATGTAGCCGTCCAATTACTTATCTCGAGTATTTTGATTCGTTCGACAGATAGAAACTATTTGTACTGTAGTAATTTATTGCATAAAACGAAAACGAGAAAAAATTATTTGCCTTTAAGGAATTAGCCCTGACACTATTTCACGTAATTCGACCAATGAGAGTTTGATCACATGAAAATTTTCATCAACCGAATTCTACACGGTTTTTAATCTGCAGAAGTTGTATGTGACACGCTAATAAAAGAATTTTTATATGCAGTTTCTTATTTTCATCCTTTTTTTAAATTGATATTAAGCAGTCAAGTATGGTCTTATTAAATGCGTTCTATTGTTAGGGATTGTGTCTTCTCTTGTGAAGACTGAGAAGAATATATCAACATACTTCTAATATAATCGGGAGGTAGCATAAACTATGTAGCTATGATTTATGTAGAAAAAGTTGGGCTTTAACAGACACCGTTCAGTTAAATAAAAATCAGGCCGCATAAAGGTTAATAAGTTTAATTATACACCTCAGCCGTTTTAATTGTCTTACTATCTTTAATTATCTTAACCAACTGGCGTACCTAATCTTCATCAGATTAGTCGTCTCAATTAATTTGAGAATTTTATCGTGTACGACATTTTATCATGATAAAACATTTTTACATGAAATTAGGGGGAGGGGCGGTTAAGTCATCCTTTTGTTCGTACAGCATTTGTTTAAAAACTACAGGCCGTCAAAGTTTGCAATTTTTGCTTATTTTCATGAAAGGGGAGTACTTATGAATTCTTATTTCGGAAATTATTTATCGTTATTGAATTCATTTTCTTCTTTGTTTTAATGTCGAAGTTGTGGCCTATTTAAATAATACTTTTAAACTTTACATTTGTAGCCATTGTACATAATGGACTGTACAAAATCATTAATGTCATTTAGGCGTACTACTATAATTATTTAACATCTATCAATAGATTCAGAGATATTCACGGAATATTATACAGACGTCTTCGCTCCGAGAATGAATGAAAGCAATCCGGCGAACAGAGAGCATCTTGAATGAGAGAGAAAGAAAATGTGCAATGAGTTGAACAGAGAGAACGTTCAAAGAAAGAGAAAAGAGAAAAGAGTCTACTTATGTATTGGGGCAGCCACCGTTACCCTAACAACTACTTGCATAGCAACTTGGGGCGTCCCAAACTCTCGGGACAGCATTCAGACAGGCCTGGTGCAGAATATCATAGCGTTTTTTAAATCGGCTTCAACGTGGTGCAACATGATGTAGGGTAGACCGAGGCGAATCGGATTATTTTCTGTTTGATAGTAAAAAAATAATAGTTAAAGTTTAGAAAGCTGATTATGTATTATAAATTCGTAGTTACTACACATTTCATTCGAACATTAAAACAAAAAAATAGAAAAGACCTTAAAATCTTCCTTTCGCAAACAAAAAACGAAAATGTGAGAAATTTCCGATTCGCCCTAAAAGTTGGGGCGAATCGGATAATCCAGATATCCCTGAAAAAACTCAAATTTTCATAAAAAATGTCTAAATTAATTTTAAAAACTACAATTTAATGATATGGGGTCAATTGACCCTACTTGGCACATAGGACGCAAGTATAGTGTCCTTTAACACCACCTCTATCAGCACAATTCTCGTGACACCACTCATCGCAGTAATTGCATTGTATCCAATCTTTAATTCCTTCTGGACACCAGGGACCTTGATTGATTTTTTTAATGTACCTACACACTATCTGTATATAAATAATTATCACATTTATAATCATAAAAATATTCCAACGAAGAAAAAAAGTGATCCAATTCACCCCAAATGTCGTGATCCGATTAGCCCCATACATAAGGATTTTAAATTGAATAGGATACGTAGACGAATCATGATATAATAATCTAAAGTATATGAAATATCAAATTTGGACACCATACGAACTAATAATAATAAACACATTTGAATTTTCAAGCTTATTTTTTTACTTTAAATACAAAATTACAAATTACGTATCTTAGGTTCGCACCAAAATTATAACGTTCACACGTGTTCGTCTTAATAGCAACATGTGCCGGCACTAAACAAGTACGTAAAACAATTGATGGGTTATTGGATTGGGTGTGGGGGACAAGGATGACGCAATATGAACAAGCGAAATGTTCGTTTCCATGAGAATATAAAAAATATGGACTGAATTCTTATTTTGATCCGATTTGCCCTGTGATCCGATTAGCCTCGGTCTACCCTACTTCCCGTTACATACCTTTGAAACATAGTTTTTCCTAATCTTTCATGCACCACATGCGCGGTTGCCCGGGAAGTCGCGACTTAGTGTCCGTTAATTTCTTTTTGCCCGGGCAACTGACGAACAGCACTGCTCTATTCGCATATACAACTGCGTTAGTATATGTGTACTTAGTCAAAATTAAAACTCTATTATGTTTAAACCGATAGGAGTTTCGTGCAAATATTATTCTATAGTTGCGAGCTGTTTTTTCATGTAGAATCATTACCTTCCCGCTTATGCCTGCATAAAGTAAAATGTTAAGACTATTTCCATATGATTTTTAGAAATGTAGAAATTTCAATGACATTTTTACGACTGTCCCGGAAGGTTTACTTTACAGGGACAATCACTTAATCCAAAAAATTATTGTATCGACTTTTACTTGTATGATTATTTATTGAATTATTTAAAGTAACAATGATATATCAGATTGAAAGAGTCACTGATCAAATGTGTACATTTGTTTTACATATTAACTACTTTCACAGGTTTCTATCCAGGAAATTATGATCGTACTTCCTGGGATCGTATCATTGATATCCTCAACAGTAGGTGTTATCAGGATATACCAACTGTTAACAGTGCTTCCATCGTCGATGATTTATTAAATTTGTCAAGATTTGGTTCGCTTGACTATGAAACAGGTTTATATGGTTTACAATACATCAAGCGGGAAAGGGATTATTTGCCCTTGGAATCAGCGTTCTCTGGACTTACTTACCTCGACCGACGGTTCTCTGGACATGATGAGTCTTATACACAGTTCAAGGTTTGACATAGTGATTGTATAATATATATTCATTGTTTATTAAGCAGAAGAATGTGAACAGCATGCCATTATTATCGAATGGTACAATTTCTTTATATTCTTTAAATAAATAGATAATAAAAGATAACAGAGAATACCGATAGGTAAGAAACATTTAAACAGCAGATAGACGTAATGCTAACCGAAAGAATTATTATATAAATGAACGATGTACAACAGAACATTCAAATGAATAAGAAAATATTTTCAATCAAATTCCTTGTTCAATTTTAACATTCGCAAAGACTGATGTAAAAATTAGTAGGATTTATTATGTTATTATATTTCATCCAAACAATCCGATATTTCGGTTGAACGTGATTTCTTTTACGTACAATGTGATCATGTTTTGCATTAACATAACATTACAGAAAGTTGGATTTATTTGTTGATTCATAAGAACAAATTTCATAAATGTTTGCAGAAATTTGTGCTAGATCTCATCGAAGATGTATATGAAGATGTCGGTTACATGGATCGTGCGGGTGACGACAGATTAACTGTATTATTAAGAAGTAAACTGAACAAATGGGCTTGCAAGTATGATCACCCAGGATGTGTAGATACCTTCACTAAATTGTTTCAAGATTGGAAGAAGAACCCTAGTTTAACGTAAGGACATTTCTGAGGTTTTAGACATCCAGAGTCTAATTGAGGCTTTTAGGTTGTAACCCGTGTCGTTTCATAGCACTTATTTCTACGTGTTGCAAGCATTCTAGTTAAGTTTATCTGGAACCTAATAATACACTGATATGTATCTATACAGTATCCATTTGTATAGATCTATAATGTGTCACATTTAATTGAAACCGACGGAATATTTTGCAAACCATGGAAGATATGAAAAAATTGTCTTCGCGATAATTGCTAATAAATATTTTCCTTATGTATGTGACACCATAGAAGGGATTTCAAGGTCAACTTAATTTTTTTTTAATGGTACACTGTATATCTTTTTTAATAATAATATTTTAAAACGCATGCAATGGTGTGTCACGTAAGGTCATTCAGTTTATATTGTTTATGCATATTTTATACATTTATATTTTCTGATTACATACACATTTTATACATTTATACTTGATATTAAATATTTACAGCATCACACCGAACCAAAGACCCACAGCATACTGTACAGGTATTCGAAATGGAACGAAAGATGATTGGGAATTCTTGTGGAATCAGTATTATAACTCAAATTCAGCTGCTGAACAAGCAGTCATACTACAAGCTCTTGGTTGCACTGAAAATCCCAGTCTTTGGGAAAGGTAAAAGTCATGAAGTTTTTCTTCCAGCTTAGCGACGAATTTCATTCATATAATAGCATGCGTGAATATATAAAACCAAGTAAAATAAAACTTTCAATATATTCGTACGAAACTTTTATTTTATTCTGCATGTATCGGGTCATGTCACAAATTAAACACACCGAAGCAAAAGCTGCCTATTGTCAGGTGGTCCTGTGGCATGATACGCATGGCGATGCAATTATAGGTACGATGCATAAAGTACCCCCAGAGTCACGGTATGAATTGGATATGTGTCGGTCTCTTACAATTTTTTCAATTTGATTCTCCATCTAAATCAAATATATCGTTACTCCAGGGCTGTCATTATTTTTCGCCGTGTTATTCATAACTCTGTTTAAATTATGTACCTGTTATTTGATGAACGCCTATATAAAGGGATCAACAACGAGCGCTTATTGGGAACGGGAATATTGTATTGGGTCAGTGCAAAATTTGTTATGCATTTTGTTCTAAAAGAGTAGGCTAATAATAAATAAAATTGTAATTTAATAATGATTCAATGATATACACGATTATTCTTTTATAATTTATGTATTTCGAATAGAAATTTTTATTCCAATATAAAGATTTTTGGAACATTATTATTCAGTGAATTTATATACGTATATTATATTAATAAATTTACAGTTTACCACAAAGGGAGATTGATATAACAGCTTCTCCAAACAAATCCAAATAGGTCATAAACGTTTCCTGCGATGTTGGTAACGTTTATTTGTTTGAATTTATAATATGTTTTCAAAAGTTCAACTTCCATTTCATTCTAAACAATAACACACTCCCAATCGCGTTAATTTTTCTTCTAAACAACAATTCACTGTTACATTGACATCGACACATAATCTACTAACATAACTGTTTATGGTTTCAAGAAAACCGTAGCGACCGCATCATCTACAGAAAATCCATCAAACCTTTTGTACTAATCCTATATTTATCTTACTCATGTTTCAACACTATTAGTTAATTTATCAATTTAACTGATTACGTATGTTGGTACTTATAGAATAACGGGATTTCAAATAATTCTCATATAATGAAACCTGAATTATTAAATTATACAGTATATAACAAATTATTTGTAAATTATGCATTAAAAGAATGGAAATCTAAAATTGTTCATCACTAGAATGTAGATGTTCATGTGAATTATTTCTAGACATTACTTTATAAAAACAAGTATTAGGGCGACAATTTTTTCTTACCTTTCACAATTTTAATGAACTTCAAGATAGAAAAAAAAAGGTTTATACCGATTCTCAGTTGAATATGTAAAGTCTACAATTTAATCATCAGTAGACTCAATAATATAACCAGTAGATAGTAATAAATATAAATCTATGTTTAATGGAAGATACGACAATGTTTTACAATGAATCTGTTTTCAGATACTTATTGGATACACTCAAGAGTTTCGAAAAAAGCAGAATTCACAGACAAGACAGTACCTCTGTTTTCGCCGCGATTTCCGGTTCTGGACGTCTTGGAGCGGACTTTATTTTGGACTTCGTTGACAAATACCATACAAAAATGATCGAATTGTATGTACTTCTCATATACCTAAAGAACCATAAAAACTGACACACTATTCTCATTTTAGATCGCATAAAATCATAATCTAATATTGTAGAATTTCATTTATAATTTGATAATTTTACCTTTAGAATTCAATTATTTATCATTCTAATTGTGCAATTTTTCTTCCTTCGTACAATTTTGTAAAACTAATGTGCTTGACTTTACAACTGCAATTCTTAGTTACATTGAATAGAAATTATATGATACTGAGACTTTGAAAAAACGAACGTTGTAGAAAATTTCCATTTTTTATCTTCCGACAAATATGAATGACCATAAAATTGATAATCTGACTGTAATAAATATAGTTTTCATTCATTTAGATAATAATTATTCTACTCTAGTTTTATGGAACAGTTATCGATGGTTTATTCATGTGTTCACCATTTTCTGCTGAACAATGTTGTCATATTTATTTCAGCTACAATGAAACAAGTACAATTGCCAGTACATTGTCATCAGCGTCACAAGAATTCTCCACGCAAGAATCAATCGATAAATTCGAGAAATTAATCAAGACACACCAAACAGAGTTTAAAGAAATTTCAGACTCTCTGAACAATTCTCTCGAAATTGCGAAATACGAATTACTTTGGTTCAACAAATACAGTGATGCTATAATATCGTGGATAAATAAAGCTAACAATACCACCGTAGATTACCGATTACCTACGAGCATCGTACCACTAACATATTTCATTCACCTGAAACCAGAAATTGCACCCAACGATACATTTCCCTTTCATGGAACAGTAAAAATAGCAGCAGAAGTCAATGAACGCACAAAAGTAATCTTTCTACACTCCTCGGGACTAGTACACGATGCAATTAATGTTTCCGTCGACTACAAGAATTTGAATATCGTGAAAACAGACGCAATTAAGAAATACGATTTCATGACGATAGAACTTGCTGAAGAATTGAAAATTGGCCAGATTGTGAATATTCAAATAAGTTTCAGTGGCACACTGAACGATGAGATGCGTGGATTTTATAGGACCTGGTACTATGATGATAGTGGTCGTACAAGGTACAGTATAGAATACCTAATGTACAAACTATTCATTAATATAGGTACAGTCTGAGCTATTTAAATCGATCACCCTAAATATTGTAAAAAATTTCTTGACGTAAACGAAATTTTGTCTATATATTTTGTACAAAATTGAAGAACGGAACATTATGTTCCATTGTGATATGGAAGAACTTTGGCAAATTTTTATTATCACTTTTCAGTGTAACTCTGTCATGTCTTACTACATATTTCCAATAAGATCATTGGCAACATAGAAAGAATCAGTCACATGAAAGGAAATCGAAATAATAAGTCCAGGAGAAATCGTTTTGTTTCTAGAATAAAGCGAATCATGATTTATTATAATGTTTAATAAATCATAAACGATCCACCTTGTACTAACAATTTCCAAACAAATAAACAGACAAAATAACTTTACTTTAACGTGACATTTCGGCATACTACTGCGAATGAATAATTACAAACGTAGTATCTTCTTGTGACACAAAATAGTTCCCTTGGTTTTCCATTTATTTTTCTACCGGCTGCATTTTTTGTTTGTGTCTATGGATATATCAATCAATCATACTGTTCCAACCGTGTCACTTGTAAAATGTATCTGTGTGTGTGTGGTTTTCAAGGGACACGTATTCTCATAAATAAATAACAATATTTTCAAGAATTTCAAGAATCAATTATAATATTCCATTGGGTCGAATAATACAGAGTCCAAGGTATTCTTCAATGGTATAAATGAAAAATTTTCATATTTCTTTTCATCAGATGGTTGGCCGCCACCCATCTGGAGCCAGTTGGTGCCAGAAAAGTTTTCCCCTGCTTCGACGAACCCGCACTGAAGGCAAACTTTACGATGGAAGTCGTTGTCGCAGATGGCTACAGCGCAATTAGTAACACAGGGATTGAGTCTATAATCAGACACAAGTACGTATTTACAAATAAGTATATCCGTATAAGGACTTGTATGAGACACAAGTACAAACTAGTACAACTGGCATGATGCCATTTAACCCCTTCGCATCGATGCGAAAGCGTTAAGAAAACATCAATGACCTTCAAATAACCTTGAAATTAACATTGAACAAAAAGTTTGTTTATACCGTCAATTATGCCCCCTTGAACAGTACAACTTTTGCCTTGGACACTCTGTCATTCAATCCCCAAAAAATATTTAAGTATTTGCCTTATTTTCATTAGCAAGAATATTGAAACTTAATTTTCGCTCAAAAATGATGTATTTCGTGTGTTTATATTCACTGTGGCAAAAGTTCGGGCGAAGGTTTTTCCGTTGCGCACCGAAACTCGTTGTTGTTGAAAATTGTGAGACATCGAACGATCATCCATACATTCCCAATTCACAACTTGACGTATTAAGTTTGTTATTTCATTGTGCAACTCAATTTTCTTGAAAGTTCGTAGAATTTCGATTTAACGATATTTTAGTAATATATTTAAGGTACACATTATTCTCCACATTAATATCACTTAATGTTTACTTCACTTTAGATTTGTCGTATTTAGCTAATGTTCTTTTACATTTCCCTTCCTCTGATCCTTTGCTTTGGTATTTTACATTACAGACGAAGTGCATGATTAGCTTAACATACAATACCGTTTTACTAACAAAAGCTTCCTAAACGATCTGTTTTCTCTTGTATAATTACAGAAATAATGAGAAAACAATAACCTTCAAAAAAACGCCTCCAATGTCTACGTACCTTGTAGTCCTGGTCGTATCCGATTTCGCTGGGATAACGAACAGTGGTATTTATGGAGTCTGGGCCAGACCGAACGCACTTTTTCAGGCGCAATACGCTTTATCAGTTATGGAGCCGTTGGTGCGATTTTACGAAAACGCACTGTATATTCCATATCAACTGATAAAGCTTGACATGGTAGGGTTACCAGACTTTGCATCAGGAGCAATGGAGAATTGGGGTTTAATGACTTTCAAAGAAAGGTATGTATTATATTCGCGTGAAGAATCGACTACGGCATCACAACAGAGTATAACCACCGTTATATCGCACGAAATCGCTCATCAGTGGTTTGGAAATATGGTCAGTCCTGCCTGGTGGAAATATATCTGGCTGAGCGAGGGTTTTGCTACATATTTCGAGTACTTTGCAACCGCCAGGGTGAGTATTTAATGTATTTATTCACGATCAGTTTATTAATTAACCTAAGTAATTGATATTTATGTCTGAAATATCTCATTTTTACAAAATATTTTGTTCATAATTCTAGTATTGGAGGAATGATTTTTATGTTTGCTCTCTTCTATGGAGTTACTTTTACTCAGACCCTGATAGATTCATTGAATAAAATTATTTCAAAATGATCGTACAAATAATTAATGATATTTGAATTGAAGTAGATGTTTGAATCATGCTGCAATTGAAGTTACAGCTATCTTTTAACGTACGTTTTTATTAATAACATTTTATTGAACGATATTCGGAAAGTATCTTTTGTGGACAAGGTTACCTGAAACTTCACACAGTCATTTTGCTTTTACTTAAATGATATCATGTAACAAAATCTACGAAATTCTGAAAATTCAAAAAGACCATATGATGCATAACTTCATGTTTCACTAATCACGTTGGAAACAATGAATACCAATATGTACACATTTAGTTTTCTATAGTGATGAAATGTGATCATATACGTATACATATACATATGTATGTAGATACATGTACAACATTGCGACAGCCCATAAATTTCAAACTTCTGTTCAAGAGCTAATTAGAAATTAATGGAACTTACATATTTTGTATAAGAATATATTTCGTCGTTCTATAATTCACTATGCCCTTTCCACTAAGTAGAAAATTACGTTTCATTTAATATGCATTCACTAGTTATTAAAAAGAAACGAGTTCATTCTTACACTTAACATTTCACATACTTATTTCGTTGAGTTAAGTAAAACTAAAATCGGCTATTATTATAACTGATACAAAATTCTATTTATCAGGTGACAGATTGGAATCTCGAATCTCAATTTGTAGTGGATTACCTTCATTCAGCCCTTGATGTAGACAGTTCGTCATCGAGTCATGCCATGACACACGAAGTATACAGTCCAACCGAAATTTCGGAACTATTCGACACAATATCCTACGCTAAAGCTGGTTCTGTTATAAGAATGATGAGAGCATCATTTGGTGATGATGTATTCTATAGGTCTCTTTACGGTTACCTCCAAAAACGGTAAGTCTTATTCTTATATTCAAAAAACTCCGCCCAAATTAGACAATTTATAATAACAATCGGTAGATTTAATGTAGGTATACATATAGTAACGATTGATGCTGAAAGAATGATTTATTGTTCTTTATATGAAATACATTTCGCAGAGTGTTAGAAAATTAATGGTAGTAGGAAACTTTAAATAATTTAATTAAAATTCCTGGACTCGTGTGATTTTTCAGTGCATAGTGAATCAGGTTGGTCCCTCACACCGATTTTCAAATGATCCAATTACGGTGTTTATGCTATATGGTAGTTACACGAGGCCGATTCTGGATCACGTATCCAACGAAAATAGTGGTCACACAATTACATTCGTATGTAAAGCAGTCCTAACCTTTGGCTCCAAAGGAAAGTTCTCACGATATCTCACGCGTAAATAACGCAGACCTAACTTTGAGCGAATAATTTGGACATTGATGACTCAGCATAGTTTGGTCATTGGTGACCCAGCATATGAGTCATATGACATTATATGTTGCACAATTGTACGCGTATGTAAAACAGACCTAACTCTCGTCCTGTTGCACACGTAGATGAGGCAGATCTAACCTTGAGCGAATAATTTGGAAATTAATGACACCCGCATATGATATTATACGTGGTACTTTCCGTTATACCATGTACTCTTGCACGGGTATGTAAAGCAGACCTATATCTGTTTTTTCGGCTAACATTTTGTCGACGTCGTGCGGACCTGTGAGATGTTAACCTCAAAATCTTAAGCTGAAAATATGCAACATCGTGCTCCCTACAAGCAGCATTCAAAAGATTCATTCCATAATCCCCTCGCGCCAATCGTTATGGCATTCGCGAACCAGGCCCGCAAAATTGATATCCTGGTACGTGTTGTTCGAATGGTAAAGTATTTATTGCATTGTTTAAAAGGCCTGTGCCTTCAATAGTTCTATGTATATGGAACAGTCCCTTATCATTGATGGAGGTCTGTCAATGTGCGTACGTTGATCACTGACAAATTCAAAAAATCAACTTTCTTTTCATAAACTAAAAAAATCCAACAAAACATAAAAATTTTAATGTGTGGCATTATAGAAATAAGAACTAATTCTTTTCAAAATTCGAAACGTAGCAATTCCAACATAACTCCTGTCGGTCTCACAGACAGAAAAACGCTCCTACAGGCGCGTGCAATTCTCAAAAGTGTACATGTGGTTACTGACGGGTGTGTCAGAACTATTTAGGAAGCTACAAGAAACGGCAGGGTGACAGCGTAAATTGTTTCTAAAATACAGGCGAATTCCGATTTCGTTCATTTGTGGGACCGACACGTGAATCTAAGAAAGTTAATTTATATGCTCAGTAATGAAGACCGAACTAGAGAACACGTGTATTCGTTTGCGAATGAAGCACTATAGGCATAAGCATTCAGAATACTTGTAGTTGTTCTGTTTTACATCACCGACTTCTAAAGACCGAAGCGCCTGGAAAACTATTCACGGCCCAATTAATTGTTTTATAACCACTGATTTGAAGGAACAAAGCAACTTCCTTAAAGTCTCGTTCGTACACACTGTATTTTTATATACAATAGCACAAGATTTATAACAATACAATCCTACTCCAACTCAAAAAGCCACGTCAGGACCAACTACGGGCACTTACGTACACCATTCACAGAACACGTAACTTACCACTTACAAGAAATACACAAACCAAGTCGATAATAGCACAAATAAACAGCGATTTAGACATATTTCTCGAACATGGGAAACGCATCTGGAATCGCAAGTACAAACATCATGATCACGTCTCGAGAGCTGAACTTATTACAAGGCGACAAGACTGAAACTCATGCAATAATTTCATTTTATAGACAGAACAGAGAAGCCACGCCACAAGACTTGTTTGATGCGTTCAAACAAGAAATCACTGATCCTAAGCTTCAAAATAGGACTTACAATATCATGAACTCGTGGACCACACAGCCAGGGTATCCTGTAGTACACGTTAGCATACAAGAAAATCGTATACAATTACAACAGAAAAGATTTCTCATTGATCAAGGGAAGGCTAATTCTAATACTAGTTTGTGGTACGTTCCAATTACTTGGACATCTCTGTCTAAACCTGATTTTAATGATACGACACCAAAATACTGGCTGAACATCGCAAAGGATACCATCTCACTTTCATATGAAGCTAAAGATTTATACATATTTAATATCCAACAAGCAGGTAAATTAAAAAAAAAACGTCAACTTTAATTTCAATGAAATATGTATTTTGAACCGAAGGGATTTAACATAGCAATCTAAACTTTCTCCGCTTTAAATCTAGTATGACAATGGATGTCCCGAAACGTTTATATCGTCTAGAATTATATTACAAATTATATGACAATAATTTACTACGAACAATTGTTACCTAAAGCTGGGAAATTTCATTCAAGCTCCTAGATAAAACATATGTTATTATTTGATGAAGGAATTCAACTTTCCTTCGATGATTTCAATACGATTTCAATTTAACCTTAATTCCAGGCTTCTATCGTACAAATTACGACAACAATTATTGGAAACGAATAATTGACTTCTTGAAAAGTAAACAATACACAATGATACATGAAATCAACCGAGCCACGATCATCGATGATTTATGGAACTTCGGTAGAGCAGGTCACGTTGACTACGAGATCGTGCTGTCTGCAACACAGTATTTGGTCAATGAAACTAATTATGTCCCATGGAAAGCATTCTTCAAAGGTTTAACCTTCTTGCGGCGACACGTTCAAGGCAGGGATGCTTACGACGCTTACAAAGTATAGTATTATTTTTATGAAATGCAATATCTAAAATCGTTTTGAGAAATAATGTTTCTCCAGAAAAGGATAGATTATATTCCTTAGACAAAAATTGGTTTGTTTTTAGTCTGACCACACTACATTAGAATTGAAAATTTCAGGGTGGTTTTATAATTATGCCACGCAGTGTGTGTCAGTCATCGCTCATTGTGTGTTCAAAAGTTGTTAACCCATAATGATACCTTTTTTCTTGAACTGTCTAACCAACTCTGAACGACTGTTTACCTTGAACTGTTCCTAATCAACTCTGAAGTTAATTGGGGACAGCTCAAGCATATTTTCTTGTCCATAACTTTTTAAAAAAACCAGTGACAGCTATAATCTTCAAGAACGTACTCCGGAGAGTGTCCTTGAAAACATATACATATATATCAAAGTGAGCTGCCTCTCCTAAACGTAAAATTTACCGTAAAAATTCTCACTGTTCTAGACATAATGGGCAAGGCAGTCTTCTATAAACCATTTCGAGAAAATAGCAAGGTCATGAAAAACCACTATGGGAGTGTTACTATGTTAATGTTGATGTAAACACTTACTCGATTCATTCCTCCCCGGAATATTTTGAAAATATCTTTTTACTGAATTTTCCAAATTCCACTGTCTATTGTTATTATTTGTCATATAAAACAGTAGAGAAGGTTGCAACGAAAACGTAAATGGTTCATCCTCACGAAAAAATTATTTGTTACAGCAATACGTGGCCAGAATTGCTACCCCGATATACGATTGGTTCGGACTCACGAATGCTCAATTGTCTAAGCATGAAAAGCAACTATTAGCAATGCTAGTACGAAAGTGGGTATGCGAAATTGATGCCGCTGACTGTAAGGATAATGCCTTGCGAATGTTTTATAACTGGCAAATGGGATATTCTAAAAGGTTTGCAGTGATTGAACAATTTAGTAGAAAAACACGATTTCAGAGAAACTGATTTACACATTGGATTTTACTTATTTTGCAGAATAATGCCAAACTTCCGCAGTGCTGTGTATTGCGAAGTTGTTAAGTTGAATGACTTTGGTAAATGGTATACTATATGGACGTTGTACTTGGAATCAAAAGTGGCTTCAGACAAGTCGTTGATCCTTCAATCTCTAGCTTGTACTACCGATAAGCAATTGTTGTACCAGTAAGTGGGTTGTTACAAATTTTAATTTCTATGCAACACGAAATAAAAAACATAATTGTTTATTATTTTCCACCAAAGGCTTCTTCATACAGCCATTGAAGACAATGGTAGAATTAGACGCGAGGACAGTACTAGTGTATTTTCTAATGTCATAGAAGCCAGTCTAGAAGGCGTTGACTACGTAATGGATTTCATTAAAGCTAATTATATAGACATAGTCGAATAGTAAGTAAATTACCTATTATGAAATACTTAAAATGACTCATGTAAAACGTAATAATATTTATGCTATAATTTTTGTTCAACAGCTACAGAGGAACATCGCAAATCAACAGTATCATTAATGCTTTAGCCAAAAGAGTGACCACTGAAAATCTCTTGTCAAAGGTGATTAATATCCATTACAGTTCGTAAGAAACACGTTTTTCCTTCCACAAGGTGTTTTGAACTTCAGGATGAGATACGATATATCATTTAATAACCTTCACAAAATGTCGATTCGACATGCCAAATTAATTGTAAAACGATGACTAAGGAAGATGACATTGAGTATGATGTTTCGATTCCGTATTATCAATCGTTGAATATACAGGCGAAAAAAGTGTATAGCACGTCTGATGCGACGGGTTATTTCACACGACAGGCGCGCTTTTCAACAGTTTCACGGGCTGCTTTCATTCATTTAATTTTATTTTATTCATTAGTTTCATTATACAGGGCTCTCGGGATTATAGTCTCTAACTCGGGTCCGCGAGGGGACGATAATCGTGGATTACACGAAACGCTTCTGACCCTCGTGAATACGTTTTTTTCCCGAAGCTCGAGCCTCGGCAACTCGCCATTGTAGCATTCGAAACATAGAAAAGGACAAGCCAGTGAAAAACAGAGAGAGAGTTTCGTTTCCTCTCGTCGACCGATGGTTACATTATAGCTGACCTCACAGTCCCATTGTGTGTGTACTGTTTCGGCCACTAATAAAAGTACATGTGACTGGAGGTGATCCAGCTACATTTAATTCGTCGACATCTCTCTAGGCAGTCGGTAACGATTGAACGCTTCGACTAATCGGTGTACGTTCACCCGCTCCGTCCGTCGAGTCCATCGAGCGCATACATTGTTGCACGGCGCGCTGAGACGGCTTTCCATTCACGAGTCAAAAAAGATTACATTCCCAGGTATCGGGGAGACAACACTAATGCAAGGATGAAAGTTTTTTATTTTTGATTCGTTGTTGCTGAAACTTTTACTAGTATATTGGTGAGAGTTTTCTGATTAAAATGATACAAAACACAACATAATTTGGATCATATTTATTCATGTAGAAAGTGTTAATAGTTCATATTCGTTCAGTATCGCTTCTGATAAATCATAAGTAAATATGATCCAAATTATGTCGTGTTTGGTATCATTTTAATCAGAAGAATCTCACCAATATGTTTATAAAAGCTTCATTAATAAACAACCAAAAATAAAAAAGTTTGATCGTTGCATTCGTATTGTCTCACCGACACCCGGGAATGTAACCTTTTTGTGGGCTCCCAACAAGTGCGCCGCAGCAACAAAGTATGCGGTTGCCGAGTTCCACGGCCTCGCTCCCCCCCCCTGCCCATCACAGTGTTGATGATGACGCCTGGACAATAATTGCATATCAACAATGAGTCAATAAACGCGAGTGCCCTGTATCATCGATTGAGCCCGTGTGTCAGCATGGAATCTGAATTAAGTAGTATAACCCCTCTAATTATGATACCTAGACGCGTTTCACGCGTATTTTGCCCGTATTTTCAACAATTAATAAGTCGGAAACGAAGCCCCGAATGCAATTTCGTCATTCATGACTTTCGTCTTAATTTAGTATGTAGAATCCACTCTGCCAAAGTGTCCCACATTTTTATTAACACACTGTATCCAATTTTATTTTGATTTCTATTATTACGAGACTTCTGGTATAATAATATGAAATGACAACATAAATGATTTCATGAATATCTTATAAATTTCTGATAAATTAAACTGTTTGACACGTAAAAAATTTTGCAATTTTCAATAAGCATTTCTAATAGATCTTTCTGAGCTGAATAAGCATCTGAAAACCGTTTCTTTCGAGCACGTCCAGTTTTTGAAAAAATCAATTTTATTTTAAATTGAAATTTTTTAGCTTCAGAGCTGTGTTGTGCTTTTGCAGTAATACTTATTCAATTTCTTTTGACAGGAAATAATTCTCTGGACTCCTCCGAATGGAAGGATATAAATTGTTATTATATTATAAACGTCTAAATATGTTTAAATAATGTTCAAAGAGAAAATGACACCGAAAACTCACCTATTTTTACTGATATTCTTCCATTTATTTCAAAAACTAAGAGTTTCATGTCAAATGGAACTGAATAATCATTACTGCAAAAGCACAACACAGCGTAAAAGTTTAAAATTTGTAATTTTCTTGAAAATTGATTTTTTCAAAAAGTGGACGTGCTGGAGAGAAACGGTTTGCAGATTCGTATTCAGCTCATAAAAATCTAGTATGAACGTCTATTGGAGGGTACAAAACGAAAAAAATTTAAATTCGTTGAACAGTGTTATCAAACTTTACACTACTTACTTCATAAACATGATGAACAGGTGGACATAAAACTTTTCTGAAATTAATGGGAAATGACGTTTGTCAATAGTATGTGTTAAGAGTAATACATACAGGGTGCTACCGAATTGGTGGTACAAGCAGATTGCAGATAATTTCCTATACGAATATAATTAAAAAATGCTAGACTTTATTTGTACGGGGCTTAGGTACGGATACGCGTCCATTCATGTCTACAGGAAGTATACGTAACGGAAATACATATTAGCCCAGTCCTAATCATTTGAACCAATGACTAACGGATTTAAAAAATCAATTTTCTTGAAAACAAAGCCTCGGAGAAAAAATTGTATTCTGCACTTTTACTTAATTTCTCCATATAGAACACATTTTGACAACTTCCACTACCATTTCAGTCGCACTATGCATGTCTCACGAATATTATAAAAACAAAAATTGCATTTTACTCTTACTCCATGACTAGTAGGAACTTAAAGATCTAACATACATTTGATTAATGTACCCAAGTAATAGTCATCATTTTGAAAATTCTGTGCATTAGCTGTCCTATTTCGAAAATATTGCAGTAAGCTCTAAAAGCAGTTATTTATAAACCAAAAAATGATTTCCTACTATCTAATTCTTACGCTATACTCTCAAGTATACAATACTAAAAATATTGTTACAAGAATTCTCTGTAATTGCAGTACACCGATTTGATCACTTGGTTAGCTACACAGAATCTGATATTTAAGAACTCGTTGAGCTTTTACAAAAGTATCGTGGAACAAGAGTGGTCCTGGGCTGAAAACAACATTCCAAAGATACAGGAATGGATAGAAACAAATCATCAAACAAATGACTACCGTCTACCAAAATCATTTACTCCGTTGAAATACAACATCTATCTTACTCCATACTTCGAAGCGAAGAATTTCCAATTCTTCGGAACAGTTCAGATAGAGATGAAACGTTTTGTGAGCACGTCCCGTATAGTTCTTAATAGTCACGAGCTTAACGTGACGAAAGTATCAGTTTACAATAGTAAAGGAAACTTGACCAAAGGTGAACAATTAGTAGTAAGCAGTTTTTTCACGAACGAGGAGACTCAAATGCTCAAGATATTCATGAACAAATTCATAAAGAGTGAAAGCATCATCGTTGAGATCGAGTATACGGGATACTTAAATGAAAACATGCAAGGCTTTTATCGAAGCTATTATCGCAATGATAATGGAACAATACAGTGAGTAAAAAGTTAATATAACCATTCTTCTAGCGTACAAAACATCGACATATACATATAATCCTGGCCCATATGTGCACACATTGTTTCACAGGTACTTGGCGACCACGCAGTTCCAACCCACTCATGCTAGGAAAGCGTTTCCTTGCCTCGATGAACCAGCTTATAAAGCTACCTTCATAATTAACATCCAAAGGCCCGTAAACTACATAGCGCTTAGCAATATGCCAAGTCTGAAGTTGACGTCGTCGAGGTAAGTAAACTATTATTGATTACAATTAACTTCACTAATCTCACAGGTTTCATAATTTAAATACATCTTAAACACTGGTATGATACATAGTAAATAAAACGGTCACTTGGAAATAAATTGTCTTTTGTTTTTCAAAGCTAATTAGTATTATTACCTTTGTCGTACTACTTTTAATGTCGTTACCATAAAAGAAAAGTGTCATATTTGAAAAATTGTTTTCACAACGCTTTGAATATATAATATTTTACGCGTTTTACCTTATCGAATGAGTTCTTGCGAACTTGTGAGAGGTTGCCGTATATAAAGCTACTTAACTTCTAAACCATAAAATATTCCATACACCCGAAAATGCGCACCGCTAGCGCTGGTAGCAAAAATGAAAAAAAAAAACAATCAGGTGTTACATATTAAAAAATTAGTGATAAATTTTGTCAACTGCCAACAAAATTCATGTAATTTACGGGTGTTTTTATGTTTACCATCGATTACTAATAGTAGCGATAATGCTTTTAGCATTTCAGGCTATGTATGGGAAACATTTCGAGAAACTGTGAAGATGTCGTCATATTTAGTCGCGTTTGTCGTTTCCACTTTCAAACCTGTGAGTAAGGAATCCACAGCAGTAAATGTATGGAGTAGACCCAAAATGGCAGAAACTGGCGATTTTGCACAGTACGCTGCTCAACGAATGCTTGACTATTTATCCCTGGAAACAGGCTTCAAGTACACTCTACCGAAACTGGATTTGATAGCAATTCCTGACTTTTCAATGGGTGCAATGGAAAACTGGGGGCTTGCTACGTTTAGGTGAGTAAATCTCTACATTAATTGTTTTGCCATACTCTTGCACCATATAGCTTCATAATCGTCAAAATAGCTCAAACATCATATAGCTTTGTAGTTACCATCACTGGTAAATATAATATAATAATAATAGTAAAAATATAACAAAATTTCTAAAAGTACTAGCACTCGTAGGTCTAGCACAATTTCAAGTTGAATAATCATCTTTACAGAGAATATGCGCTTCACTATGATAAAGACAAAACGTCAGCTACATACACTGATTATATAATAACTATAATAGCCCACGAATTATCTCACATGTGGTTCGGAAATTTGGTGACCTGTGATTGGTGGGAATACACCTGGCTCAATGAAGGATTTGCTGAATATATGCAGTGGGTTGTCTCTAACCAAGTGAGTTCTTGCAGTTACTTTTCAGTTTCAATGCTATTGACTTGTAACTATGTTTAAGCAAACCTGTTACAGTTTCGACCTACCCATGATTTCGACGATCTCTTCGTGGTTCACGAATTGCAAAATGCGATGCAGAACGATGATTTCATGACGTCACACCCCATGAACCAACCTGTCAGTAACCCTTCAGAAATAGCTAACGTCTTCGACAGTATTGCGTACGGAAAGGGTAAGTGGTTATCAAATATTTAAATTTCACATCCAACTTTACAAAAGTAATCGTATTACAGCTTCCAGTGTCATACGTATGATACATCGTGCATTCGGACCAAACATCTTCAAGGATGCAATAAACCGATATTTAAAAAAACATCAGTACAGTACTGCGACACCAAAAGATCTTTGGAAAGCCTTCGATGAAGCAATCAACGAAACCAGAGAAGTTGGGGACCCGCATGTCGGTATGGAAGAAATAATGAGTAGCTGGGTCAACGAAGCTGGATATCCTGTTGTGACAGCATCGTTATACGCAAATAAAATAACTTTAACACAGGTATTTCGTAGTTTGAATTAAATTTTTAGTGATTAGTCCAACACCGCATGTTGATAGTGATTTCCTTTTCCTGGAATCATTTCATAGTTGTTAGGATCCCGACACTCTGTTTTGGTCGCGATCGCGGGTATTTGCACTAAGGTGTCGTCTTATAACTGAACTATATTTATTTACAGTATGTACACTCGCGAGCAAACTCGGCTTCCACTAGGGGAAAAAGTGACGTAGGGAAGGACCTCCTGCCATTTGGTTTCGGGAATTATTGAAATGTATATCAAATTAACATTCAATTTAACATTTATTTCGGTACCTGAAATAAATTTTGCTAAATGGTAGGAAGCTCTTTTCTTGCGCCACTTTTTCCCCTAACGGAAGCCGAGTTTGCTCGTGGGTGTACAGAAAGAGCCTGAGTGCTATTAAATAAATACAACAATGAACCTAACTGTTCACTCAGAGCTCCAACCTAATTGTTGGACCGTTCCAAAATTTGTCTGTAGGTGTGACTGTACTGAATGACTGTTTGCTTGTAAATGTCTCTGACTAACTGTGTCAAAAAACTGTCCGGAAATATGGTTGCTGGGCCCGTGCATCCCCTCCATGCGCCCTTGGCGCAATACTTTAAAGGAGAGGGTTGTCGCAACCCTCTGACGATGGGGGTGGACGGCAGTTCGGCAACATCGCGGACTTTTCTGTCAGTTCCACTTTCTTCACGCGGTTCCGAGAAACCGATAAGTCCCCGCGCATAGGTACCGTCCCGAAGTCTGGGGTTTATGATACGTCGATGGTCATGCATACACTTCCAAGGTGGATCTCCTGCACATTTGGTTGCCACATGTCAGGAACACGTTTCCTTCCGAGGGTTCCCAATCAATTTTAAAAATCCGTGACCGTGCCATACACCTGTGTTAGCGACGAGCGCTAACAATAGTAATCACGTGAAATGATATGTTTTGTACAAATACATATGTTACTGTCAAAAAATTGTTCTCTAAGTATTTCGTTGATGGGCAACGTATTGTACATACATGGTGTGTTATAAGGAGTTTAGATGTTTCCTCGAGTGTATGGATTTTGGTTGAACTTGCATTGAGTTTGTTTGTGACTTCCTGAGTGCTGTTGGTTTATGCCGTTTTAGGTGGTCGGATCATTCAAGGGGGAATCTTGAGTTGTTTTCTGGTTCTTATATCAGGAGTTGTGAGTTCAATTTCTTTCGAGTACTTCTGTATTCTTGCGTAGAAGGGATGTAACAATTTGCGTTTGTGTTTGTTCTGATTCTCTGTTTGGATCTAAAAATTCGCGCGCCGAATTTTTTTGTGTTTCTAGTAATGAAGAGCTGTAGTTAAGCTTAACTGTTTTCTTCTGACGGATAATGGTAATATATTGGCATCACTCAGTGTTACGACTATTGGGTTAGTTTTGGAAGCGCGGATGTTCATTCGAACTCCTGAATTTTGGATTGGTTCGATCATTTTAATAATGTTGGGTTTAGCAGAGCTGTACACTATGGGTCCGTAGTCCATCTTAGAACGGATCACTGCTTTGTATGTGTTAATTAATATTTGGTGTTCGGCCCTCCAATTTTTACTTGTCAAGTTTTTAAAAATATTTAGTCTTTTGTTGCATTATCAACACGAATTAAACACCCTTCATACGGATGGTAGAAACCTTTTCCTAACATTCTTCGTAAGTGAACAAAATAATTGAAGCAAATTCTAAATTAATATTTGTATCCTAATATATGAAACGATACGTCCTGTATATCAAAATCAACAAATTTGACTCGAAAACTTATTTACTATTAACTAAGTAAGGCAAACATAACAACCAAGTCCCAGTACTACTGTTCCACTTGTAATCCTCCGAAACTATCTCTTTCAGAAACGCTTCTCCTCTCGTAGAAGCGATCGATTAGGGGTTAATTTCTTGATACCAATCACAATAGCATTTGCCTCTAACCCTGACTTCATAACTACTGAAACAAATATATGGATGGGAAAAGGTATTATAAACATTAAATTACCAAATGCAACGGAATGGTTCGTCGTCAATGTTCAACAAAGCGGTTACTACCGCGTAAATTACGACTACACTTCGTGGGACCGTTTAAGAATAGCGTTGGACAAGCCAGGTCACAGTCAAATCCACGTGACGAACCGTGCACAAATCGTCGACGATGCTCTGAACCTAGCCCGCGCTAAATACATGAGCTATGATTCGGCGTTCGATTGCATAGCTTATTTAACCAAAGAGGTGGATTATCTGCCATGGAAAGCATTTTTCAATGGAATGAGTTATATAATTCAACGATTCGAAGGACAAGACGGTTATGAACTGCTCCAAAGACGTATTGTGCTTCTGACATCGAATATGTTTGAGGAACTCGGTTTCGTAGATTGGAGCACCGAAACTCACTCGAGGCAACTGAACAGAGAACTGATTTTAACTTGGGCGTGCAAAATGGGCAACCCGAAGTGCGTAAATATGGCGAAGGAGTGGTTTATGGATTTTAAGACAAGGACTCAGAAGGGGTAAGGTTTCTCGCATTGTTACAGTCATACATACATGAGGTCGAGTAGTATTTACAAGCGGGCACTTAGTGCTTCCTTATGGAAAAATACGAAAAAATATCTAGACAAGACCTTGTTCATCCGACGCTTAGTTTTCGTGGAAGTCAAATTTGAAAGTCCATTATGTGCGTATGCAATTATAGCTAATTGTAAAATATAATTCACCGAGCAACGTATAATGTCTATCATGTTTGTAAATAATTTCTTCCAGACCAAAAAATAAATATTCGTCTAAGAGAAATAAAGGTGAATAAACTATAAAATGTATACGACTTTCGTTCACAGAATATTGAATAGAATTTCACCAAATGCGAGGGCAGCAGTTTACAGTACAGCGATCAGAAGTGGAACATACGAAGATTGGGAATTCTTGTGGCAACGGTATCTGAAAACAGAGTTTGCTACAGAGAAGAAAATCATACTGGATGCTCTTGGGTGTACAACGAATAGAACTCTTTTGAAGTCGTAAGTAAAAATCTTTCTTTTACTTGAAAACTATTATTTAGAATACAAACATAAATCACTTAAACAGTATGTAATTGTGTATGTTATTTTCTTTGTATGACACGTTTTCTTTTATCATAGGTATATTTTACGTGCACTGAATCACGATTACACTTCTGATATTCGTAAGCAAGATGTCAACGCAGTTCTAGCTTCTATTTACAGCAGTGGGCAGTTAGGATTTAATGTGATGTTGGACTTCTTGATAAAAGATTATGGAACCCTTTACGCATTGTAAATATCCAAATATTTATCATTTAAAGAGATAATGGTATATTAGGATTAATGTTAACTGAAAATACAAAATTCTCTCTTTAATTTTGGTTCTTTTAATTACACATTATTAAAAGCATATATTACAAACGTACACCGGCTATCATTTTTTCAGTTACGGCAACTGGGGAGGTGTCGGAAGCTTGTTGTCTAAATTAGCATCTCGTACTTCCAATGAAGATCAATTGAAAAAGGTAAATTAATATTTTAATATTAATATTGAATAATAATATAAATCATATCATTAAGATTGGTATACTGATAATGTCCTATTTTGATATAATATTCCAAATTCAAAGACTATACCAATAGAACGGAAAAGTGCGAGATGGAATACAGCATACTGGTTTTGCAAATTTCAGAAACTGTAATTATATAAATTAATTGAAGATATTTGTCTATCTGTTTTATGAATATCCATTTATCTTACAATTGCAAGAAATGAACTATGACAAATAAATTAATCTAGTTGCTATTGAGATCTAGGTTCAGTTGTAATTATTACACACAATTATTGTATTAAATTTTGTGAAATTTTGTAAAATAAGCAATTATTATGATTACATTTAATTACAAATTATCGGTCAATCTAATTTTCATTTCACTAACGGCGAATTATGATGATGTCAAATGTTCTTCAATTCATGGGTGTAATTAAAACTTGCATTTTTATGAAACACACATATTTTTTTTTGTTACAGATCACTGACTTTGTGGAATCTAAAAAGGAATTGATGAAAGACATTTCATCTACCCTTAACGCAGCCGTATCAGCCGCAGAAGAAAGTGCTTCGTGGTACTTGAACCACAAGTATACAATTATTCGCTGGTTAGAACGCCGTCTTATCGATGAAGACCCAAAGAACGTAGCTGTTTCAAACAATTTTAGTATAATCTCTGTGGCAATAATGACATTAATCACGTATATATTAAGTTAATAAATGTTATACGTTATAGCAAATTATATCAGTAAATTCAAATGGTTAATATTTGTATAATTCTAATTGTATTTATTATATTTCTCTAACCGAAAATGCGGACCAGTACATATTTTTTGTTTCACATGTGACTATCTATAGCACATAGAAAGAGGATTATAGCTCTAGGAGTCATAGATTTGTACTCTTGTACAGGATACTTACCAGGATGGAAAAGGACCTGTTTTCGGAAGAAGTGAGTAGTCCTTACCTGATATAAAGTTTCTGTTGATGCTCCCAACTGCGCGATTATGGCATGGCTAGAAAGATGGCACAGCTATTTTTGAGAAAATATGGCACTGCTATTTTTGAGAAAATATGGCACTATTATTTTTGAGAAAATATGGCACTGCTATTCTTCAGAAAATATGACACTGCCATTTTTAAGAAAATATGGCACAGCTACAATATTTTTGAGAAGTAGGCTCCACTTTAAAACCAACACATATTTCATAAACGTTGAAAACTCCATGAAAAGTGGAAGTCCATATTTCGGAAATTCCGTACTATTGTAAAGTCTCCGTCCACTGAACGTAGAAAGGAGCATTGTTTCTCACCCCCTCCAAACAGACTGCGCCAAAGCTGTAACAGAGGGAGCGCGGGTTGAACTTTTAAAGAACTGATTGGTCAATTGGCAGGACCAACAAAAAATTAATTACAAATTGGGAAGTTTCTAAATTCTAGAACCTCCAATCGTTTTCCGTCGCGTTTTAGCGAAGCGTATATTTATATGAAGCACTTCACACGAAACGCAAGTTTTAGGAGTTGCTGTTGCTAGATGGCATGTTACCATTCAGTAAAACGCTATGGCCGGTACAGACGAGCGGTTCGCGGCAATTTGCCGCCAAATTTCCGTCGTTATTTTGTTTTTTGGCGCTTGTGGTCAAGCAGTACATGCGTTTATTTTAACGAATGCAAATCTGCGTCGCAAATCGACTTTGAAAACCTGGTGTATACACGTACAATTGAATAGGACTTAGCTAGCGTGTCTGTTCATTGCATCCTGTTTCCACTTTGACGACTACACTCATTTCAGATTAATTATCGAATTTGATTTTCTCGAAAACGAAACCTCAAACGAAAAAAACGTATCCCTTTTTTTCGGCTTATTTTTTCTTACAGAACCACCACCCGGCTGGATGTAGCACGATTTTAAGGACACCCTATATTTTTATTTTGTTATTGTTTACAAATTTTCCACAGACATATGAAATTGATTTATTCGGGTATAACAGGCGACATCAAAATTTTTACATTAAACCTTTTTGTCGGATATATTTTTCACCAGAAATATACAGAAATCGTTGAATTGTACATAAATATTTTGTGAACTACGTTTAATAGATTAATTATGAATAATTAAACGATATTTCAATAACAATTACATTCACAAATAATTTCGTGAATGTTTCTCGTTTACTATCAAAGATTTTGAAACAGCCATAATTTCGAATTAATAAATAATAGCAAACAATCGCGTTCGTCGGCTCGAAATTACATTCATCGCAAACGTCTCAAATCTTTTACATTAAAAAATAGAATGAACCAATAATTGTGTAGCAGTCAAGTATTTCTAAAACTTCAACAATTCGAAGACAAATGAATTCAAAGAAATGTTATACTGTCCAGGAGCAATTGTGTTTGTAGTGGTGCATTAAGTGATTTCTTGTTTGTAAATAGAAGCATTCAGTTCGTCGAAGATCGTAGATTGATTGTTTATCATCAACATATTCATTGCCCGATAATTTTTTACCGAGCTTGTACTGTATTTTGATCCTGACTGACTTTAAAAAATAAACTTGATTCTTCTATTTAGTGATATAGGTCTAATGTCTCTGACTTAACTCTAAGTTAGATTTAGATTCGTTCTTTGAATTATTTCCACTGCTTCCTACACATTCGATTGGTGCTCGTGGACAGTGAAACATTTTTTTGAAACAACTTATCCTTAATCGTTACACACACGAAAACCCAGCGCTGCCCAAGCTATTATCGTACGTAGATCTAGCTTACCATTGACAGGTAAACCAAAAACATAACACTGCAGTTGCCATCTGTGTTCAAACGTACGAATGTTTCGGTTCTCTCTCTTCTAGTTTCTCCGCTACTCTCTGTTAGCAACGATTTGCGGAGATCTAACTGTAAAGATGCGTCTCCACTGGTGTTCGCAAACAGTTTAGGAACAATAAACGAATTGTTCTTCCTAGATGTTCTACTTGTTTCTTATGACGTGTTTGCAATATATAGTTATGTGAAGTGCAGTGGTAATGAAAACTTTGCGAACTTCTTGCTAGCATTGTTTGCGAACAATGTTCATGAACTGTTTGCCAGTGAATAAGCACCTTAGAATGTGCTCGAGGGAGCCACACCCATGGACAGCACTGCAGTAACCCACGAAACTTGTTCACATACAGTTACGCGATTTATTCATTTTATTATTTACAACCGAGTAAAATAAGTAACAGAAAAATGTCGAGAATATATCTCTGATGGGCGGGCAAAAGAGCATAAGTCAGAAGTTTTGCAGAGTGACACCTGTAATATTTAATATAATGTTTAATATTGTAAGTGCTTTTGTGCGAAACTAATAATTCTGATTTATACTCTTTTACCCGCCCACCGGAGATACGTATGTAACGCGATTGGGGAAACAGGTCAACAAAATAATTTTTAATAATGAATATACGTGAACAGATAAGTCACTGTAGTTACAAAATTAAACGAATGCCACCAGTTAATGGACCACTCTACATAAATTATATTTTGCGCGGGGAATAAGACAATTTGAGATCGATCGAGGTGTTCGCTAGAATATTTAACCTCGTTTCTTTCGTATCATCATATGGTGCGTACTAACATATAATGGCAGGGATCGCCCCATATTATCTATGCCCTAAACATCTAAGTATTCCATTATACATACCGGTCATCCCGTAATAAGTGAACGTGTGGCAGATGTAAATTTATCGGTTCAAAATGGTAAGAGAAGTTCATATGTATGTATATACAAAGTATCATGTAACTGGTGATATAACCGAATAAGGGGTGATTCTATGTGAAAAAATAAGTCGAAAATATATAATACAATTTTTTCGTTTGAGACTTCGTTTTCGAGAAAATTGACTTTGAAAATTAATCTGAAACGCTTGTATTCCCCACGGTGGTAGGTAGAAACGGAATGCAATGAATAGACTGTAGAATTTAATGCAAAATGATGTTGTATAAAGTAATTCTTAAAGACGAGAACAAAGGTGAGAATTTCTTTGTTCCCTGAAGTATCTTTTTGGTTTAAGAATAGAATAGAAAACTTGTGATTGAAAACTTGATAACTAGTTGTGTACAAGTTTCCAGCAAATTGCCAGCAATAAATGACAAAAGTTGCCAAAAAAAAATCATAGTCATCTGGTTCCGCATTTGACTTGGATTTTGCAGGCAACGCCAGCTGACAAAATGGTAAAGCAAATTGGCCAAAAGTCTTGCAACATGACCTATGTAAAATTGAGGGCAAAACCGGAACAAGGTTTGCCCGAGCCAATTGGCTGCATATGTTGCAAGTTGTTTATAGCAAATCTTGCATCAAACTTGTAGCCATAACTTTATTACAGGCATTGGACAAAATTTGGCTTTGCAGGTTTGGCTGACTGGGAATGAACAAACGTGCTAACCAAGTCCTATTAAGTTGCACCACACATCCAGGAGATTTTTAAAGTTGATGGTCTCGAAAACAAAGTATCAAATGAAACGATTTTATTGACATTTTCGACTTATTTTTTCACGTAAAATCGGCCCTACGTTGTACCGCCAGTTACATGACACCCTGTATATGTATAAGTGTATACCCTATTTGGTCTAGCGGTCGAGCCGTATCAATCAATATCCGTGTAACTTCGTTACAGCCAGTTCAAAAGATACGGTTTTTTTACCGATTCGATCATTTTGAGGAGTCAGAGTTGGATTTTCACTGAAGACACGGAATCGTATAAACGCTGCTTTATTATGGATTCGGCAAAATTACCGAATCGGTAAAAAAATCCGTATTGTCTGAAGTGCCTCTTACAGGTAACCGAAACTATTTCTGTTTATCAAATTTGATTTTAAATAATGATAAAAATTATTACTATCAATATTATCATTATATATTAATTTTAGATATTAGACTTAGAATTATTTATAGAAAATCGGGTGTATGTTTATAGGAACTCATATTATTATCTTGAACCATTGAAAATAGATTCCGCTTATTACGGTACATCCTGTATATTAATTTTCAGCGCGTATATACAAAAACATACAAAAACATTTAATACTTTTGTAAACTTTTAAACCATCTCGCCTCCCACACGGAAAGCATTGCACTTAAACGAATTCATAAATTCGTGCATAAGATTTTATAACATCGATTGTAGATATTCGAAAAAAAGTACAGAGACCCATGAAAAGTAGGAGTTTTAAGTTCTTTGTTATTTAATAAAAAAAACGTAAATTCTTGTGTTTCGTATTTATGTAATAAAAATACGCACGAATTTATGGACTGGCCTAATAATTTTCCATAAAAATTCCAATTCAACTATCTTCCACGACCGAACGACTCCAACACCGTTAAAACTATCGTTTTCGAACGTTCTAGCCACTCTCCGTCGAACGTTATGAACTTGTCTATTGTGTGTATATCCACTTTTTCATTCTTTTGAGATTATTACGCGGTGTTTCGTTTTAACCAGTCGTGGATTGTAACAAGGTTACGTTCCAACCACTGAATATTAGCTGCAGACTGTTCAATCACTTGTTGGATTGTTCTGGTTGCGGAGCCAAGTTCTTCTCTGTGTTCATTTGTGAAGTCCAATAGCTGAATGTGAAAAGAATAATCGATTGTACATATTATAAATGTAAAACTTAATTTTTAACGAATCATGTAAAATAGCGTGACCCAAAAAATTATGCATTTGATTCCATTCAGAGCAAAACTATTGTGTAAATAATTGCATTAATGGATGACGTAATATTTAATGTTTCTACTATTAAAAAAACTGACGCCTGTATATTGCATGAAAATGTAAATAATCATTAGTTAAGAGGCAGTTATTTCAATAACCGCTTGCAATATAAAATGAACATATAATTTTGAAGAAATGAATTATTTGCTTCATACTTACATCTTTCAGTTCATATTTAGTGTTTATGCCCGTGGTAGTGGCTTTTACTACATTGTTGATAGTCAATAGGGATGATCCAAGACTGAAAACGATATACATTACATGAAACAACGTTAAACTTTCAATGCAAAAATTCATTTAAAAATTATAATTATTACATTATGGAACATAGATTGAAAAAGTAAACATAAATATTTTTCCATAAACTTGTAACTGACATTAAATAAAACAGAGTGATTTGTTGGCGATATAAAAAAGTACTTTGATCGCGTAATCTGATAGAATTTATATTGATTTCATATTAGTTATGTTACATTAAAAAATAGAAAATTAAAAATATCGACTTGATTATACTTGTTGATTATTCTAAAAATTGTAAAAATGACTTTTGTTTTACTACTTGATATATACGAGATCTGATCAAAAAATTCCAGGACTGTTTAAACTGCGCGCCAACGAAAGGCCGGAGCATGGTGCAATTGTTTTAAATGTTTAGCCCTAACCTACCCGAGGACGACCGAGTTTGCAAAATTGCGATAACCTTCTTGGCTGCAAATCTACAGCTGTTTCAGTGAAACAAGATATTTGCGTTCAGCGATTTTATGATGAATGAAGAGGAAGAACAACGCATTTGTGAGAAATTTTGTGTGAAATTGAAAAAAACATTCACGGAAACTTTTCAAATAAAAAAACCGCAAGGTGAAACGATTAATTACGTTTTCGTTACCGCGAAACCCAGTGAGGAGAAAAAGAGCTGAACTTTGGCAAAGCGGGGCCTGGTTTTTGCATCACGACAGTGCACCCGCTCATTCGGCCCTGCTCATTCATGATTTTTGCACAAAAAACGGCATGACAGTCTTACCCCAGCCCCCCTACTCTCCCGATCTGGCCCCAGCGGACTTTTTCCTGTTTCCAAAACTTAAGTACCCGCCGAAAGGAAAGAGATTTCATACGATCGACGAAATACAAGAAAAATCGCTGATGGAACTAAACAGCATTTCAGAAGAGACGTTTTCCTTATGCTTCCTGCAATGGAAATAACGGTTGGAAAAATGTATAGCTTGCCATTGAGAGTACTTTGAAAGGGACAATGTTGAATAACTTGTACGAATTTTCAATAAATTTATAAAAAAATAAGTCCTGGAATTTTTAGATCAAACCTCGTACACAAACTTACTATTCCCTGAGCCGTGCCCAGTTATTCCTGAGGAAGTTGAACGCCAAAGTCTGCCCAATGGGGTGGTTGGAAACCGAGCTAAGTACACGAGCAACATCCTGCTTTCTAATTCCCGAATTCTCAGTGATCGTCCACTCCAAGTATCGACTAAGTAGCCATGTTTCTTTGGTGCAGCCCAGCGCACTTAACAGCAGATCCTTTTCTGAACCAACGTTCGTGTCCAGGTACCTCTGCCAGGCAAAGTCCCACTCGGTTTGTCCGCCAACCCGAATGGCAGTGCAGTAAACAACAGACTTCAAGTTCGGTGAAATTCTGAAAATTAAGATTAAATCTTTTTACAGCTTCGCTAGTCGGGATGTTTATTCTTACTGACTCGTCTTGTATATAAAAATACATAAAAGACACTATACTACTAAAATATCACATTCGCATACAGAATGCTACATTTGCGTGTGCGTCACTTTGGATATCTTCTTCATGTTCAGTATTTCTAGAGAAATAAAACTACACGTAATTTTTTAAATTTTGGTAAAAATACTCAAACCTACATAAGGTGTCTCGGATCGGGAAATATAACCGGGCAGGAGTTTTTGTCTATAAGACAAAATAAGTTGACAAAAAAAGATTAAAAACTTTTCGGATGTTACTTCATTTTCGAGATAATTAAAATGGAAAATTTGTTGGATACGCAGACAACAGGACATAACTTGGCTAACGCGTCTATTCATTACAGGCTGTTTCTACTTATTGCCAGCACGAATACACGCGTTTTAGATAAATGATCAAACCCAATTTTCTCGGAAACGAAACTTCAAATAAAAAAATATATTCTGCTTTTTCGACCTATTTTTTCTTTTAGAATCACCTCCTATCCGGTTGTCCTACCCGAACTGAAACACCCTGTATGTTTCAATCTGTTTTCAAAATCCTGAACACTTGACCTCCACGCTACAACCACCCTTATTGCTTGAAGTACTTTATTGACATATTCATTCTCAAAATTTTCTCGATGCTATATGATAAATCCATAATAATGACATTATGATACCATGGGAATATTGAAATATTTACCGTGGTAATGGTAACTAATAAGTCGATTTATATGTAATATTCAGGGTCAAATGACATTCCAGTACAACACCTTATTTGATGGGTTTTTCTTGTGTACCGGCACAATTGTGAAAGAGGTCGAACTAGACTATTTTCCTAGAGATAATGTAACATGTTTCATTGTATAATAACTTATGATATCAGTTGAACATTTACAGTTTAACACATTTTGAACGGGCCGTAAACAATTTTCCGATCCCATGGCCGAGACAAATGAACTTTTCTTTTTTAAATTTTTAATATCAATATGACATTACAAATATTGCCAACAAGATTTTCCCAAGCCAATTCATAGCCATAACTTTATAACAGGCATTGGACAACATTTGGCTTTGCAGATGTGGCTGACTGGGAAATTTCTCACTTACTAACAAGAAAGTACTCACTGATTATTTTTATTTGGGTCGGGCGTGTTGCGCCAATTATGAAACTGTTTCACAGCATTTTGTACGCAGTCCTCGTGACCAAAATTACACGCCCAAAGCAATACGTCGACACGAGTGAACACTGTCAATTGAGGATCTCCGGGGTTGTCTTTGAAACCAACTTGCTTGTACGCGTTGTCAAGAAGTTGCAAGATGTATACCTGTAAAATTATTTCAGTAGTGTATTAGATTTCCATAGAACATAAAAATGGCAAAAGAAACATTTACAGAAAACCATTAACTACTGTTAAATCGACGTGACTATTAATTTTTAGATAGGTATAAGCCTATACAACGCGGGAAAAGGGAACGTATTCTAAATCTATAACACTTGCGTCGCGACGCTTCTTTTAGCACTGTGTCACACTGAATTCTGACATCCTTTTATACAGAGTGTCTGTTTCAATTGGACCCAGTGGAACATCTTGTAAAAAACGGGAGGTATCAAGAAATGATCTACCACATTTTCTTTGCTTAAATTTCGTACTGTACTCAATGACCTTATCTAGCACATCGTTAAACTCTTCAAAAATACAGCATTCTATTAAAAGAAAATTAACTTGATCTTAAAATCCCACTCCACAACTTACAAAAAAATTATTTATACCAGATTATGTGTCCTTTCATATAAAAACAACTTTTGTAAGAAAATTTTGTTGACACCTTCAGTTCCTTGGAAGATATTCCCATGGGTCGAATTCAAACAGACACCATGTATGCATTGAAAAATATATATTTACTCGAAACTTGTCGTAACTAGGCGTCCTGATTAGCATGGTATCTAGGAACTGCATGGCAGTGAAAGCAGCCTTCCAAGGCAGGTATTCAGTCTCATGAGCCAAGTAAGATGTGACGTCCAACGCAGTACTATAATGCAGCTGGTCGGCCTTAGCTAAATTCAAGGCATCATCGATCAGTTGAGCTCGATTGTTCGTTGATATATCTCTAAACGAGTCCTTGTTCAATTGATTAATTATCATCTGCCAATTCGTTCTGTCATAGTTGACTCTGTAGTATCCTAGAGGGAAAAGATTGACATGTATAAGTAAATTAATGGTGTCCCTTTATTAATATTGGTATAAAGTACAGCAAATATTAAAATTGTATAGCATATTTAATATGAAGTTCATGACTCATTTTTCAAACGGGCGTTATTAAGTGCTGTACGACTCTTATACAGATGCCAAAAAAATCCAATAGGAGTATTTTCTCTTAAAAGGACGAACAACTTTTATATCAACATTTTCTCCCATGTTTGCTTGTTATTTTTTGGTTATTTGACTTGACAAATTTTCAGCTTTGAACTGCGAGCGATAGTTTTCCCCGTCAACTTGAGTTACCGCAATTAAGAAAAATGTGTATCTTATGCTTTTAGATACTGTAATGTGAACAAACGACGTACTTTTTATAATTCTTTTCACTTTTTATGTTTTCTGGATATATGTAAATGAAATAACTAGAAATGAGACAAACAGATACCAACATGGGGTCCAAATCCAAGCCTGGCAGCGCATAAGATACTAAAAGGTTGCTGGATCAACAGCGTGGACACTGCGGTTGAGGTGACCAACAGTTCAATGTTGATGTTTGTTGCGTTTCTAGTTATTTTATTGACATGTATCCAAGAAACGTAAAAAGTCAAAAAATTATAAAAGGAAAATTATTTATATCCATTTTCAGAGTACTTATGACGGACTTTGATGTCATTTTTCTAGCTAATAATGAATTTTTCGAATGAATGACACTTATTTCAATTCTTACAAGGTCAAGTTTTATAATTTCCAACTATTATTTTTACAAAACAAATTTAACATCTGGGTAATTTCCCTGGTAAGCCTTACCAGGTTTAGTTGAGTTAGATATGAATTAGGACTGCACTAGATCGCTTTGTTGCCCGATAAAATATTTGGAAGTCCCCAAAAATGCAGTACTCCATAGCTTACCGGTTTCTTGAATATTGAAGATCACCCACTCTTTCGGATTCAGCTTCACATTCGGCAAAGTAATCGTTTTCTGGGCTTTCATCCACTCAGAGGGTTGGGTTCTGTTAAAATCTAGCTCTTTCTCGGTTGTGTAGGTGATTGGTACCCACCACAGTGGCTCAACCTCAGAGGTGGTTCTCATAGTGCCGTTACGCATCAGAAAACGTTCCTGAAATTAGACGTATACGTCATCAAATGTTTATAAACACTTATAAACGATGACGTGTAAATATTGTATATTCGACGAACCTGCGTTAGTGTTACAGAACCATTTTTATAATTTCGTGTAACTGTGACCACAGGGAATCCAGTCTGAAGAGTCCATGTATCCATAATTTGCTTTATTGTTATACCTTGAGCTAAAACGTTGTCCGCGTGCGCTTGTTTCGTTAGAGCGTCCCATAAGTCGTTCTGGTTAGCGCTTTGATATGCCCTAATATAAATTTATAAATTACGAGATTAATATGAATTTGTTTTAAAATCATTTTAAACAATAGGTACGTTGCCTTGGGTCTGTTTTAGTCTAGCTTAAACCAACTTTGGATAAAACGGAGTTCGGCCTGGGTTAGGGCTCAATCGGGAGTTTATAAGAACTTTATTTCATATGGATTATATACGATTATGACCGTGCCTTATTTCATTTATGTATAAGCTATCCACGTGGTAAGTTTGTATCTCGATTTTTATTGACCTCAAGTCTCTTGAATTAGACCATATCCGCTGAGTTTATATTTTAACCTTGATTAACCCCTAATCATAAAAAATGATAAAAAATTTTTATTTTAATCTTGATTTATTTAAAACTATCCCGTCTTATAGATGTGGGTTGAATTAGGGTTGAATTTGTATTTTGATACTCATTCACTATGGACTCTGTTCTCGTGTGTACGTGGGTTAACTCAGATTTCAGTATGTACGTTTATCCTGATTTGCTGTAAAGTAGCTTGAATATAGTTACTAAATTCACTTTGAGGATTCGTATCACAGCGTTGAAGTAAACACGCGTCTACAGTTTATTTGCATGAAGTTTGCATTAAAAATGTGTCTCGTATTTTCTTGTATCTCTCTAATTTATAGGCTGTCATAGCACTTAAAATACGAGCTTAATCAATGTATGTACGTGTATAAAACTCCCCCACGTAATCGCAACATTCAATTCATATAACGCAGTTTCTGAAAACATTGGATACAATGTCGCTAATTTACTGATTTTGTTAATTACAGAAAAAGAGGCGTATTGATGAGTAAACGAGGCAGAATAGAAGCCAATAATAGGAAGAGGATAGCAATACCATAATACGCTAGTCCACAAGGCGAGATTATAGAGGAAAAAGACTGGATAGAATTTTTACTTACAATTAGAGTTAATAATTGAATAGAGATGTAAAGCAAATATGGAGATGTATCCATATGAAAGTATTATAGAATATGCGTACTCACTTTCCATTCAAATAATTCGTTAAACCTTGTTTGAAAACTTTCGTAGTCAGGAAATGATCCATCATTCTGAGTATGCTAGCACCTACACCAATGGAGAATGGCGTTATAATTTATTAGTATAATTTTGTGAACATAGTAATAAGTTATGTTTTAAAAACTTAACTAACTTTTACTTTTGTGCGTTACATGGTATACGATTATTTAATACCTTTTTTATATGAAATCTTGTCGAAGATCTCGCTAATCTCATCCGGATGGCCAACTTCGATCGATATAGGATGTGAAGATTCCAAAGAGTCTAATCCGAAAACACTTTGGATTTCATGAACTACAAACTGCTCCAAAACCCTCCACGTTGGTTCTACCTACATATTAAAACAGGAGAGCACAGATTATAATAACTAATGTAACAATTTTTAATTACAACACTCCAAGCTCCCGAACTTACCGCGTTCATACCAACGTATGACACGTAAGTGGCAAAGCCTTCATTCAACCAAAGATCCGTCCACCAACTTGGCGTTACCAAGTTTCCAAACCATTGGTGAGCAAGTTCGTGAGCAACTACAGTGGCCACTCGGTGCTGGTTGCTGCTGGTCGAGACCTCTTCTTGGTACAACATGGCGGTCTCCCTATAAAAGAAGTTTTTATATCATTATAGTATAAAAATTGATTAGATCATAAAATTTACTATGATATTAAATGTTATATTTTATTTAGTTCTAAAATAGTAAAAATGGTTAAATACTACCACTTCGATTGCACATATCCTAGAAGTTCTTAGAAGGCACATTGGGGACGAGTGTCCCCAAGTGATTTAAAACTCGAAATATCTCCTAAACTGTGGACTTTTAAAAAACAGTCGGAGAAGCATTTTTTGAAATTTAATATTTGTACTTTCAGGTAGACTAGTTGAGATTAAAAAACAATAAATTACATTAATAAAAAAGGGATTTAAAGTGAAGAGTCCTTTTAGGTGATTTGGAAAAAAGGAGAGACATGAAGGTAGCAGTTAAAATAACGGTGATGGAGAAAATAAATGAGCAGAGTGATGAATTAGTCAGAAGGAGGTTGAGAGGAAAACCAAATTAAAGACCAACAGCTCAAGATGAACAATTGTTAGGTGTTAGGAAATATTCTCCGGGCTTTTTTCTCAAACTACGTTCATTAATACCAGATTTCGTAAATGATTTTGAGTAATTTACGAATTCCTTTTAAAAAAATAATATATACTGCAGGAAAATTATACCTAAACTTCGATAAAAGGAATACGAAGATGCAAACCGAATGATATTTTCTACCACCTAACAGTAATACAAATTAATTAGTGTACGATAGGTATGAGAATATTTGAACAAAGAATGGAAAAAAGAGAAAAATAAAAACAACTGGTTTAGAAATAGCGTGAGTAGGCTTAAGCCTACTGAGAGTACATGCAAGAAAAGTTATGCAGATGATATCGAGGGAAGGGAACAAACGTGGAACTATATGTTCAAAAAAATGTATGGAATGTGAGTTATAAATAAGACGACAGAAGAAATGCTGGCAGATAAATAGAAGAGGGAAAAGAAAGATGGATAAAACGCGTCGATGAAATACAAAAAAGAAGAATAAAAAAAGAAAGGGAAATAATGTAATGGACATAACATAAAGTACCGGTTTTAATAGATATAGATATAAGATTATATACAGGAAAGTCTGACTACCTCTGGCACCTACAATACCTGGGTTGTTTTTATGAGTAGAATATAATGTGTTAGATGGAATTATACAGTATATATAACTTTTCATAGCATTTTTGCTATTAAGGTCATTTAAGAATCATAAAAATACAGGTTGCTTAATAATTTGGGAACTTATTCAAGTTTCCTATAATACTATGCGTGTAATAATAAATGGGTCTTATTGAGCCATAAACATCAATAACCTTGGAATTTAGAAAACGGTGACCTTGAAGGTGTTTGGATTAATCATAAGTGCCATCTCAGATAACTCACAGGACCACCTAAATTCTTCTGGGTACTGAACTGCATTCAAATTAAGAACCTGATAGCTTGTTACTAATGCTAGGAGTCTCATTGTTCTTAGTAACCACACTTGAATCTGTTTGTCCAAGTTTTGCTGCAACCTAATTGCTGAAAGTTTTCCTGATCTAACTTTTACTTTTAATTTAACTCTCGGTGATCTCTGAAAAGTGTCTGAACTAATATATCTCTCCTCTGTGTCTAACCACCTCGTCCTTAAATATAAAAAGATCTTCAAGAGGCAGAAACGAGCATAGAAAATTAGTAATCCCGATATCTATGATTGGAAAAGCGAAAGTGATACCCCATTAACGCCTACCGTACCATACACTGCGGATACTTGTGGACATACAATTGAGCAGTTAAAATACACACATTAATAGCAAACATCGGCAATCATTAACTATCTTACAGAATTGATTGATTTGCTCATGGAACATTCCTTGTAACACTCAATATGCACACCACTGAAATAAATAATTCCATTTAAGCCACTCTATTCTAATGATAAAAGTAGTGGAGATATTTTAAATTCAAATCATAAATGGACCACGCTAAATAGTAGACATGTTTAAGGTATACGTAAATCATTATGATCATAGAACGAAAGTTCTAGTAACCCCGTTAGGGATTCAATAAAATATACCAATATATAGCAATTCTATATTAAACTGTTAGTTCGCATGTATTTTATATAAAAAAAATTCATCTTTTCAACTGACATAAAGATTATATTATTTCGAATCACCTGTAAGTAATTAAACCCCAGTTCTCCATGGCGCCCGCAGCGAAGTCAGGCAACGCGACGTTGTCAGTCTTTGGTAGTGGAAATTTAATTTTGAAGTAATCCTCGTAATGCTGAAGAATGCTCGGGCCAATCTTCAAGCAGTAACGTGCCTGGTTGATCGCCTCGGCTCGTGCCCAGACTCTAAAGTTTCCTGATTCCGATTTCATCATTTCGAAATCGGAAACTATGAAGGCTACCAAATAGGTAGACATTGGTACCGAACGTTCGTAATGGTCCCACAAGTAGGATGGTAACCCTGGACTAATTGGAAACAATAAAATGCATTCCATATTACACGTGATATAACTTAAAAAATATTTTAAGGGCATATGAATCAACTAAATGAATTAGTTTTCATTATATATAGTTCATTATACAAAGTTATAAATTAAATTTCATTTTATACAGAATTGAAACACATTTATAATGTATTATATGTGTATAATACACATTTGTAATGTGTTATATGTTCAGGACATTTAAGCCTATTAAATTAGGGTAAAGTAACTGCATAAGACGTATGATAGTTTATATAATCTTATTCTTCCTTTTGTCTGTTAAATATAGACTAAGGAATGAATTTTAGAAACACATTCACAACATTGAATTTGAAGATATTGAAAGTTCACTAAGTTACTATGAATGTGTGAAAAGTGAGAATAATTAGAAATTATGTAGAATTCTTGGAATTCAAGTAAATTTAAAATAATTATATTAATATTACTGAACATTTGGCGGCAATCTGTTGACTGGAAAAATATGAAAAGGAAAGGAGAGGGAGCGTTTCGTCCTGGGCCTGCTAGTGGACTCGTCCGTAAGGCTACCTAGCAGACCCTGCCTTAGACGCGGGGATATACGATGGTCGGTTAAGGACGTATGTATATGTATACGATCGAGGAAGGATTCAGGTAGTTGGGGGAAAGGTGTCAACTCGGTAGACCTCTGATGGCGAATGTAGGAAGGAAGGTAGTGCCGCCACAAACAGTTATTTGGAACAATTCAAAATTAAATTTAATTTCTAAACGTTTTGCTTCAGTAATTATTGAAATGTTTACTTTAAAGTATTAACCTGTTACGTAATACTTAATAGAAACAGTTAAACTAAAATTCTACAGAGAAAACTTAATAGACTGAATTTATACATACATGTAAATTGATGGAAGTTCCGAAACAGTGGTAAATTTTAAGTTCTGGTAATTACTACTTCTAATTTGTTGTTCAGTGCTTAAAAAAGTAAATAAACAACAAAATCTGCATTGATACTTAGTCATCTGAAACTCGCACTAATAACTGAATTCTTGTTCGTTTCGAAAGGATTGAGAGTATAATCGAAGATGATTTTTAAACATTTGAACCTGTCGATAAGATAATTCCCTTTTCATTAAAAATTAATTGCACACCAATTTGAAACATCAATGTTATATCATCTCTATTTCGAATTCTATTATTGCTTCAAGTTAATTTGTCCGTTCCCGACAGCCAACGGAATTTTCTGCGTTATTGGATCTAACAACGAAGAAGCTGCGCAGAACAATTAACTTGGACGATTCATCTTACACAAACAATTTGATTATACGCACTTTGCTACTTCTAGAAATAAACTCGTCCATTTATTTGCCCAAACATCGCGTGTGTCATATTCATTTAACACTAAATCGTCAATCATGAAGCTCTGGTATTCTATCAGACATATATCAGATGATTAATTCATCATTTTTATTTTCAAATAATCGAATTATTCCTATAAAACTTTTGTTTAAAATATTTTGTCCCAAAATTTATTAACATTTTCAGGTCCAATATGGCTCGGATGTTCCATCATATACATATAAGAACTTATACACAAACTCAAACAGGTAGATATGTACATTGTCATTCATAAGTATAGTGGATTCTGGTTATTTAAGACTCATCGAGACTAGCATCCTTTGGCCCGAGTATGCGGTTGTCCCGATTATACAAAGTATCACAATGCATTTGATAAGGTTTTATTTTTTGAGCTTTGTCCCAAATAAACTGCTACCTCGATTAACATGTGGCCCAAATAAGCGGAATCCATTGTCTTAGAACACTGGATGTATTCCAGAAAAATGTTTTACACCTCTGTGGCATTGTTTTTATTATAATTATTCATGATCCAATGATTTCCAACATTCTTAATATTTAAGGTAATATTTATGTAAAAACTTCAATAATTTCCTAATGTTTCATTCAATTTATGTCAGACTCTATAAGTGTCCCAACTTACGGGCGAGAATTTTTAACTTTACTTCTCAAACTTCAAAAATGAATGACCATATTAATATTTAATTAGTTAAGATAGAATATGATAAATGAGAGCAATGATGAACAGTATATCAAAGGAAAAAATACTCATAATTTCGATTATGAACAGATTATTAACGACCTACAAGAATTATGAAGGCTCGTGTTAGTCCAATCTAAAACTTTTAAACTATATGGTTTTAATTTAAAAAATAGTTTGCTTCACATTTAATAAATTCACCTCAACGTTAAAAAATAATAAATTGAACAATTTCCTATACCCGCCCGATACATATTTTTGTTCATTTTGTAAACAAAAATATATTCGATCTGTCTTTGTTCTCTTTCAAGCAAGTTTGAAATTCAAAACTCGTTTACTCAATTTTTTGCAGTTATTATTTCAGCGTTACTCCAACCACTGAAAACTGAGATGATTTTTATTTGGAAAACTTATCAGTTGGCATCCACTCATATGGGAACAATCCGTGGAGCCTGACAACTCAATAATGTATACATTCGTGAGAATGCTTGATTAGAATAATGCAAATTTCCTCGTGATCTGACAACAGTGGTGTCTGGTTGACTACATAGAAAGAAGTCTCTTTGCGCGAACGTTGATCACTTACACAGGCATAGGCTCCCCTTTTCTAGGCATATTCGAGATAGACGTCATGTTCCTGGGTCTGGCGATGCTGATCTGGAAACGAGCCTTCAATGCCGGCTCGTCGAAGCAAGGAAAGGCACGTCTCGCGTCTGTCGCTTGGAATTGAGTCGTGGCGATCCATCTGTAATACAAAACCGGGAGCAACTTCGGTAAACAGCAATTGAAAGAGAACCCTTGTTTGCACTTCCACGGACGCTCTGTCCCAACTCCCCTCCCATGACGACACCCCTAAGCTATAGTTATCTGGGACGAGAATCACGGAGGCACTCTTCTATTCAGCGGAGACGCTTAAGGAAATGATGTCGAGCTGTGTAAATTCACGGATGTCCCGTACAACCGAGAAGAAACCCCGTCTAGAGTGGAAGTTTTGTCTACACGGAACGCTGGGGATAGAGTCTCAGTCCTTTTAAAAATTTCGAGACGAACCGAAAAAACGCGGTCTAAAAATTGATTACAGAGGAGTCACCTTAGAATTATTGTAATTGACAAAGAAATGGTGTATTCAAAGGAAAAAGATTATCTGAACATTCTAACAAGCATTTACTTTTTCCAAAATCAGAATATTATGAAACACACGACTGAGTTTTTATTCGAGTTAACCCTTAACTGGTAAGGTGAGGTGTAAAGAACCCTATAAATATTTTGAGAACATTTTATTCAATAGTCTGTCAAAAAGATACTTGTCTATTCTGTAGTTTCCTTACGTGAAAATGCAACACAGCTAATTGTGTAATAAGATTTATGTATAAGATTTCTGTAATAAATAAGAACTGATGAGATCTCCAACTAACCAGTTAAGGGTTGAAATATTAATATTTAAGTATTTACGAATTCTATTTATGCGGCGACCAAAGATTTTTGTGATTTAAAAACACTTCACAATTGAATGTGAAAGTTTAATGCAACAATGGATCTTCAACTGAATTTCAACGAATTGTAAAATGGTAGATCTGTGGAACGAAATTACTAGAGATATTGGTTGACCTTTACTCAATTATACCTGGTCTGACTGCCAACAGTGTAGGAGCTTCTGTAAAAGCCTTCCATGTAGTCGTTCAAATGGCCAACAAACTTGAGATGCACCAGGTACTGCTTGCCCCCTTTCAACGTGTCTGCGGTCTTAATCACAAAGAACTCCCGTTGAGTGTCGTTCCTTTGCTCAATGATCCCAATTGCTTTGGTGTTGTTGTTTGTAGCTGAATACTCTTTGATATTCGTGAAAGTTTCATCGATATCCATGCTGGTCGCGTGTAAAGTAACATTTCTCGTGTCTTCGGTCACGTTCACAAGAATCTTCACCTAAAAACCACACGATTCTATTGTTTTTCTTGTCGTGTTTATTTGTAATAGAGATAATATACCATAGCCTATCTATAATATACTACTGTATCAAGCTCAACTGAGCAGATTTTGCACACAACACTCGTATGTGTGTCCTGCAATGATTGGTACAACCGAAGAGGAGGTGATTCCATGTACAAAAACGAATCGAAAATGTAGAATAAAATATTTTGTTATGCAGCTCCGATTGCGGAAGAATAGAGTAGTTATTACTATTTTTATTCTTATTTACTACTGTCCTATTTATTACAAACATAAATGAAAGTAACAGACAGAGATATTAATCAATCATATTCTACAACATGGGATTCAAAGAATTTTCAAATTGGATTTTTTCAGGAACGAAGCTTCGTGTGAAACAATCTTATACGTTTTCGATTTATGTATTTTTTTGCGCATTATCGCTTCTTCCTCCTATACACCACTCACTGCGAGACACCTTGTATACTGAAAACTGCAGACCAAAATTGTATGCATCGAAGCGACATTTATAATATAATTACACACTGATTTAATTCAATAATTTAGCAGTTACTTGATACTGGCAACGAGGATAATAATTAATTAGTTTAACCCACTAAGACCCAAGCAGTGAAATAAGGCAATTTTTACACATATAATTATTTATTACTTATAGAAGTTTATAAGAAAGAAATGCCATCCAAAAAGTGTTTGAATCGGTACTGTTTATGTAACAAAATATTGCGTCTATGCAACTTCGGACAACTTTTTATTGAAAAACATAAATCATGATTTAAGAAAAAACTGATTTTTCATAATGCTATACATACTTCAATTTCTTGAAACTTTAAAACCTCGTACGATCTACGTAGAAGGAAAAATAGGGACGAAAAAAATATTAAGCTAATCTATAAAACCCTCTTTCGTAACGGCAACATGGAAAACAGAATTCAAAAATATGAATTCACTGGAAAAAATGGGAGTGAAATGTTGCATTGAAGCAACGTTGGGTTCTAATAGATTAATACTACATACTAGACAATACCTATATACAGTAATTCAATTTGTTCATGGAAGTCTATCAGAGGTATTTGACCAAATTACATACTAAACTTCAAATTTTATATCTAAGTTAAGAAAAGTTTATCACAAAAAGATAATAAAATTAAAGATAACGAGGATATTTAAAAAGGAATTGTATAAAAATGTTTACATTGAATTGTTATTTCGAAAATATATAAACGAATATGTGAGTTATTGTATAATCGACTCAGTATTAATTGAATATTCCAAAAATCAGTCAAAACGGATAAATGTGTTAAACAGAAATCAATTTAAATAAACGAAACGAAAGTTATTTCTGTATAATCCAGTCCATTAACTTTCCATTTAAAAATTGGAATAATGTTCTGTCGCTAAAAGCGAAAGTAAAAGTATTTTCGTCCAAGAAACTTCTGGCGTCAGTTTTTAATCTACTTCTCCTTCCGTTTACTTTTTTCTGGATCTATATAAAAACATGTATCGGAACGACGGGATATTTAAAACTTTCCAGCTACAATCACTTACTGAACAAGTTCACATACTTTCACCATTTCGAACGAATACGTAATCATGGTCATCATTTTCGTTATATTTGTTTCCGCAGCACTTTGAAGAAAATTATGTAAATGTTAGTCAACAGGAAAAAGATAAAGGAGTGATTACTAACGATCAGTGATTATAATAGTCACTTGCTTTCGAAACAAATTCAATCGATAGAAGAAAAACTGCATTAATCCAAAATCGATTAGATAATGGAAGCAGTATTACACCCGCAAAAACTTAATAAAAGGTAAAAATACCCTCAAAGACTTAATTATTCGCCACTTGGCCCGTATCTTTTGAAGCAAAGCACTTCTCAACTATTAGGACGATTGATTTTCTCGTTTCTCGGTTAAAAAATAGAAGGAAAACAACGAACGATCGAGAATAATTCTCCTTATTGTTCCATTCTTCTATAATTCATGTAAAAAATCTCACCAATTATAATGGAAAATCGGTGCGGATATGTCCCTTTACAGGAAATATTTTGACCACTCGTTATCAAACATTTATGCGTAGAAATTTATTCCTGCAAGGGTAAACAGAAATCCTGATTTGAAAGTGGAAAAATTTATTTATATCACATATCCATGAGATGAATCGAGGGAAATAAAGAGTGTAAATAACTTTTTATTGCATGAATTCTAATAATATAATAAATTGCAAAGGTAATCCTTACGGGTTGCTGTAAAACCTTTATTATGACAAAATCATTTATTATGACAAAATCATTTGTGTAATGTTCTACGAGCCACCTTACTTGATACCTATGTATTCAAACAATGAACAAAATATGAATACATTCTTAATCTATACAATAAGTAGAGACAATATATGTACATATACTATATGTATATTAAGTTATATGAATAGATCAATGTAGACCATCCTGGAAATAATAAATACTGGAATAAAGACAACAAAATTAAAACTAATAATGATATACAGTGTGTTAATAATAATACTACTGATTTTAACAAGACTAAGTATAGTAATCTTATTACTGCTATTATTAATGCCACTTTAAAATTTATACATATAATACTTTTTTGATTTCACAATACCAAAAAAGGTGTTCGATCATTTTTTCGTACAAGAAATATTTTATGAGTAATTTCGAGTGGTCAAATTGGGTAAACCATCCTGTATGTACATTTGGTGTTGACACCTATTAAATCGTTGAAACCTAATAAATCGAATACGATGGTGCTGGCAGAAATTATCTGCAGCAGCTACACGCAATACGGATTCTCGTTTATATGGGTCAGAATATTAAAGATTTACCATGTTCCGTTCAATATGTTCATATAAAGGCTGTCCAAAAAGATCAGAGCCAAACTTCTACTACATGTTAATGAGATATAACTTACGATTCGTATAAACTTATCTCCGAAAATGCTTTATTGAAAAGTCATAAGCGTTCAAAAATTTTCATCAATTGTTACGACAGTTACAATAAATGTTCGAAATTTCCTCCATCTGCAAGAATATAGGCTTCCATTCGTCGAGATCTTCCGAATATTCCTACTATATTAGAAATAATAATGCATACTGAATACATTCTCAAAGCTGGTCTCCTGTTTTTATCATATTTTCGTATCCCCCACCCCGCGTAATAATTGGATATTTATAACCTTTCAGTAAATCATTTTCGAACATAAATTTATATATTTTTTATCTACTTGGCCTCGTTAACACATAATATAAGTTTAGCCCGACCTTTTCAAACACCGTACATATCAGATTCTCAAAAACTGGCCTTGGTATGGATTTGATTCACTATCTATTAGCAAAAAATACAATCGTATTGATAGATATTGGCCACGGGAATTAATAGAGGCGATACTTTCCTTTATCTAAAACAGAATGTTTAAAAAAAAAAGAAGTACATACCTCGCCATGGTAAGTGAAGTTTCCCTCCCATATAAATGGTATCAACCTCAGCTCGTAACTGTCCGGTACCACCGATCTGGGTAATCTGACGTCCAGTTTCTCCTGGTTTGAGCCCGTGGGGAACATGCCGCGCGGCTCGAATACTGATTTCCTGGGATCATTGCACGATTTAACGAGCTTTTCCTCGAGGCACGGGGCGAAATGATAGACCAACAGCCCCGTCACTACCAGGGATAAGAGGAATGCAGCACCCAACAGGAAACCACCGCAAGGTGACACCGTGCATCCCCGTTTCCGGCCGAAGGTTGTCGTGTGAGCGTCCATCATTGCTAAAACTTCGCGGGACTGGGTCATATCATGTGTAAACCTGCAATTATCAAAACATAATCGTGTCAAGTTCAAATTCTTATTTCCAGATTCCTTGATGTAAATTCGTATTATAACGAAAGATGTATATGTATATCAGTTATTGTCTGTCATGAAGGCGCCATAAAAATACATATTTACTTGAATCATAAAATAACAACAAGCGAATAGTAGTAATAATATCTATTTATTCAATTTTTAATGCTCATTTAATCGGCGTAGAGAAATATAGGATGTTTTATTTTTAAAAACTAAGGTGACCTTCAAAGCCTTACGCGTGAACAATGTAGAAAAGAAATCATTATTCTAACGTATGTCCCCTTTGGCACAATACAATTTTTTTAACATTTTTTCGTATAGCAAATAACTTGAGAGTAATTTAAAATCGTCTCACTCACGAGCAAACTCTGCTTCCACTAGGAAAAAAGGCGGAGTAGGGGAAAGGTCTCTTACCACTTGATCACGGGAGTTACTGAAATTTATGCCAAATTAACATTTAGTTTAACATTTATTTCAGTACTTGAAATAAATTTACCAAATGGCAGGACGTCCTTCCCCTACACTGCTTTCTCCCCTAACGGAAACCGAATTTGCTCCTGAGGGTTCAAATTCGCTTGTAGTATGATAAATGCTTGCATGTTCCGTTGCTTCGGCGTTCTTGTAAATTCCCTTTGTCTTTTCTCTTTTTATTCGTTTCCATTCATTTTATGTACTGTACGACCTCGATTAACCGGCTTACTCGGGAGACAATCAGCCCGAATAAATCGAAACTTACCGGATAACCGAGATCTGGTGAGAAATTACTGATGATGTATTTTACATGCAAAATAAGCTCTTTATATGACAGAAGTTGCACTCCTTTTTACAATATAATCATATTATTAATGTTGGACTTGTATGTGCTTTGCCACGGAATGGAAGAGGAAGTTTGCAAAAACAATGGAGGGTCGTAAGAAATGATCGTTCGTTATTACTGAATACGAGATTCCGGATAACCAACACCCCAGTTGATCGTGACTATGGATAATCGCGATCTGGTTAATCAAGGTCTTACTGTATACATATTATTTCATAGTACATTCTCGTTTCGTAAATTTCTGTTTGGCATAAGTGGATACCGGTTTTCCCTAAGTCATATTCGTTTCGTAAATTTCTATTTGGCATAAGTACCGGTTTGCCACCCACAATCAGTCATATTGAAGTGTAATAGTAATAAATTATTTCTCAGACGTACAGTAAAATAATTACACGATTACTATATTTAACACAAATTTTTAATCTAATAATACATGCTACCAGTGTCACTGGACTTATAAAATTAGATACCATGGCGGTGAATTTCAATTTTATAACGATTCGAAATTCAATACTGTGATAATTTGAATCACTTCGAATGTGATTCGATGCTTAAAACTCTTGAAAATGTTAATAAATTTGAATCTTAAGTCTTTAAAATTTCAATTCGTCACCAAAGGTCTTTATAATTTTCAAAGCTTGTCAAAACCTTCAGGACCTATTGAAATTTTAAATACTCAAGATTGACGACTTCCCAGCACATCCAGTTTTTGAAAAAATCATTCCTTTTTAATTGAAAAATTTCAATTTTGGAGGTGTGTTCTGTTTTTGCAGTAATAATATTTCCATAACAGAAAGGTCTGCTCTATCGCATATTATGGTTAGATTTTCTCATAGACCCTTAGTTTTTGAAATAAATTGAAGAATATTAGCAAAAATTGGTGCGTTTTCGGTGTCCCTTTCACTTTGGTCATTATTTAAACATATTTAGATGTAAATTGTTATTATATTATAGACATCATCTTATTCAGTAGAGTCCAGAGAATAATTTCGTGTCAAAAACAAGTCAATAACTATTACTGTAAAAGTAAAGGACACCTCAAAATTTGAAAATTTGGAATATTTTTACAATTACTTTTCTCAAAAACTGGACGTGCTGGAAAATAACGGTTTGCAGATTCATATTCAATTCATAAAAATTTATCAGAAACGCCTATTAACGTTTCTGAGGTATTTTACATGTTCAACAGTGTAACTTGGTCGTTTTCTTATTAAACCGTAAATAGATTAAATAACTTACATATTAATTAGAATTTGCAGGCACTTGGTTGTAAATGAAGTAATTTCACAAAGTGTTTCTATTTGCTTGGATATTTAGTTCCATGAAAACATCTTATCTAACCACTGTGGATCATCCTTCGGGCACAGGTAAACAGCATTAGCATTCGTGACGAAATACATGAAGGTTGTCATTGGATCATTGTCCTGAAGAAACTTCCTGCGTTGAGTAAACAGGGTGAAGGCAACCGATAATTAAGAGTAATTTCACGTTCACAGCGAACGCGTCAAGGAAAGAAGCTTTAAATGTCCAGAAAGGATCCTTGCAATTACTCGTCGCCTCTCATTGGCAACGAAACAATTAAATAGGAATTGCGACCTCGATAGAATCAATCTATGGTGGCATCGATTGATTCACTCGCTGATAGTCACTCCTATTTTGTAAGAGAAACTATAAATTACATTTACTTTAGCTTTTAAATCTATTTCGTTCTACTAGTTAAAAGCAAGAATTACTATTGAAGCTACGTATTTCCATAATTACTTTCATTTAATTGTAATTTAGTTAATCTTGTCAGTTATAGTAATCTTACGAAGTATTCGATAGGGCAGTCCCGATCTAAGCCTTCCATTTATGTCAAAAAATACTTGAATTAAATTTTGTATACTGTTTCCCTTTTAAAATAATTAGAAATTGTACTGAATGTAGAAACAAAGTTGTTAAAATATAACAAAGCATTGTTCGTTATAATCAAGCGTTCGTTAGGATTAAATGATATTCGATTTTAGTGAGAATAAATTTCAATATATAAAGATTTATGTATTTTATTGTATGTTGCATTACAAAAATTTTGTGCCCCCCCCCCCCGCCCCCGCTTTTCAACCATGGTGTTGAAGGTTTCATGACCCTAAGCCACAAAAAATATTAATCCGAGCCTGGTCGTAGAGGATGATGAGTAATTAATACATATGAATAAAAATCATAGAATCCATCACATATTCTACTCCAATATTAAATTTAGTAATTACTAGATCGCAGATTTCATGCATTTGTAGAATACGTCAATATGCATAATACAGTAAAAAGAAAGACTTTCGTAATATTTAAGAAAGTTAATCACACGTTTCCTAACTGAATGAAATCCTTAATGAAGAAATAAATTATGTTTATGTCATCGTGTTATAAATCAGTGTAGAAAAGCTCGGAGTAAGATGATTGGTCTGGTAAGATGGCAGATGTTATTTTTTGCTTCTATTGCTAGTACATACCGACTTTCTTTGTTACGCTATCTTTGCATATCAGTCGACAATATAGTTTTGCATGGTAAAGTAGACATTAGATGATGCAATAGAAAGTTAGAACATAACCACGATTTCACGCGTGTGGCTTATAACAGTTTGACATCATAAATTAGTGAATACAAGCTTAAATAAAGGTAGGTTTTGCATGGGACGTATATTTTGGCGTTTATAAAAGTGTAGAATTGAATATCACACAGTGGTTTAAAATAAATTTGATGTCTCAAATTTATTTTGATATTATTTATCCACATAACATACATGGGGTAGGATGGCGGAGGTAAGGTGGTAATCTCGTCATCTCCCCAGAATAATTCATTCGCTGTATAATTCATACGTTCTACAGTTATCCACTATAATGCCACGAAATTACATTAAAAAAATGAAACAGACAAGTATGCTCACAGGATCCTTTATTATCTGCAATACAGAAAATGAAAGAAGGGCAATCTTGCATTAATGCTTCATTAAATTGTATGCAGATCCATCTTTGGAAAACTGGATACAGTGCTACAAGTGCTAAAACTGGTGGCATGAATCTTGCATTAAGTATCCAAGGGCTGGGTTATTTACATGTAAAAATTGTATTCATTAAATTTATATAATCCTCTAAGGTCGAGTAAGATGGCGAATTTATTCACAAATTAGTTTTTAATTTTATACCAAAGATAACTGTAAAATTATTCCTTTTTGTATATATATATATATAAATTTTTTTGTGGTTACTATAACATATAAGATTGTTATGATAAAATATCATTTTTTTTTGTATTTAAGGAACAAAAAAGTTACACTTATTTTCACTTAATAGGTTACCCCGGACTCCCCTAAGTACATATGTAAATCTTATCTATATTACTTGTTATTTTTCATTCTTGTTAACATAAACTATTGAAACAAGAGGTAGTATTTCATTGTTATATTCAACTTACAGAAATGAAATGATTTCAATATAATCAAGCGACCATACGATTTGTGCAGGTGGAAGACAAATCGATTGCCAATGTGTTTTCCCGGCCTGGCATCTGAACATACCCATACATGCCTACGGCGTGACAATTACCATGAAAACTTTTCAAGAATTCTCTGGCGCGCAAAGTGTCGTAACAACGATTACGTCTGTTAGTTTGAAAGCTTTTGCATTTACATTATATTACACTCTCTCTACAATTTTATTTTGAAACATCTTCTCTTATCGCATTGTAATTGTACATACACAGTGGGAAATTCATGTTGTTATAGACGTATGTGTTAACTACATCGTATTCACTAAGAAATACCATTTCCACAGAACTAACTTTCCCGAAAGAAGTCATATTCATTCTCTGTGACTGATATTTATTTAGTGACATAACATGCGATGGAGGGAAGCATATATTTAGAGCTTCTTTTGTGACAATAATATTCAAGAATAATAAATTTATTAAAATTATCCCTAACATGTTTATATTAACAGTACCTATATGTATGTAGGATAGTAGATACTATAATATGTGGTGTAATAAAATGCAGTAATGAGAAATTTTCTTTAAACGCATGTTTGCTGAAGTAATTTTCTTCTGTGTTCATTCTTACTTATATAAATAAACAACATACTTCATTTTCCTATAGATACTCATTATTATCTTGACTTCGTATAATGTACACTCCCGCTCACAAGTATTAGAACACTTATCGAACATGCAGTAAATGTTACAAGGCAATAAAAAATTGCTAAAAGTCTGCAATAAACTCTGTTTAGGAGATATTAAAGCTCAATGGACAACGCTTATGTTACTATAAAGTAATAAACATGGCCTGAAATATATTATTTGTACGAAACATCCCGTTTTCCTCATACAAACCAGGTGTCCCAACACTTATGAGCGATAGTATACATATATCTTTACGATAAATTGACTATTATTCTAAAATCTCCTTTCTCCCTGAAAAATTATGCCCCATTCTATTAATTCGTTTCTCGTTTCAACTTTTCCATGACCACCACTGTAAAACAAAGTAATACACTATACCGTACTTATGGCCACATCAATTCAACCCAATTTAATCCAAGATTAACGTAAGCGGTTACTTAAACGCTGTAAAGAGAATAAAAATTCCATTTTTCAGAATTGTTTCTCTAGCAACAATATATTCTTCTACGTACCATACACAGTGACCTGACGCCTTCCGCGACTCGACGTGTCGAAGATCAGCCGAAGAATATTAAACAATCTTCAACAAAACAAGAAAACCAACAACCACTGAACGTTTAAGAAGAACACGTTATCGAAGCGTCAGTCTTCGATGTAGCAATAGCACCGTGGAACGACCGAGAAGGAGAGATCTCAAGACGAATTGGCACGAGGTCCCGCTCGAGCCGGTGGTTACCGCGCGACTGACAAGGACCTCGTCGCATTCCGGCTTCGTAACTTCCTCCATCCTCTCCATGCCATCCGAGCTTCCTGTCCGGCCCGTCTCCCACTCGACCAGCCTCGTATCACCTTCCTTCACCTTACATCCTTCCACCTGCATGCTGTCTTCCGGATCCACCACGTGAAACCGTACGATCGACAGGATGCCGCCCAGGATCAATGAATCCTAATATTATCATCATCATTCGCTGTTCGATATGTCCCTTCGTTTTAATATCGCGTGTTATTTACTTGTTAACCGTGACTGATCGATAGCCCACGATAGAATGCAAATAAAGCAGACCGCCGATTTATTCGAATTGGAATTATCGGAAAAATCGGACGTTATAAATATAATGAGAACACAGAAGGAGTCACGAATATTTCCTGAAAGATATTAGTTTACAGGATGTACGGGAAAAGCATACTATCCCTTAATCTCGAACGAGGTTAAAGTGAATTATGCAACGATTTAATTGATATAAGATACAACGTATACTGGATTTGAAGTACATAAGGATAATCCAACGTATAAAATTGTAAACGAAGATGATATTATTTCATTGATTTTGGTTGATGGAAATAATGATAAGGTTGAAGAAATTGTTGTTGGCTGCCGTCTAAATATTGGGAAAAATGGATGTTTATTGCATGGAGGATCATATAATAGGGGACGGTTGCTAGATTTAGACCATTGCCTACCACTACTGTGACTTGTCAGGTGTAAGCAATTTCCGCCGTATGATAGACAATATGTGTACGATAGTGATGATTGCATTAACTAACTTGGTATATAAGCAACAGATATTGTCTATCGTATAATGACAATTACTTACACGTGACAAGTTACAGTAGTGGTCCGACCTAGAAGGTGGTCCAAATTCGGCAACCTTCCCCTATTATACATATGATCCTCAATGCAATAAACATACATCTTTCAAAATTATTACATTTCCAATCATTTTATGATATGTATAGAGACTTTGGTTCTCCTTCACCGATTATCCGAACACATTTGTCCTTCCTTTTAGTTCGGATAAATCGGCGTTCTATGGTACGATAAAATTTTATACTGGATACTATACGATACATTTAGGAATGGAAGTGTTAGTTTTATTACCGAAGAGTTGCGATGTGAGTGTGAATAGTTCTATTAAATAAACAGAATTAATTGACATTGTGGTGTATACCGTAAAATTTGAAAAATTCAGCGTAATATAATTGTAACATTAATAATATTTCTTTACTAGACATTGGAATGATATTGGTATATACAGGAATAATGTAATAAGAAATAAAAATGTAATGTGTGAAAGGTCAGACAGTCCATTGTTTCAAAATATAACCTTGTCAAATACAAACAGACATGGTTTATAAAATCAAGTATGACTATTTGAATGTAAATATTTTCATTCCTCCAAAGATCTTCATTTTAACCACATTCATATTGCTTGACTAATTCATCTTAAAAAGAATATATATAAGAATTGACAACACATTCGAAAATCCGAATTATCCTTGTAGAATGCAGATTTGTCATCCGTTATGGTATGATTCACTTCCAATCACAATTCCTAGATCTGTTATTATTAGATGGATCGATGAATCATCCCCATCGTGGTTTGTCATATAGATACTGCGGATTCCTTACAATGAATCAAAATGGAAGTAACCAAGGTAAGTAAACTTCTTACTTTAATTTTCAATTAAAGAACCCCCCCATTAATCTGGTTTGTGTAAAACACATTCGCAGCATAATCATAAAATTAGCTCATCTGATCATTAGAGGTAGTCGTTTTGATTTTAACTTTTCATTTATAATTTTCTTCCTTTCCTTTTTCAATGTCAAACTGAATCTTAGATAGATAAGAAGACTAAAAACAGTGTAGGTCTTTTCATTTCATAAAAACATATCTCTATGAAAATTGTCTCAACTGTGTTAGACATTAATTAATTCAGTATTAGACCAATACATGTATATAAAGATGCTCTTGAAATATAGATTACTAATGTCATTAAGTTGAGTTTTGTATTTTCATGTTCGTAAACTTTGTTCAGGTGTTTCTAATATATTTACAAATAATTTTACTTTTGTTCATATTAAATCAAAGTTTCACGTTAGTTTTCTGTAATACTACTTATTCTTATTAAACGATTATGATGCTCCAAATTCATAGTTGAACGATTCCTCTTTTTTCCCTATGTCATACAAAATCAATTCATTTTTCAATTTTTATCCAGAAGGTAACCTATTCATAATGAGATCGTAAGGTTAGGTCGAAATTCAATTGCCCGCGTGAACAAAAATGATGAACGTTTTTCATCAGTGATAAAAGCTTGATTGCTTGGAAAATGACGCTAAACGTTTTATCTGCGTGCTGGACGTCGCCATAAAAACGATCGTTCCCAAGACGCTGCGTACCAAAATAATTAAAGTGGCCTTGAAATTCAGTGAGAAGTGTCGTTCTTTGCACACGCACAAGGAAAGTTTACATGAACGAGTGACGATCCAAGTGCTCATATTTACAAACCTCTATAGTTCTTATCGAATTTTAAACTTTTGCAGCCGAAATTACTTTTCAATAAAACGTATTATTAAACTAAAAATTTTTAAGGAATGCATTCATATTAGTCAATTAAAAATTTTCGTATTTAACAGAATTATATTATTGTATTCATATTTTAGTGTTAACTATAATTATATTCAGTCCAATTAACTTAAAAAATGAAATATGTGATAAATTGATGGAACTAAAATATTTTATTATTTATGTGAATATTAATATTAAGGTTTTCATAACGTCAATATACTGCCTCAAATTTTATTTAAAGTCTCAGTCACTTGAACGTTTTATGAATGATTTACATTTTGTTCATTTTATGAAAATCCGAATATTTGAAGGATACAAGTTCTGCGAATACTATTACAGATCCTTTATCTCTACATGACAATTTATACGGGTCGATAATTAACTATAAAATACGATTTTATATTTAATCTCTAAGTGTGTAACTGCCCTACCTTTCAATTTTTTCCTATTAAATTGCATTAATGGCATACATAACACTACCTATTCAATACTAAACAACAAATAGTTCATTTCACTTTATAACTAATAAAGTAAGTTACTAACTTTGTTTTGAATGAAACTTATTAAAGGGAATATGACTATACATAACCAAAATTAATTAATAAATCCTCTAATTTACGTTATCATATTGTTAGAATTAGTATCGATCGAGTCGATATTTATTACTTCGATCATTACAATTTGTTCAGGTGTAATTTACTTTCGTCAAATATGAAATTTACAGTAAGTAAACACGTGAGGTTCAGTCTGTTACTGACCGAGTAACGGCACAAGATTGTAGTTTAGTTACTAAGTACCCAATAATCCTCTAAATCGCCAGGAGGTGGGTATATAATTGTTTTAGGCGCGGGTCCTTAATTGATTAAAATCATCTATGCTACCCGAGCGTTTCGTAATACATGAATCGTCGCATGAAATCGCCATATTGAAATTAACACCGAATATTCCTGACAGCTGTTACCAGTGATGCATACACATATTTGTATAAATGAAATATATACCTACATTAACTCTTACTGTTATTGGAAAGTACTGTGCGTCTTTCATTTATATTTTAATGACAAAATACTCAATTTTGTATAAATAACATTGACAAATTGTTATAATAATAAAGAATTGTTGTTCATTTAAATGTTAGCCATTATGTTTTAGATTAATGTTAAACATATTCTGTTACAAATCAAATGAGAGACACAAAAAACGACAGATCTTCTGGCGGACTAAATATTCATACACAGACATACTTCCATACATATGTAATCGCATGATGATAGATTACTTCCTTTTTTTTGTACCGAATCAATTTTCTTCATTTATATATATAAATACAATACTTTAATTAGATAAGAGAATTTTCCCATGAAAAGAAAGAATAGAAACAGAATTTTTCTGAAATGTTCAGTAATAGCTGAAATATTTAGATTTTATTTTGAGTTGCCTACGATCTCACAGTGCCACGTACATCGAAAAAGCAACAATGTCGTTTTGGGGTTAATGACCCAGAACTAATCTAACTTCCTTTATACCTAAGTCTAGATCATGTGTCAAACGGATCATTGTTAAATTTTCTCGTGAGTTACATACAATTATAATTGACCGACTTTCATGTTATACCTGAAACATAATTTATATATGGCTCATTTCCTAAGTTAATATGTAATTAGATCTCAGTTGTAATAAGTAAAATGTCCCTTAGGACTTGGTCAGATTTGGATTATGTAAAGAATAACAGTAAGAATTCATGCTCTAATAGACCGTGGATATTTATGCAAATATAACTATTGGTACTTAATAGAACTTGCAACGAAAGTAAAGCTTATAAACTAAATTTGAAAAATCCTTAATTTTCTTATGACCACTAAGAAAACAAGGTACCAAACTCTGCCTAACAAAATGAAATTTATAGATGGAAGGAAACTAATTGGATAAGAAACAATCTGTACAAAAGGAGACTTCGATCCTCTTGCCAAGGACCTTATTTTCGACCGGAAGAAGCCCACCGAATTTCAAGTTTGTGGCGGTAGGACGAATCTCCTTCGTCTACTCAGCTCGCGTTCGTTACAATGGTACATGGCGGTGTTCTGTTCCGTAAGAGTACACCACAATGAACTGTAACCCAACCTGTTCCTATGTAGATGGAGCACGTTTTGCACCTAGGGTCGAATTACGTGTACATACGCACTGGATTTTCGATTCGCCCCTATCCACTTCTCGCGAGCTCCCCGAGAAGAAATTTGATGTCCCACAGTCCCAAAAACTCGATTATACATATACATATATCAACGAGAATACAGTCTATTTTTAATTAAACTGGAACAAGAACAGGATTTCTTCGTTGTTATTGAACAGTTAGTCAAACAACTTCATTATAATTAT